CGCGGGCGACTCGCAAGGACTTATTAACATTTAGTGGACTTTCAATGCGGGTCAAGAAATGGAAACAGACTAAACAGCCAATAAAAGCATGAGCCCATCTTTGGCGTCAGTCATGACAAAAGCAGCCCTTAAATCAGATGTGAACAACTCGGCCTTGTTCAGAGAAACTCACGTCCAGCACCTTTATTTCCATCGATAATTTCCTCTCCTCGGCTGATGACCTTCGGGCCCCCAGAACCGGCTGCTTCTGATTAACGGCGCCGCGTGCTGTATTATAAGTGAGGGCTGCAGGGTTCGTGAAGCCGTGATGGATAATCTGGAGAAAGTCACACCAGGCGGGTTTTTCCACACTGCCCTCATTGTGTTGGACAGAGAAAGGAATTCTAACGTCACCTCGCATCACGTCCAGGCCCTCGTGCTTCTCGCCGCTTTTCTCCGGCACACAACCCTCGGTGCCGGCGACCCGGGCGGAGGAACCTTTGCTTCCAGCGAGGAGGGACCCGGCTCTGTCTCAGCACATTTCTCTCAAAGCTCTCAGCAGCTCGGCCCTCGTTGGAGCAGGTCGGCGGCGCCCGGTGGCGCGCCAGTCCCGCGTTTGACGTTTTATTGTTGCTGGCTGGAGCGGCGGGGCGGTGTTGTGATTGGTGTCGCGGTGCCGGAGCCGGAGGGCCGGCGCCCGATTCCCCTCGACAGGCAGAATCCTCCCTGCTGAGGTGCCCTTAAGCAAGACATATGGAACTCCCCGAAGCGACGCGCTGCTCACTGGAAGGTTTCTGCTCAGAGGCCCAGCGGGTCGTCGGTCCGTCCGGCGGTTGGTGGTCAAGTCAATGCCGATGTTTCCTCGGGCAGGACACGTAACCCCCGAACCGCTAGTTGAGCCTGAGCCCCCCCGGCCCCCCTCGCCATCGAGGTCAACAGGGTTTAATTCCCCTGAGATCAGATCTGTGGATCTCGATACATCAGCTCTACATTCCGTCTGCTGCACATGGACGAAAATAACTTTTCTTCCCCTTAAAGTATTTGCTTCATTTTTCCGTGACTTCCATGTTCACCTCCACATACATGATCTGATGATACGACGGAGCAGCATTTCATTCATGGTTCTCTGAGCAATCATTTGCTGAAGCGTTGGCGTGGTGGAAGTTCACGGTGGCTTCTGTGAAGCTCGTCGTCGATACGACATATTGCTGATGCCAGATGTTTGTTTGACACACACAGACTTCTGAGCTGTCGTCTGTGGAGAGAAAGCGATCAAGAGACAACGACTTTTTCTCCACTGAGGACTTGTAGGACGGACTGACTGAACTTTCCAGTCAATTATGGAGAGAAAGTTGGACCCGTTAGATGAGACATCGTCTGAGGTGCAGATGAACATGGTATTAGTATACTTCAACAAATCCAGATGGGGTTTGTCCTCTGTAATCATGCTCAACTCATGCGTTATACGACCATTATTTTCTCCACAGAACCTCTCACTTCATCCCAGAGCCGCACTTCTTCACCACACAGAGTTCCACAGTGTGTCGCCTGCGTGTATACGCGTATAATATACATATACATTATATATATATTAGGGCTGCAACACAGTGTGTCGCCTGCGTGTATACGCGTATAATATACATATACATATACATTATATATATATATATATATATATATATATATATATATATATATATACATATATATATATATATATATTAGGGCTGCAACAACGAATCGATAAAATCGATTAAAATGGATTATTAAAAGTGTTGGCAACGAATTTCATTATCGATTCGTTGTGTCGCGCGATTATTACGTCACTCAATGAGTTGCGGAGATGCGCGCGGAGCAAAAATTGAAATAAAGGCGGCGAGCCGACGTGGAGGAAAGAGCAGCCGGCGGTTGTTGTGAGTCACGTGACGCAGGGAGAGACGTCTGTTCGACTGGTCGTCTAAGGTGTGCGAGCGTGGGGGTCCCGGTCCACGTTGTCCCGTTTTGACGTGAGGGACGTAACGAGCCTCCTGTTTACTCGTCATCCAGCTGATCAAGCTAGCGTTAGCTCGCTAATAACAGCAGTAAAGCAGTTAGCAAGACCAAGACACGTTTTTATTTACTCGCCTCTTTTGGACCTTTCATTTTTCAATGTGTTGTCTGATATTTTGTGCTTTGTCCCATATCGGTTATTGTTGACAAATATATTTGTGTGTGTTGTACTTTTTAACGCTGTCATATACGGTAGTCCAGTGCGCTTGCGCAGATACTGTGGTTTATACGGTAGTTGATGTCACGCCTGTAAAGGGAAACACTTAGTGATCCATTAAATCAACTAAGCCTCTAATGCATTTATTTACAAATGCCATTTTAAATTCATCTCACAGCACTTGGTTGTTTTTTAGCGTATTGCATTCACTTAACTTGCACTACAATGATGGTAATAATTTAATGATCATGAGGGTGTGTTTGTGAGTGTAGTATAGAAAACTAGTTAGAATTTGAGCTTCTGTTTTAGAATAAAGGGTTGGAAATTAAAGCTTTTTAATGCCTTTTTTAAAAATCTGATTCATCGATTAATCGAAGAAATAATCGACCAATTAATCGATTATCAAAATAATCGTTAGTTGCAGCCCTAATATATATATATGTATTGACACTTTTCAATGACTCAAAGCGCGCAGCATCTCAGTATTCTTTTGGCCTCGAAGCCTCAAACCTTTGGATGGACTGAGCAGCACTTAAACACCTGAATGCTCTCGTGTCGGGTTTCCTATCACGTATTTTGGGGAACAATGAGGGAAGAATCACAAAGCACGCTGAGTAATGTCCTTTCTTATAAATGTTGCTGTGTTATGAACTCTTTTATGCTTATTTATCTTCCTGCAGACGCGGTAAAGAGGTGACACCCAACCCCCCCCCCCTGAAAGACGGCACCGGCTGAATTGAAGTGTTGGGTCATTACTGTCATTCTTACATGAGGACATCATTGTGTGTCCTCCCGACAGAGCGTCCTTTATCAAACACATGATCTGTGTAGGCCTCAATTATCAGCTCCGAAAGGTTCATCCATCACACACAACAGCGTAAGACACACACGTAGAACACAGTCATTGTGGCCGTTTGCACAACGCTATAAGGACTCTTTCCACCTTGTTTGTTGGTTCCGATGAAACGATGGCCAGTAGGTTACGTGTGTTGAAGTAGAGAAAGAACTGCAGGCAAAAAGGGCCGAACGAAACAAGCGTCACACTAAACACAAAAATCTGTCCCTTGAGCATCAGATCGACCGGCTTGGGAGCAGCTTCCAAGAATCATCTCTCCCAGAAAACAGCAGACATAGAAACATTTCTTTACCATCATGTATGAAGACGTTTCGTGTTTCTTTGACCTTTTTAACCCTCAGAGCCCCACAGACCCAACAGGTCCAACTGAAATGTTCACAGTGTCTTTAACTAATATACTAGTGCCGCCTTATTTAGACGCTACGACAACCAGAGAAGCGCTTGAAGCTCTTTTTCTCTCCTACAGCACATTATTTTCTGATGGCTTGGTCTTGAATTCGTCGTGACGTTTCTCCAGCTTTGTTAAATTGATCGAATACCACATGACCCTCCGTCCCTGCTCGTGTTGCCTCCTGCACTCAAATGTGATCCAAGACCTTTCAGCTTTCTGTTCCCGTGTCTCTGTGCTTTTACTGGCCGGTTCCTCTCACCAGACCAGAGGACTATAAATACGACCCCTCAATGCCCACATCCCCGCCCCGAAAATAGACCCGCGGCACCTACCCGGCTCCCACACACACCCTGAAGCACCCTGGGGACGACGCGCCGCTGGCTAACCTCAGGGCTCCGGAGAACTGGACCCCCGCCCGGCCTCGCCTCGCTTCTCATCCTCTGGCTCCCTATAGGAGCCGGGGAGGGGGGCCGGGGGACCGGGGGGGGGGGGGCCACAGCGCTGCGGGTCTGGCACTCTGCACAGGTGGAAGACGGGCGAGCGAGAGGGTGTTGGCCCCGTTCTGCACACACACACACACATGTAGGGGCCTCACAGGCGTGTCGTGTGTGGTTTTCTGCCGTCACAGACGTTCAGCGACGGGAAAGAGGAAGGAAAGAGTAAAGAAATAGCGCCTGCAGCTCTGAGAAGAGGCAGACCGTCGGAGGGAAGCAGGGTTCGGATTTCATGGTGGAAGAAACGCGTGTTGTGAGATTACAAAGTGGAGCAAGTTGAGTGTGTTTGTCTGCTCAGCTGAGTGCCAGTTTGTCTGTGTACGTCTCTGCAGTGTGTGCAGCCGGACGGAGAGCAAACGGCAAACACACAAACCGACTCACACGGGGGGGGGGAACAGAAGACTGAACCCTTTCCACGCCCTAGACTCCCGCCGATCCGTCATGGCGCCTCGCCCTCCCCAGGAATCATCCCCGCCGCCGCTCCTCCGTCCTCGGGGGACGTCAGTGTGAAGCGCGGCTAAGCTGCAAACGGGCTGCAGTTGTTTTCTCTGCAAAAACACCTGTCCAAACAGCAGCGAAGTCTCGCCTGTCAGCAGGTGACAGCTTTCGGGCAGAAACTCAGCAGAGACGACCCCTAAGACGTCCACTGGAGCGAGACGATGCGCGCGTGCTGGAACGACCCCGCCGCGGCAGACGGGCCTTTAACAGCACCTGGGCTCAGGTAAAATGCCCCAGGTCCTCGTAGGTACGGCCCCCGTTTGCCTCTAAACACACCGGCCGTTTCTGTGACATCGACTGAGAAGCAGTCGTGTGACGGCAGCAGAGATTAAAGTGATTCATTAATACGACTTACAACCATTTGTGAAGCCGCTTGTATCGTCTGTCCAGAGCGGATTTAGGGAAGATTTACTGAACAAAGACCAGGTGGCTCTTTCTCTCCGGGGGGGGGGGGCTCAAGTTTCAGTCCTTATGCTTAAATTTCAGCACATGCATCCTTAAGATGTGGTGCCCTCATCAGCTAAAGTGTTAAAGTCTGAGGAAAACCCACCCAAAAAATATCACACACAAATCCAGTATTTTTGCACGTTTCATTTCTTGTTTTCCAGGTAACATTTATATTTAGAAACACAAAACTCCTTGGAGCCAAATCCAGGTCAAACGTTTTGATCCTTCGTAAAACAAATTTGAACCTGAGTTGTGAAGTTTTTGTTCTTGAACATTGAATAATACAACAACGTATTCAAAATAAAAATACGAAAAGTATTTCGGGTTGAATATTGTTTTGACACAGTTCTAATTTCTTTGAATAAAAAGTTTTTTTTTCAATCTTCACCTACATGTATTTTTTGATATTTGCTGTATTATATTTTCCGGTTGCAGATGTTTTCAGATTCAATACATTGTTGCATATTTCAATGTATTCAAGAGCAAAAACTCAAACGATCAAAAGGTTTGACCTTCTCTCTAACGTGTACATTCTTCTTTTTCTTCTTTCCATGATCAGAATTTACAGCATCATTTCTAATACATGAAAGCAGCTTAGAAATGGAGCTTTTATTGTACAAATACATCTTACCAGATATTCGGTAGGTTGATAACACATTGAATCAAGGTGTAGAAACTAGACCTGGTTAAACTAACCGGTGAAGCATCAAACCTCTGCGCTGAATGAGGCTTCATGTAGAGACCTCTGATAAAACTTCTACTTCCTCCAACACTTGGAGCACACAGCATCTCCACGTCCTCTAACTCCTACGATGTGAAGATGTGGCGCTCCATCATCAAGGTCCCACGAAGACTACAAAAAACATCTAGACAACGATTCACTGTTTACTCACTCACATGATCTAAATATAAAATGACAATATGGATTTAATATCGTAAAATGTAATCATATTAATGTAAAATAACAGAACACAGTCAAAGTCACAGCGCCGCTAATCTGCTAATTGAACAAAGAGACGTTTCGGTCACTTAAGATCAGTGTGTGTGTGTGAATTTGAGAAGTGTAGTTGTGTTATGTTTAAAAATATACTTCATTATATCTGATGGTTAAAACAAATACCTCCAATAGTAACGGCAGAGCAAAATAAACGTATGTATAAAATATATGTTTGAGTGATTATAGTTGTTGTCTTTCGTAGTTTGTATTTAAGGTGAATCACAGAAAGAAAACAATAGCTGCGCGTGAACTTGAAGAAGAGTAAAATACGGACGTTTGCTTGTTAAGAAATCTTTCCCCCCCAACACCGCCCTGACACACCAACACCGACGGAGGCCGCTGACTCGCTGCAGGGGGTCACTGCACCACGCACATGGAGCTGCGGGGGGGGTTGGGCGTCCGGGCGGCGGCGTCCTGACTGTAGTTCACGATGTCGGCCTTCACCACGCGCTGAAACACGAAGAAGTCGTTTGAAGAAGAAGGACCGTGTGCAAACGGAGGAGTTCAACGTGCTTTACATATACTATACAGACTCACAAATATAAATAAATCAAGTTTTACTTCATTAAACATCTCACAGACAGTTAGCTTAGCATAAAGACTGGAATCGGGTCAACTAGCTGTCAATAAGTACGTTGAACTCAGAGAAAAGGGGATCTGTTTCTATTGGACTCAAGGATGAAACTAAACATCTAGCTGGACTCCTACATTCACTACAAAGCTTCTAGCATCGAACACGTGAGATCTCACTGTGAACTATTGGACAGAACATATTTTGCTTTGCTGGTTGAGGTCTTGTCTAATTGGGCCTTCGTCCTGCGGGTAGTTCACCAGCTCAGCCTTCACAATCATCTGAGCAGGTTCAACACGGCAGGAAAGCAGAAAGACAAAAGAAGGAGAGAAACAGGGAGGCAGACATGGAGGAGGACGATTAGAGCGCGAGGACTGGAACCCGAAGTAGAGGAGGAATGACGAGAGAAACACGGCGACAGCGATGCACACAAAAAGAAGCCGAGTCAACGGGCAGCGATAGAAACCGTTGTGACTCTAAATTAAACTGTGAATATAAAAATCACACGTGATGGAAAAGGGATTAAGCATCATTTCCGTTACTGTTTAATCTGTTATTTCTTCCATCTAATCACGGATCAAATGGATGAAAAGGGTCAATTTCCCGAAGCCCCTTCAGAATCAATCAATGCTCCGGTTGGTCACCAGCCAATAGCAGAGCAGCAGGCGGAATAACAGGCCCTGGTTGGCTGTCTGATTAACGAGCCGACGACGCCTGGCTTAGCTATCTGATCCAGCAGACAGGGGACCATGACGGAGGGGGGCCGCCATGCAGATGTAATACCGCCAGAGGTCACGACCCCGCGTTCAGCTCTCTCGCTGATAACGAGGCTTGGCGGCCTCGCAGGCCAGACGAGCAGCGCGAGCGTCCTGCTTCAAGCCCAGAGCGCCAAATCACGTCGGCTCCCTTATGAGATGAGAGGAACAACTGAACAATGAAATCTGAGAGCAACTGCTTCATCTTACAAAGCAAACAACTAATTGATCAATCAGTGATCATTTCTATTGTTGACTCTAACATATTGATGACAGAAGCCATCGAGTCGGTGAAATACTGCCGGCTGAGCTCGCATAGCGTTTATATCCATCAATACGTTTGGAAGTGAATGAAGAGCTGACTCGGCTGGATTAAAGCACTTTGCTGCATTGACGGAGCTGTGCAGGGGGGGGGGAGGGAGGGAGGGAGGGAGGGAGGGAGGGAGGGAGGGGGGGGGGAGGGTCCAGCAGACAGCTCCATTAGTCGATGGCCATTTGCAGTTAGACGGCGGCCGTGTTGGTGATGGGGGGGGGGGGAGAAGACGGAGGGCTTGAGAATTTGGCCGGTCTGTCTCTTACATGCTCTCCCTTCTCTGGGGGTCCTGACCTCTCGGTAGCCCCCAGGCTCATCAACCACTACCCAGCCAGTGTGGCTCCAGGCAGTCATATCAGCCCCATGGATTAATGCCTCTGGGGGAGGCGACCTTGTAAATCCTCCAGCTGCCACTATTGGGCCCGTTGGTCCGGCTGGCAAGTCGAGGCCGTTTCAGCCCAAAACGTTGGAAGATAAACCAAATAAATCGGACGGACAACGTGCCTTTAACCTCCCACGTCACGCGTCAGCGTGCTCGTCGTGGGTCTACTGACGGACGGCCGGTGTCGTGGCAGGTAGATGGTCACGGGGGGCGGGGGGGGACAGAGCAACCAACTCGTGTTTACACAACAGATGTCCCTTACAGTGGGGGGAGGCCTGCGTCGAGCGAACACCCTCGCTGTGACCCCGTCAGCTTCAGGCGGAACATAACACGTACTTTCACCCGTTTAACAATCGACCACACAGTCAAGAAAAGACTCAGAGGAGGAAATGTGCTGCGTGGTTTAAAGGCCTCGATGAGGCTCACCTGCGACTGCTCGATTTCAGCTTTATTCAGCTTCACACCCAGGATCTCAGCAGCCACCCTCTGGAAACAAAGGTAGACCTGCAGAAAGAGAAGGAAAACAAGTTAAGTTCCCTCGTGCGTCCCGCTGTCAGGGCACCGCGTAGAACCGGTAAGCAGAGCACTGACCGAGTCGCCCGTCTTGGCCGACACGAACTGACTGACGAGGCCGTTCTCTTGGCAGAACCGCTGGTGTTTGTCAGCCTTCACCGTCCTCATGTGCTCCATGTCGACTGTGGACGAAACGCAGCGTGACGGGTGAGAAAACGGGTCGATTTATAAGGTGGGTGAGCAGCACTCTGGCAGGGTTAACCGTCACGCATCTGAACATAAACACAACAGATAACTGTTTACACTCGAGTTAAGATGGAGGGGATCTGCCTAGTGTACGACCACTGGCACGGGGAAACAAAGCGTAATTCACTTGTTATGTTGCTTTCAAGCTGTCGCTTTCATTGTTTAATCTCTGCAGGGCGTCATTCCAGAGGGTTCCGGAGGTGGAACCACAGCTGGATGCGACACGTTCCTCAGTGTAAGCCTATAGCTGGACCCCGAAGCCACAGACCTCCATTTGACCCGGAACAGACAAACCTCCCAGCTCTGGAGAAATGTTTAAGGTACGATGCGTCTTCAGGCTACTTTCCCAGTGAGAAAGAGCTTTAAGGTGCGAGAACTGGGACTGTCACCGTCACGCTGATTTACAGTGAGCACACAATGACTTCCTTTTAGCCATCCGACTCCCGTGCAGTGATACCGTGCGTCTCTCTTTCCTCCCTATGGGGTCATGCTGGGGTCGCTGAGGAAGGTCACCTGGGGGTCCTCCCGCTGAAAGCAATAGCGTGCCTCTTTATTTCTGGCTTTGTGCGCGAGGCGGCCACGCCCGGTATCTGTGGCAGCTGGAGGAGGTCAGGCTACTGTACGGTGTCGCCTTCCTCCCGTCCCGACTCCTGCTCTTTGTGTCACCTTTCATTGAAGATGTCAAGGATTTCCCCTGTTCTCATGCGTGTGTGTGTGTGTGTGTGTGGTGTGTGTGTGTGTGTATGTATGGTGTTGTGCATGTGTGTATGTCTTCGTGTGTGTGTGTGTGCATGTGTGATGGTTCGTGTGTGTGTGCGTGTGTGTATGTGTGTGTGTGCAGTGTGTGTATGTCTTTGTGTGTGTGTGTGTGTGTGTGTGTGTGTATGTGCATCTGTGTATGTCTTCGTGTGTGTGTGCGTATGTGCATGTGTGTATGTGATCGCGTGTGTGTGCATGTGTGTAGGTGTTCGTGTGTGTGTGCATGTGTGTGTGTGCATTGTGTGTGTGTGTGTGTATGTGTGTGTGTGCGCATGTGTGTAGTGTTTGTGTGTGTGCATGTGTTGTGTGTGCTGTGTGTGTGTATATGTGTGTGTCTTCGTGTGTGTGTGCGTGTTGTGCAATGTGTGTAGGTGTTCGTGGTGTGTGTGCATGTGTGTGTGTGCATGTGTGTGTGTGTGTGTGTGTTGTGCGCATGTGTGTATGTGTTTGTGTGTGTGCATGTGTGTGTGTGCATGTGTGTGTGTATATGTGTGTGTCTTCGTGTTGGGTGTGCGTGTGTGCATGTGTGTATGTCTTTGTGTGTGTGTGCGTATGTGCATGTGTGTATTGTTCGCGTGTGTTGTGTGTGTGTGTGTTGTGTGTGCATGTGCATGTCTGTGTGTGTTGTATATGTGTGTGTGTGTGTGCATGTGTGCATGTGTGCATGTGCATGTGTGTGTGTGGTGCGTGTGTGTGTGTGGGGGTTAAAGCCAGAAGCGCAGAGAGAGGCCGATAACGCAGCGAGATAGAAATGTAAACAGTGCACTAACCTTTATCATTAATATCTCAGTAAGTCTTATGACCCAGAAAAAGTTAAAGGGCCACATGGTGGAACGAAAGGAACATTTCAGACTAGAATGAATATGACCATCATAAGTGACATATAACACCAGGGAAGACGCTCCTACGGCTACTCAGTGCGCCGAGGACGCCGCGTCTCGGCCTGCGCGTAAACACAGCCGTCTCATAGGCGTCAGCAGCTTATTGATTTCAGTCATTAACAGCGGAGGAACCCCGCATGCTACTACAAGTAAACACCACTAATCCTTTGGATCCTGCACACTTGGGAAAGGTTATCAATCATGTGTCACAGTCAGATTAGCCAACATTAACACAGCGCTCAGGAGCTGAGGAAGGCACGTTACTGGAAGAGAAAAAGAGCTTTCTACAGCCTGCATGAGGGGACCATCAGCAATATAAGGAGAATATAAGGAAAATATGTAATTCTGTTACGTCGTAAAAAATGCAGCTGACGTCATTGGTTTGCATGGAAGGTTAAAGCAGTTCATATAATAAAGTTACAGCTGATGTTGACGCGTACAAAGCATTTGAAAATGTTGATTTAAGCTGGTTACAGCAATGAAAATGGTGGTATTTTCAGTTTGATGGTAATTTAACATTGCGTTTAAATGCCAATTGAAGTGTAAACAATGACAGCATTTTAGTTTTGGTTCATTTATTTGATTTCACTTAAAGTTGCGCCACAGATAGTTTAAGTGTGTGCTGTTTGGGTTACGCTCGCTTGCTATGTAAGCAGTGACAGCAGTTGAATTATCAGTTGAAGTACTTGAGCTGTCGGTTGAAGAGTAAAAACAAGATGAAGTCAGTTGATGTTTAACGGCTGCAGATCGGAAACACGAGCACATTGTTCTTCCTCGTGGTCGTTGAGTTTGCAAATGTTCAGATTTCCTTTTTTCTCCTCAACACTTGCAGCCCAGAAACAACAATCTACAACGCCAGGACCACTTTAGAGACCAGATGATATGAAAGAAACATAAATATACCTATACGTGTATATGTGGGTCACCAAGAAGCACTACGGAGCCCTACCCGGCCCCCGGTCGGGAACCAGCACTCCGGCGGCCCACGTGGTCCCACTAGAGAAGGCGGTGCAGCATGTGGCATCAGTCTGCGTGAAACCAACACAAGACTAATCCCACCGTTTTAGTGTTTTTCTCCATTTGTCTCCCTAATGTACCCATTTCTACTTATCAGGTCAAAGCAATCTTCCTGCCATGATCTGGTTTCCCTCCGTTTCTGTCAAACTGTACATCAGCGTAAGAATCCCTCGGAAGTGACCGCAGAACTGACGTAAACTGTTTAGGCGTGCGAGCGCGTGGAGATAGTGGAAGGGATCATCACTCGCACAGAGCGACGGCTCTTCTCTGGTCACCGTCCGTGTTTATTTAAAAGGGAATTACAAGACAACACTCACAGATTCATATCTGCCGGATGAGTTCGGCTTTTACCGTGAATACGAACTTTGTCATTGTGGTCACCAATTAGATGAATGAGAACAAAACCAAATGAGGAGGAAGGAGGAAGTAGTTGGTGTCTGTGTGCATGTCGACAATCTGCTCTCCAGTTTATCCAGAAACCACACAGACTGAGTAAGAGCGATATTAGGAACAAGGCTTTAAACCAATGCTGGTTATATACAACTTTCCCTTAAAAGAAGAGGAAAGGGCACCAAGTGCCAATGACCAAAAGCATCAACACAAGAACGATTTATTAAATTATTAACATGAGCCACTTGAGGCCATGTTTGCAGTCGTGTGTTCTGTGCACATTTTAAAGTGCGGCATTAGAAAAGCTCATTTCCATTTCTATGAAACAGCAAAGAAATTGACACCCGCTTGGGTTTTTGTCACACGATTAAGTGCCACACAGATCAGCTGTTTCTGCTGTCACTCCAATCCAATCAGACCCCTGAGGGCCCGTACGGCGCACGCAGGTCGGGTGAACGAGTGACTGGACTCGTTTCCGGTTTGCAAACTTCACTTCTTCTCTTCAGTCACGTGTTGCCTGTAGTGCAAACTACTCGTTTATTCACTCAAAGCACAATACAGGCTCCACGACTGCGATCCCTGTTATTTGTTGTATATTATGGTTTCAGAAACCTGGATTAGGCCTCCACCTTGCTTACTCAGGGGGGGGGTTTGGTGGAGAAATGAAAAAAACACACAATCAGAAGCCTTAACCGGGTTTAATGATGTAAACGTAGAGGTCAAAACACCAATGTGCATGTAAACCGACTCATGCAACCTTCGAGGGAAGAGATTCACATTCCTCCTCCCGAGGATGGGTGGTGCTACAGCCTCTCGTGGAGGCTAACGGAAGCTAACGTTATGTAGACATAGCGTACAGTAGGTTGGAGGACGTAATGACTTTGTCCACGTTTTTGTAACTTGGGGAAGTGAAGTGACCGACCAGCGCGTGACACTACGCATCACTGCCTCCAGCGTCGCACCTCGCGTTCTTTCCTCCATAAAAATGGGAAAAGTTACACCTCAACCAAAAAGGGCACTGGCAAAGAGGCGCTGCATTTCCACACACACACACTCGTGATATTGTAATCGACACGGTAACAAGCCCGATGAGAATGATGTGAGAAGTCAGGGATGGATTTTTTTTTTTTTTTTTCTTCAAAAGTTCAGCAACACGCCAAGTGAAAACAATAAGCTAACAGCTCCATGTTGGCTGAGCAGCTTGAGGTGCTGCAGGGCCGCGCGTGATCCTCAGCGGGCTTCTTAAAGCCACGCTGTGATAACAGACACCTCCGCACTGTTCTGCTGCTGCGAGCAGCAGCCACAGACTTTGCTCGACATAACACAGTTAATTGCCGACAGACACATTTTAAACTAAACAGCAGTTGTGTGAGTGTGCGCTGAGGGCGGAATGTGTGAACTTTGTGTGTGTGTGTGTGTGTGTGTGTGTGTGTGTGTGTGTGTTGTCAGAGACTCGGGGCTCTGAGGGGTCAAATCACATTAAGTGAAAGTTACAGGGTTGAGCCCAATCAACCCCCCGGGGAGCCGCTTTCACTGCCAACGTGACGCCACGCGGCGGTGAGGGCAGCGATCATCGGGCCGAGTCACACTGAGGAAGCTACTCAGGGGCTTCGAAATGGGTCAAATAACGTCAGATCCTCATCCATCGGTGTTTGGGAATATTGTTCTCTTTATATCGCCGACCCGAAGGTGAAGGAAAGACGAGCCGGCCACCGAGACACTTCACCACGAGTGGTGGAGTGAGCTGGAGAATATTCCTGTGAGCTTAATTGCATGAGACGTTTTATTGACCCGTAACATTCTGGTACAAGATATTAGGAACCCTTTACTGCATTAAAAAGTCACTGTAATGAATCATTCTGGGTGATGCATTTTGATCCTTTACACCACGGACTCATAAAACCTTAGAAATATGAAGTCTGGGCTTGTATTAAACATATTAAAAATACATATTAAACACATGTACGTATTGTACACCATAATGTAAATACTATAACAATAACTACTTTTCCCCTAAAAAAGTGCCCAGTTTCTTTTCATATTTTCATATCAGTGTCACAGAGAAGAGTGGAGGTTATTTAAAGACACTTTGCAGTCACTCAGAAGTCAAGTGACTTTCATTAAACATTCTACATTTGGTTTACAGTTGAGGCGATGTTCGCTTCCTCAGCATCGAAATGTAAAAATAAAATTATTTAAGATATTTCATCAATGCGGATCGCATCCTGTACTGCTATTGATGACCTTTACTGACTCGATCTAAGAGGAGTAACTGGAGATGAGTATCGGCGGATTGAAGGTCATATTATCACGGCTCCTGTGGGTGAGGACAGACAGACGAAGTGCTGTTGGTCGGCTGGTGTCGTGGAGGTGAGCGGGGCCCGTGCAGGAGTCCTCGCGGGACTCCCCACAGACACAGAGCGCTCTTTGTGCCGCGGCGCCCCCCCCCACCCCCCCGGCCCCGGTGGCCTGGAACGGGCCGGGACCGTCAGGGGACTCGCTTTCCACCGGGTCAGAAGTGTTCTGTCGACAGCTCATTGATCACAGCTCATCTTGTCACCCGATCGCTGCTCGTGAAACGCCGCGCAGACGCGCGCACGCGCCCACGCGCTTCAACAGATACTTCAACTGAAGCTCCACAGCTTCAGTAAGACGCGGCTGAGGGCAACGGGCTGCCAGGCCTGGTGAAAGCGAACAAACGGCCACACAAGGCGCTGCTTCCAGAGGCCATGTCCTCCTGTCGCTGTTAGACCAAGTGCACTTTTATGGGCGAGCAGTAATAATTCCACGGAGACTTCCTAGGAGCAGGTTAGAATTCAGGCCACAGCGGTGGACGTTAACGTGGAAAGTGAGTTCTGCCTGAGCAAACATCGAACGAGTTAAAACTCTGAAGCAGGAAAAGGGTAAAAAAAAAAAAAGAGAAAAAGACAGTGACGTAATATTTCACACCAGAAAAAAAAAGGGAAAAAACGGTGTTGATATTTCGCAGACATTTATCAAACACGCCTGTGGATCCAGATCAATCGCTTATTTACCCAACCCCGTGTCAGCAAGGCCCCTTCCAGGAATTCCTCCATATCAATGTTGTGAAGCAGAGGAATAAAGTAAAGCCTGAGCGTGATGAGGGTTCCAGGCTGCGCTCGGGTCAGGTGGCTAAGCTGTGCTGTGCGACTCAAATGGCCCGTGACTTACCACACAAGAAGGTATGCAAAGACTGATCATCTACTGCATGTGCAACAATATTTGCTTTATGGATGGCTAAAACGAAGGAGGACTTTCCATGTTCCGACAGGCATGAGAATGGAGAGAGATGAGTGTCGGGACCAGAGCCGGGTCGGACAGTTGGTTCACGAAGCACCGGAGGCGTCGCTCTGTGTGGGAAGGAGCACCATCAGCGTCCCAAGGAAGCATTTCTAGATGGACGGCGATTTTACACTGACTTACACAGCTGGAATCCTTCACCCATCCCTCCTGTAACCCGAATCTCTACTTCCCACCTTCTCCAGACGAACCCGCAGAGAGACAATGTGATACACATGTCCGTTCTGACCCTTCACCTTTCGTAAAATGTGAAGAGAACAGGAAGCGCTGGATTCGGAGTAAACTGTAAACATTCCACATCTTTAGCGGAGCGTTCCCCCGGGCCTGGCGAGGTCTCCACGTTGTATATATAATGTTTTACAGTGTCGGACCTGTGGTCGCGCTGGCCCACGGCGCAAAGCAGACACTGCTGACGTGTTCGTCCTCTCGATCTGGGGAGGGGCGAGGGTGCCGAGTAAGAGCACTGGGCTTTTGTCCCACCACATGTCTATTGTGGCTGAACCTTTCCCTCGGGGGCAATTAGGACCTTTTAGTTTGTTGTAAGAGGACCTAAGTACGAGTGGGTCGAGCCAGCAAAAACATTTTTGAGCTAAACCAAAAACAGAAGCGCATTGAGCCGCTGGGCGCTCCTGGACTTCTGAGCATCTCTCTATTAAGAACTGTGCAGGCCTGCACTGAACAGACAGGAACTGTGGCAGCTTTACAGCGGCAGGGAGGCGACGGGGGAGCGAGGGGGGGGTTGAAGGCCACCCGAGGCCCCACCAAGACGGCAAACAAGTCAAGGTGGCAAGGCCACGCTTCACCGGGACGGAGTTGGGGGGAGATCCGCGGTTCACTTTAGCTCTCACACGGGGGGAGGGCGACGGCAGATCCGCCGCCGTGCAGAGAGCAAACACAACGGAGACACGGAGCCAATGAAAAGACATCCCTGTACGCAAAGAGTGTCCACGGGTGTGTCATTGAGAGAGTCCCTGTTTGCACATTGGGGGAAAATGAATGTGAGAGAGAGACGACACGAGGAAGGGACGGAATGGAGTGAGAGGAAACCCAGCACACAAACACGTTTCCCATGGCGCGCCTCGGAGGACCTCTGAGCGGAGAGCCATGAGTGATGAGGAGGGGTTAAGAGAACTGAACCCATTTAAGTCACCCAAATAAGGGCTGTGCCATCCGTGATGGATGCCGTGGGGTTCCTGAGGGAGAGAGCGCTGGCGATGGGAAGGGGGAGGTGGGGGGGCCAGCGGGGGTCCTGCGATCTCCACTTAGAAAAACAAATTGGTTTGATAAACGACGCAGACTTAATGTCCACGGAGACATACGTGAAACTAACGTGGAGCAGTAATTCAATGAGGATATCTGGACGACTACACATAAAGAGATGCAAGATATGGATCATCCGTCAAGACGCAGCTAAGCTATTTGTCGCTTGGAGTCCTTTCAAAATACACAGCACTTATTAGTCCACTAAGTAGAGGAACCACGGTTCCTGCAGAGAGGCTGCTGCGTTACAGAGCGCAGCATTCCTCCGTCTTCTCCTGCGAGCCCCCGTTCCTCTGTGAGCGTCTTCATGCACTCGCATGAATAATAAAACATTTCATTGGCTTCCTCCCTGAATTGTTACAGGTGGGGCGGTTCTTTAACACGAGGCCCCGGGCGGCGCGCTGCTCTAACAGGCGCACTTAACCCCCCCGAAGAAAGGGAGGGTTGTTCCCAGCAGTGACCCGGCTCAGGAGGACCGGCCCATCGGCTGCGTCCCGTAACTCTACCTGCAGGCCGTTTAAACTCGGTGTATTCGGCAGCGCGTGAACTAATACTACGAGACAAACACGTGGTGTCCAACAAAATAAAACTCTTACAGCGCTTTTATTACACGGATAAAAACCTTCAGCAGCTCCAAAGTAAGTAAGAGACTTCAGCTCGTCCAACTGGACACACTAACAATGTCCCCGAAGACGAGCCCCCACAAAGACATAAATGTGTGTTTTTACAAGCTCCCTGTTATGTCTGTGCTTCTATTTTGGTCGTCGCAAACATGTTGCCTCTCGGCATCATGGGAAGAACGCTGCGTGTTCAGACGCTCAGTGTTCGGTTGAGACAAAATGCTACGTGAAATCTCGAAAATCTCTTCAAGAACCCGTGAAAAACAGCAGTCCATGCGAGGCCGAGGGATTCGTGAGGTCTCGCGGCGTAATTGATTACCCCTGGTGGGGCAATCGGTGTGTGATTTTCTTTTTTCAGCCGCTATAGGAACGGAAACAAACGGGCCGCTCTCAGCAGCGGAGCCGATGCAGGAGGACGAGTGTGTGAGTGGCGGGATGAGGCCCGACAGCGGGATGACACACTCACCCGTACGGCCCGGAGCTAGCCTAAATACAGAGGCGCCCGGCGCTAAAGCCGGGGCATTAGGAAATGCCGCGAGATGCAGAGAGAATCTGCTGGAGACGGGCGAATTAAAGCGTGACCTGTGGTCCCCGTTGAGTAACATTAGCGAGAGCTTCCTGTGCGCAGGCCGTTCATCATCGCCCAGGAAGGTGGACAGTCGCCGCTGCGCACACACCGACGCCTCGCTCTGCAAAAACACGGCGGCGGCCGTGACTGCACATCTGTCAAGGGGATGTTTAAAAAGAGTCGTCATTATTAGTCTTTATTCGGGGGGGCTGATAGGAGGAGACCCGTCTGGTTAACGTCCAGTTCCTTTCCTTAACCAACGAGCCGGGGCAGGAGCGCTGGGGGGGGGGGGCAGCCGGGTACTGACGGGGAGGGAAAGGCCGGGCTCAGATAAGCGGTGCCCTGGGCCCGTCGGTCTGGGGATCTTAAATCATCCCCGGTCACTCCCCAGAGTTCACAAACGTCGGCATTCCCATCGCTAGAGAAGCCGGCGCTCTTATCAAGTGTCTTATCACAGCGATCGGTTATCTGGGGCTCCAACAAACACGCCGCCACCATCAAACACTCCCTCCCCCCACACACAAGAGCAAAAATGGGTCAGGGGGAAATTAATAGAGAAAGGAGAGCCTGGTCTAATTTGCAGCCGTTTCCAACCTTCTGCATTGGAACCAGGACGTGTGTTTGCGTGTTCATGTACGAGTACTTCTCACTTTTATTCCCGATCAGCGAAACAACCGGCTGGATCTCAGATTCCTCGTTGGCCTTCTTCACCATGCTGAACCAGTCCTCCAGGTTCTCAAAGCTCTGGTGGTTGGTGATGTCGTAAACCAGCAGAACCCCCTGCATTGGAAAACATAAACACGTCCTCAGTTTCGATCCCCGGATGCGAGTACGCGGCTTTGTTCCTCGTTTTCGTTTGAGCGAGAGTTGTACCGAGGGAGCAAAGGAACAGTAGGTGGCACTGCACCGCTTCCTAGAGAACCTGAGGTACCTTCTGTCTTACTCCGAACTGGTAACTCGTGCGTGGAACATGATTGGGTTCTGTGAGAATCGGCGCAGAGCAGAGGTACGTTCCGGAGCCGCACATCGGACGCAAGCTGAGCTCTTCTTCTACTGAGAGACGCACCGCGACTGCAGCGGAGCGCGCTGCGCTCTGATGCTCTGACGGTTACTGCCGGTAACGACAGGAGGTTCCGCGCCGCGCTCGCCGGGAACCGAGCCGCCCCGGGCCGGGAGGTGACGGCGAGGGGCGACGAGAAAGACGGTCAATTGAAGCAGAAAACACGCCACGCGCACTACGCTTCTACACATGACAGTGAATGGATCAGTTAGTGGCACCTTTCTAATGTAGTTACTCACTAATACTGCGTATGACGGAATAATGCGGTGAGTTTTAAAGCTCAATATGTCGTCACAATGACCTGTGACGATGTGGCTGCAGAGGGACTGTGGCTCTGAACGACACGGCTGTAATAATAAGCCCGAGATGCACCGACACTACAAATGAACTCTTCTCATGCTGATGATGTTACTTCTTTATACTCATATACGGCGGTTCATTTCTAAATTAACACATATGTTATCCCTCCTGAAAACACTGGTCAGACATTCTTGTATTGCTTTATGGAGGAGGAATAAAATAATTAAGTGCAGAAAACCAATGAGGAAGACGTCTTTAATCTGTGTGTGTGTGTGTGTGTGTCACCTTACATGAGCTCCGTATATATATTTATCCAGCATTTTCCCGCCTAACGTTTGGCCTCCAATGTCCCACACCTGCAGCGTCACGTTCAAGTTGCCTACAGAGCAGAAGAGAGACAGAAACACATTCGGCTGACAAGGAGGCGTCGATGTTTCAAAGGCTAAAAATCTTCTGCTTAACTATGACATTTCAAAAAGAGCAAAAGAAAACTGATGATATTACAACGTTTTCCTTTATATTTCTCCAGCTATAAGTGTTTTGGGGGAGCGAAGCCCACGTTGCTGATACACATCCGGTGACCCGCCCTCATATCAAAGGAGACAACGTACAATTAACCTCTAAATGACACGATTCTCAATAGAGTGGAAGAAAGAAAGAGCGACATGTATTCGCCCGTGAAGAGCCGTTTGCACGTTGCCGAATCCCAAGGTGGGACGGGGAGGAGAACTATGCGCTGTGGAGGAAATAATGAAACCCAAAACGAGAGGAAAGGACGACTCTCGTCCTCGTGCCTACGGAAAGACAACGAAGGAGGGATGAAACGGCCGAGAGGGAGAGAGAGAAAAAGACAAATCCAAACAAGCATTTTCTTCCTCTGGAAAATGAAAGGGGCGGTTGAAAGAAAGAGGAGGCCACAGGCGGCGAGGAGTTCATGGCGGTGTGATGAGGCCGAGCCTGTGGACACGGACGGACGACTCAACCGCTTCAGAAGAGGGAGGAAACGCTGATGTTCACAGTCACTACTCGTAGACTATACAGGGTGACTAACGCTTTCCCCCAGAGCGCCATCCCTCCCTCGAAGATCCACGCTTACTCAACACTTTTCTGCTCACAGCGATATTAGCAATGATGATAATTAAAACCCACGACAGTAATAAAACTGCATGGGGACAGTCGCCCGTTGAGCACGGTGGAAGCGAACGCGGACGGAGCGGATTTATCTGGTGGACCTCACGCTGCCGTGGCGGAGACATCTGGAGGAGGTATTGTTGTAAAAAGCACACGCACACAGAGGAGGCCGTTGTGCGCCAGGCGGCCTCGCCTCACCTCTCCCAGCGTCGGAAAAATGTACATTAAGTTTGACAAGCTGGGCCTTCATGGTGAGAGGGGCCGACGCTGGCTGCTGCAAAAGACCCTTACAGCCCCACGGAGACCCGGAGAGAGCGCCGGTACGCGGCAGGGTGGGGGACCACCCAGCTCGCGGAGGCACCCTCCTCTTCATCAGCTCATCAACACCCAATTCCCCAGAAAACGGGCCGTTTAACAGCTCCGCTGTTGTTGCTGCCCCGTTAAACAAAGGCTGCAGTGCAGAGCGCAGGGAGAGAACTTACTGGAAGGAGAAGTCAGACGTGGAACAGCCTTTGTCTGAGTTTGCGTTGGGACGTTACGGGCCGGCCCGAGCTTACGGCTGGCTCTTTTCACCCTGACTCCACCACAGCATTTTTGGGGGTTTAGTTCTCCTAAGTCTCGTAAGCTGAAACTGACACAAAATCAAAATAGTCTCCCCCGGCCAACTCACCAATCAGCATAGCTTTTACTTTTAGCACTTCATTTGCTCAATGTTGTTTTATTAGCAATGAAAGAATGGATCCACTTTGCAGATTTCTGGAGCTTCGGCCTCGGCATGTTTTTAGAGATGCAATTTAAAACGCTGAGAATCCCCATTTCACATGGTAGGAAGTCAAAATGGAGTGCCTTCGTCTAAATATAGCATCAGTCAATAAACATGTATTTTACAGACCTACGGGGGATCCAGCATGTGGCTTCATTTCTGAGGGGTTTAACATAAACAAACAGGAAGATGCATGTTTTATGTGGTCCAGGACAACGATCGGTTGAACTTGGGGGATCAGCGATATGGATATAAAATGTTAATGTGTTTACCCGGTACGCCGCCCACAGAATTATGAGCACGTCGCGCCCGTTCGGACATAAGCTGTCCATTGGCCGCGTGCAGCAGAAAAAAAGAGGGTTGTGTTTGCTCTGGAGAGAAGAGCTTTCAGTGTGAATAAGCCTGAGAAGTGGCAGACTCTCTACAATGAGGAGCTACCAGAAAAGACACATTCAGCTAACCCGAAGAACAAATATGAGAAAATATGTAAAATAAAACGCACCAAAAAGTGACGGCGGGACAACAGAACTCTTTGTTAATATTCTGGATCTGTTTAATATGGATAATGTAAAGTGGACATGAACGTCCAAACCTCAAAGTTGATATTAGAGTACAAGTGCAACTAGAACCTGGACACTGAATTGACGAGTTAACGTGCTTGTGCAAGACGCGTGTCCGGGTCTCGAGACAAGCGAGCGCTCCCAGAAGATGGTGAAGGTGTCTCACCTGGAAGGCTTATTCTCTTCAGAAAGAAATCCAGGCCGATGGTTTGTTTGTACTGCTTCCCGAAGGCCTCCTGTGCAAACCTGGTGACGAGTGATGTCTGAAACAGAGAGACAAAGACGCTCTGCAGCAATCAGCAGCACTGAAAGGTGTCAAAGCCAAAACCAGTTTTTAAAGAAAATGCCATGAAGATAAAGGCAGAAAGCTCAATTCAGTGAACAGGTAATATTCATTCGATATGTGTGCATTACATTAAAAAACAAGGCAAAAATGCAAGATGCTGCAAAACTCCATCCAGAGAAAATATGCAGCGTATTAAAGAACTTCCTGAAAAAGTAACATTTTTGTGCAGAGCCGAAGTAGAAAAACTTTGATTTAATTTACACTGACCAGATGCCAAAGTAAGCTTTTTACAGTATTCCAGTTAATATTTAAAGAAATAAAAGGGTATCGTATGCTATAAGAACACGTCCACACAGCACAGTTCTTATGTGACCTGCAGGACGTTCATTTCAAATTACAAATCCATTTAAAGCCCTTTGAAAGCTTTGTGATTGACAGAGGGCTGCGCTGATGTAACTGCCTGCCGCCTCGCTACTCAGACACGGTTGTGACAGTGAAAATCAATGGGAATTACAAAAACAGGTGTCAGAGTACGACACGTCTGCAGACCGCAGACCCAATGATTGCCACAAATTACAGAACCTCCATCACTGTCACTGTGTGTGAGGAGCGCGGCGCTCTCCTGAAGGCCATGGGAACTCACAGCGCCGGCTCGACGGGCCAAGTTAAATTCATTTTGATGGATGAGGACAGTGTTGGATGTCTATTAGCTATCTTTAGAGCGGCGTTCTTACACAAACACGACAGAAGTGAAGCGATGGGATTCCCTGAGTGTCCATGTGGCAGCAAATGCGTTTTAATGTGTACTTGCCGGGTCACAGGATTTAAAACTAAATTCTTTTTTTCAATCCACTGAGCTTGTGTCGACCTCCATTCCTCCTCAGGAAGTCTAGCTTTACCCACATCTTCTTCAAGTAAATACAAATACTGTCTTTAGGTACGGATTCCACATTGTAGATGCCACCGTAGTGTTTATACAAGCTTGATGATCATTGGATAAAATAATTTAATTTAACCTATTAAATGTGCTATCCAATCCTTAGCCGGTGATTTTATTACTTAACATTAACTTGGAAACGCAGGCTAATCGGTAACCTAGGAACTAACCCACCGACCTGTTGAGTCTCACGTCACGCGCTGACGAGTGACTGGAGGTGACTGACGCAACAAGGAGAAAATCGCCTCTTCGAGTCGCCCCAACAATCACTGACAACACAGGAATAACAGGCCCGGACAGCAGAAATGTGTTCCACATGCTGCCGTTGGCCGAGACGGCCATTTGTCTTGGCTCTCCAGTCGCTCGGCGTAGCGCCTTTTTTTTTTTTCCAACGTACAATTGAAAGTAAGCAGCGAACGTAAAAAGCTGGCGCAATCCCGACACCCAAACACAACAGCACAGAGTCAACAACGATGCCGGGAATTGGGGGAGGTTTCCTGAAACAAGAAACCGGGAGAGTTGCGGAAAGAAAACATGGCGAGCCGACCGTGTCCGCGTGATGCAACTCAGCGGAGAGATGCAGGGCGTTTTTGGAGCGTTGCATCAAAAGCAGCTCTTCATTCTGCTTCGACAGCTGAGGCGGATATAAATGTTGCAGGAGTGTGACAGTAAACAACGCTGCTGGGAAGCAGCACCAGCATCTGCACCTAAAGGTCTTTTTTACACGCCAAATATTCAGAAAAACTCAGTGGTTTCCAACTCCGGGTTAAAAAAAATAGACCTTTGTGTGAATCGGGCCCAGCAGCTACGCGCCTGGCTAAATGTGAGACTCCAGATTTGAAAAACATCTCGCTCAGGTGGACGAGCCGTCCAACATCTCCGTATATTTCTCAATGGACAACCGACCGCAAGCAAAAATACCACCGAAACGGCTGTCCAAGAAAAACTGATCCAATTGCAATTTGCTCAGCAAATTGACATTAATAAGGGGGGGAAACGGCATTCAAGATGTCAGTCAGTGGTGCCTACTCAAAATGGGGGGGGCAGGGCTGCCGTTTTCTGCCCCAGAACAGACAAGCAGGTAAGTCATTCAGACAGTGACGAGCTGACACCTGGCAGCGGGGCGGAGGGGGGTTATTAATGTAGCGTATCTACTGGGAACTGAGTTGTGTGTGTTCTCGGCCCCCCGCCCCCCCCCAAAAAAGAAAAAGTCCACTCTCCAGAATGAGAACATTCATTTTTCCCGTTGGCTCCCTCCATTACTGCCACATTCATTCTCTTTCTGGCGGGGGGAGAGTGAGCGTAGGTACCGAAGGGGACGCGTAGCGGAAAAGCACTTGACGCCTCGCGCTGCAGTGAAGAAGAACCGAGGCTGCAAACGACAGTGAGCAGGAAACTGTTGTGGATGTAAATTGGGCCTTTACACCACGTCATACTGAACGCGGCAGCACATCTGGAGGGGATGGGGGGGTCTGGAAGCTTGTGTAGATTTAGCAGAGACTTGACAAAAGGTACAAATAATCCAGTGCCTTCACAAATTATTATTTGTCATTTTTTCCGACCGAATGAAAAAATACAAACATTTCTCACCAGACTTTTCTTAAATGGGGCCCAACGAGGGTCCTCGGCCGGGAGGACGGAGGCGTACTGATGGAAAACAACCACGAGCAGCCGGCCGAGGCAACAAAATATACGGAACGTTCGGCACTCTCAACCGTCCGGTTAGTCAAAACTGTTCAGGACGCACTTAATTTGAAAAAACTACTACAAAAGGTCGCGACCCGAACCCGGATAAGCGGTTGAAGATGAGATGAGAAAAATGTGTTGATGTCATCCGTTTTTCTCCACATTTACCTTGTTGTTTAGTTAAAAGTTAGCTAATCTAGTTAGGCTCATTTTAATGGGCTAGTTTGAAGAGAATGACAGTAAAAATAATAACAGAAAAATAACAATATGATATCTTCAAAGTGCGCAGTGTCTAATCTCTCAGTTAAAGTAAAACAGCGCCAGCACGTAACCAACAACCGTGTTCTACAGCACACGCAACATTAATGAAAGATTTAAATTCATAATGTTTTCTCTGAGAAGGAATCAAAACTACAGAGAACTTTTAAAAACAAATAGAACTTTAGCAAAAAATGTGTTGATTTTCATTTTGCCCGGGAGACGTTTTTGTACTCGCAACTGTTTTTTTTCATTTGAATAATCTCCAACAATAAACTAACCCTCTAAAACTCAGCCAGGTTCATTTTAATCATCACAACAACAATTTTGTACAAAGTTAAAGTAATATGCGTTCACAGAAATGTGCTAATTGTGTAAACTAACTGTTTACACAACTTAAATGTGTATAAATAAATTGGCTAGTAAAGTTAGACAATACAAAGGAAATAGTCCCATTTGCATCTATACGAAATCAGGCCTGTTTGTCCCCATCGTCTCTGTCCTTTGTCTCCATGTCGGACACAACCAACCGACCTATAGAATAAAACATAGCAAGTCCTTTACATAATTATTAACACACATACAACATGTATGTGTGACTAATCACTAAACAACGTTAAACCAACACGGTGTCGTTTAGTTATCGGTGTCATCGGCGCTTCAGTGCAGGACACTATTTACGTGCGCAGCTTGTCTCCTCGATGTTGGACACGACGACACGACGACCTCCATCACGTCCGATCACGCGTTTTATGTCCTAACGTCACGTCATGACGAAGCTGACCAAATGCCCGCCGATGCCTCCGCGTCGGGCCGTCGTGCTGCGGCCGTCGGCCCTGGGTGTTGTTAGCTTTCAGCTAACGAGGCTACGTGGGCGTCGGTCGCCATGGTGACGGAGAGAAGCGCGAGCCCGGTGAACGACGGGACCCGGAGAGGCGCTGCGGCCGGTTCGGACGCTCGGGCTCGGGCTCGTGTCCCTCCCCCCGGTGACCCGGCGGGGGACCGCGACGGGACCGCGACGGGGCTCACCTTGCCGCACGCGCCGTCCCCGATCACTACCATCTTAAGCTGGCGGTCCTGGCTGTCCTCCTCCGAGTCCGACATGGCGCGCAACCCGCTCGGCTGGGTCCCCCGCAGAGAACGCGGCTGGTCCGGCGTCACCAGTCAGGCTGCCGAGAGACGGATTAGAGCCGCGCAGAGACGGGGGCCAGCGGCAGGCGCCATTTTGACTGCGGTGACGTAGCGCTGCGGCTCGGCTCGCCTCGGCTCGGCCCGGTCCACGCGGGCACGCGCTCTTCTGCAGCGGCGCCCGGTACCGACTGTCACGCCGCGGGGCTCCTTCGGTTCACGCAGGTTCACGGAGCTCTCCGCCTTCACGGGAAACGTTCCGGAGGGGAAACCCGTTGACCGGCGGCGTGGTGGCGTCCTGTGACGCGCTGCCGTTGCCGTGGTAACAGAGGTCAGAGGGTGACGATAAAAACGTGCACAACAAACACTCCTTACATCCTTTTCACTTTGCTGCTGTGGTTCCTTACTTTTGTCTCCAGTAACATTTACAAATACAGTATAATTCACTTTTTAATAAATACGATGCATTTGCAGTGTACCAAGATATTAACCCAGGCACAACGTTAACATACTACTACAAAAAATAATATATATATATATTTATATATGTCTATATATATGTCTGTATATGTATATATGTCTGTATATATATATATATATATATATATATATATATATGTCTGTATATATATATATATATATATATATATATTCAGATATTAATCAGCACCAATTTCAATACCATGCAATTTTCTCTAATTTATTTTATTTATTTTTATTTTATTTCATATATTTCCAATCATCGATTTATGTTTCTTTTGTCATTTATTTCTGTCCCTATTTAATATATTTACTGGAGGTTGAAGAGGAAGGTGCATGGATGGAAAGGGTGGAAATGTAGATGGAGGAAGATGTCCAACCTCGGCTGAAGAGCCTCCTCCACCTTTCTGTTGCGGTAACGCATCTGGCAGGAAAAGCCCTGTGTACATCTTCTCCTCCTTCCTTTTCCCACCTTCTCATGCTGCTCTTTGTTTTTCATCTCCTTCTCGGACACTTCTTATTTTCTCCGACTTGTCCTGTTGATCCTCCATCTGTTTGCCAAAGAAGCCGGTCCTGCTCTTCTCCTTCTTCTTCTTCATTTTTAAATCCTCCAGGACCGTCTTCGCGTCCGGCACCTGTTTGAATCCGGCCGGGCCTCCTCACTCTGGAGGAATTAATTTGCTGCTCAGCTTGTGTGTGGTGTGAGCTCCTCGCAGACTTCCCTTTGCCTTGATGAGATCCAGGATGGAAGTGTCCCTAGCGGGTCTGTTTCTCCACCCGCTCACCTTCTTCTGTCAGTCAGCCCTGTTGTTTCAGGTGCAGGTCTTCGCTGATCTTCTCCTCCAATTTCAGTGTCCTTTTGATGGATCTGTTCGTCCAACTGATTCACCTTCCATGGCACTCTGCTCTCACTCTGGCTGTGGACTGCTTGCACGTCTTCTGCAGGGACTGTTTCTTAAATTTCTCCACGTTGCCTGGCTGCATTTTCTAAATGTAGAAGGCAACGTTAGCACCAAGAACCATTTTCCCAGCATGCACTTTTCATCATGGCTTTTGTGGATGCCTCTCTTAAAAACTGAATTAACTGAATTTAAAGCTGCAGGGCATGGACAATTCAGTTCTAAACTTACGTTCTTTATTTTGAGCTAAACACTCATACTTTTAACCCCATCTCTTGTAATTGAAATTAGAAGATTTATTAGTATTTATTTTTTTCTAATTAGTCCAATTAAATATGAAAACTTATATAGCCTAAATATTGTTCAGCTATTATTTAATTGAACTTTCTTAGTTTGATTTGTCAGTTGTTGACTACATGCAGAGGTTCATATAACTGCTACTTCAATAATTATAGCATTAAATCACAGCCATGACAATACTTTGATGTTCCAGACCTTGACGTTATCTTGTTAAATTCTAATTAAATACCGCAAAGTTCGAAGTTTATTCCCCACATGGAGTGTGTGTGTGTGTGTGTGTGTGTGTGTGTGTGTGTGTGTGTGTGTGTGTGTGTGTGTGTGTGTGTGTGTGTGTGTGTGTGTGTGAAATAACGTATTGCAAATATTCAAACAGCCTCCAGAACGTGCAAACATTACAACACTTGACAAACCAGGTGATGCTTTGACTATGAGGGAAAATAGTCTTGTCTACACTTTCAGGCGGTGACTTTCCGTAAGAGGGACACGTTGGGGACAGATTTGAGCAGGTGGGATTATATTGGCTGTTTTTTTAATCAAGTAAAAATGCCGCGCCCCATGAAGCTTTGTGTAAATAGTTGTCACTAAGGTCTTCAGATCGCATTGCCCACGTTTGATGCAGATCTGATTTTCTTAAGAGGAGTTTGATGAAGAATTGCAATAAGAAATTGACAGAAATAAAAGGAAAAATCACATAATATTCAAAATGGCCGACTCCCCTTCAAATTTTGGTCAGGGGTTTATTTTTAATTTGACAAGTTATACAATTCAGCGTCAAACGTAAATCTATTTTACAGATTAGTATTAGGAGTATACATTTTTATTTTACTGTATAATTACTTATTACATCTATGCGTGAATCCATTTTGACTATTTATATAGTGTACACCTGACTGACACTATACTCTTGTATTACTCACAAACACACACACACACACAACTGCACGCACACACGCACCATCTTCTCAAACAGAATCCCATTTAAACCGATTTAAAATCTGCATGGCCAACGACCACTGAAGGGTTTTATTGCCCTCGTGGCGTCAGCAGGGTTGAAGGTTGATGATATTCAAGAGGAATCACACGTTTTGGGAAACGGGACGAGAGAACGTTGAGGTAGAATTACTTCTCTTTGGTTTTCATCAATGATTCCAATCGGTTCAAGACACAAAGCTTGATAAACTTAATATATTTAAATTATCCTGACAAGGTTGATGGTCTCAACCTGGAACAGAATCTTCACCCTGAATGATTTCATCTCTCCAATTGTGCTGCGTGTCTTTGGGTTGTTTGTTAGTTCAGAATATTGCACATCATGTTTTGCTCCAAAAAGCAAGAAACAAACTATTCAGTGAAATGAATGTAAAATAGAACACAATTGTTCTTGAGGAATTAGACCTTTTGACCTTGAATTTTATCCACTACAGTCAAACTGAACGTTTTCCCGCCGCCGTGTGAGCTGCACGTGTTCACTGAACCCAACGAACACAAGTCTTTCTTCTGTCTGCAGCTCTTCACTCCGCTGTGATGTTTACTACTGCGTCACTAATTCACTACTTCGTCACTAATTCACTACTTCGTCACTAATTCACGTGCATCTGCTGCGGAGTATTTGAGTGAAAGTGCGCGCTGCAGCAGTTTAAAGGTTGAGGCCTTTTACGCGCGGGGCGGGGGTCGCTAACCTTGATGGAGAGGGATTTGCACCTGGGCCACTTTGCAGCAGGTGACACTACCTGGCTGCTCGGAGAACACGGCGGGATTATGAGGGTGTGATTGACAGCAGCCGCAACCGGACAGGAAGCTTTCGGGGGAAATTAAAGCAGAAGGTTGGAGGCAGAAAGGTGGAGACGGAGGCGGGTTCAGATGTTCTGTCAGTTACTTGATTGAATTTCTCTGGTGAAATGTTACCGCGTCGCTGTGGACGAAGCACAATTCGATCCAAGCAACAAAGAATATGAAAACCAAACGGATGATCACTTATTGATTCACTCACAGTCGGACCTGTATCAAATATTGCGTTCAGGTGGTCATTATTTACATATAAACTATATGTATTTGTAGTCTGAATAACCTCGGAATATTAATGAATAACATGAACATCATCAAAATGCATCAACAAAGAGATAGAAAAATATTATCCAGTCACATGAAAACTGAACTGGACACAAATTTAAAAATGAGTTCGATTTGATGGCTTTTCAATCGGGTTCGTGAACGAGGAGTAATATTCTGTTACTCACTTTAGCTAATTCCATAAATGAACACGATGTATTAATTGGCTACATTATTGCATTTGAGAATAACACTGATAAATATCTCCTTTACACTCAGGAGCTCTTCAGCGTGAATCTTCAAATGATCTTGTTTTGAAAAAGGTTTTAAGTGAAACAGATTTTGAAACAGTTCGGAAGCCTCACAGTGAGACCATTAGAGCAGACATCGGGCCATTGGAGCTTCTTTTACTGGGTCGCTCATCTCAAGGACCCGCGCGGGGTCTTAACGGCATTTTCATCTGACCAATAACTGCTGCTGGGATTTTATACAAATGAATTAATTCGTTCAATTATCATCATCCTAAAAAGCGAAGAGCAGGCTGAATCCATAACTCACACAAACACCCCGAAATCAAAATGAAAGAGCTGCGGGCCGTATCATTTCAAAATGAGACAACAATAATATCAGCATCTGCAATTTAACAGTTTCATTTGCGTTCCAAATCCCATTTCTTTACTCCGCGAGCGACAAAAAGCTCCAACGGCTTCTACGTGTTTGGTCACAAGGGCACAAATAGATCGGGATTGTGCACAAACCCCCTGGTTTAATGGACGCGACGGGCGCATTCCGGGGTACTACCAATAAATACACCAAACACGCGCGCATTGGATGAGAGGGAATCACCGATGAGGGGGTTTGCGTTTCAACCATCGCGGGCTGAAAGGAAAGAACCTGCACGTGCAGGTAAAAAGGAAGCCACGTGGGACGGGCCGCTCCTCGCGAGGCTGCCTGCATCGAGGCTACCTGCATCGAGGCTACCTGCATCGAGGCTACCTGCATCGAGGCTACCTGCATCGAGGCTGCCTGCATCGAGGCTACCTCGGTTGGGGACGTCTAGGCGGCGCCATGATGTCCGGCGGCTTGTTTCCACCGTGAGGGTCGAGGAGGATTAAAACCACTCTGTTCACACCAGAACGTTCGGCTCGTGTCCACAATCTGCCGACAGAAGGAACACTTGATTCCTTGGACATCTGGTGTATTTCGCCACGCAGGCCTCACACATAGAACACGCACTTTTATTCAGATGTCCGCAGCGGGTGTTTCATCGTTTCAGAGGCAGATGGATGCTGACCGAGCAGAGAGTTACAGCATCAGGCCTCAGACCATTAAGAGAAGCGTAACACATTCCCCCAGTTGGCCGAAGTCGGCCGTTTACGAGGTGCCAGCTGTGACACCGGGCTCCGTGGCCCCGGAACGCTCCTCGTGGGTGTCGACATGCGGCCTCGAGGTGTCTGTCTGTCCGGGACGCACAGCAATTCATCACTGTTTGACAGGCGTGTTTGGGAGGAGAGGACAAGGACTTCGGTGCGAACGTCAGGCCACGTTTAGTGCGTTAAAAGCTTCCGTTTCGATTATAAATAATAAAGTTGCGTTATAGAGATAATGTGCAGCATCAAGGAAGAATATTGATATTTTCTGCATATTTAGCAAAAGCACAAAACGCGTTCCCAAATCAACCGCTGAGGTAAATGTTGCTGTTAAATAATAATAAACCTGTAAAGTCTTATAAATCTGCCAGTTTTTATTTTATTTCAAATGTGGTCAGAAAGGAGGAAAGAAAAACATCAGAAGTTTTAATTCCTCGTTATTTAGTTGGTTTGTTTTTTTCCTGTCGCGGTTGTCAAATTAAACTGAATTTGTAATCCAGTTCATTGTTAGATAGTAAATGTGTTAATTATAATAATGTTAAGATGTAACATTGGGTAACCTTTCCAATCTGGTAACACAAACCGTAAAATGAAATTGCATCCAAATGAAGGTAATGCCTGATATGTTTTAATGTTTCTTTCAGTCATTTTACACGAATAACACATGTACATTTCAATTAGAGCGGCTCTGTTTTATCACCTTTAGGCCAATAACACAGGAGCGCCTCCTGTCATCCCCACGCGACCACAATGCATTTTACATCAAAGTGACGTCACGTAAATAGCTCCAAAGTGCTGAAACATCTTACCTTTGCAAACACAGCAACGAAAAAACACCTGTAACAGACAGTTAAATGTAACGTCAAAGGAAAGGGTCTATTTCCAATCACTGCAGAGGTAGGAAGACGCGTGTCAAATATAAACCAACATCACGGGACATTTTCTGTCAGTTCAGGCCGCAGGTTCCCAAAGCGAGGTCCGCGGAGCCTCGGAGGTCCTCGCGGGGCTCCCGGGCAGAGAAAGGAATACTTCAAAAGTTAATAGTGTCACTCCTCAGAGGTCAAAATACTACATTTTAAAAAGGAGGTCCGCTCTCCCCGCTCACGGCCGTGTACTACACAAACGGGGGAGTATTTGTGAGTATTTGAGGACGTGGAAGCGGTTGGGGAGCCGCGACGTGGCCCGAGGCCCCACGGTGAGATTAGTCCCCCGGGTCTCATCCTCTGCTCAGGGAAACAGTCAGTCAGTTGTGGGAAGGAATAAATAGCCACAGATTGTCACGGATTCCCCGCACACGCGGAGAGCGTCCACGCGGGGAGGCAGTACGCGTACGGGTAGTAGTAGGACGGCTGCAGGGAGAGCAGCGGGGGCCGCAGGATCTCCCCCGGGCCGTACTGTCTCTGGTCGTCTCGCACCAACACTTTCACCGCCACCTTCTTGGCCGCCGGGGTGGACGCCATCAGGTCGGCGGCCATCTGGCGGCGCTTCGTCTTGTACCGCCGGTTCTGGAACCAGATCTTGACCTGGGTTTCCGTGAGCTTCAGGGAGGCCGCCAGGTCGGCCCGCTCGGGCCCGGACAGGTACCGCTGGTGGTTGAAGCGACGCTCCAGCTCGAAGACCTGCGCGTGAGAGAAGGCCGCGCGGGAGCGCTTCTTCCGCTGCTTGGGCTGGTCCGGGCTCCTCCCGTCCGGCGCGCCGCAGTCTGGGAGACGGACACGCGCACATCAAACACGCGTCAAACAAGTCGATTCCTGCATGTTGTTTGTTGTTTCCGTGAACGCACCACGGCGCACCGGATGCATTAGTACAAGAGTCTAATCCGGGTTTTTATTTTGCCCTCAACTTACTGACTCGTTTGTTTATTTGGGGGTTACTTAAAAAGACTCCAGTGAACCGCGTGGGTCGTTTTTAACGTTACATGGGACCATGACAGACTTTATAGAGCAGGGTAACCACTAGTATTCGCGCGTAAAAGCAGAAGAATCCGTGCGTAAAAGAGATCTTCTATCATGAAATAACTCACGGGAACAGGACTGATATCCATCAAAACACAAGTGGAGCCGATGGGTTCTGTTCTAAGATGAAGATGATCGGATCACTTTTACTTGGCGCGCATCTTCATCTTCATCCTACTCACCCGTCGCGTTGTTCGGCTCGCTGTCGCTCTTCGCGTTCTCCGCGGCCGCAGACTCGTGGTCCGTTTCCTCCTGCAAGCTCTCCTCCGGCACATCGGACGCCGGCTCCCCGTCCTTCCCCGACTTGCACCCGGCCGGGGTCTTGCTGTCGGCGTCGTCGCTGAGTCCCGAGTCCGAGTCGTAGCCCTTCTGGTCCGGCGGCTCACGCGCCTGCGCCTCGTCTCTCCGGGACCCGCCGTTCATCTCCCCGAATATTTTCCAGCACGCCGTCTTGGAGAAGCACATGTCCAAATCTGGCAGGTGTCGACCGTCGTCCTTCTTGTTGAGGATGGCCTGGATTGAGAACGGCATCAGCGAGTTGCCGCGAACGGCCATTTTTCCCAGAAGTCTGCTCGGCTCTTCCCGGTGAGAAACGAAGAGAAGTCGGCGTCAGTTCATCCACGTGTCGTGCTACTCCCCGGCGGAGCCCCGCGGTGCCTCATGTGTCGGTTCTGGGTCGCATCCCGGCGGGAGAAGCCGTGGAGAGTTTCTGCTACATCCGCAGGCTCGATGCTGCTCCTCCGCACGGCTCTGGCATCAGCCCGGGTTCGCTGCAGTCTCCGGCCCTTTTCACCCAACTCCTTCCACCGTCCACCCTCACCTGTGACTGACAGGCGCTCCGCGGCGCCTCCTATTGGCCCGAGCAGGGCGAAAGCCGCTTCGTGATTGGTCACTGTGATCCACGTCACGATGCTTTCACTCGGGGGGGAAAAAAGTGAAAAACAAGTTACGATGGAAGCGACGTGCAAGTTGCATCCAAACGAACTATTCCGCCCCCCAAAAACGTCCCCCCGGGTCAGCAGCCGGCATGTGATCAATAACGCAGGATGCGCGTGGCAGAGCGCGTGCAGAATAATGATAATATTATATATGATAATATTAAGAGGATCGTCAAAAGAGTTTTGCGTAAAGGTGTGAGAGACCCGCTTATCACAATATTAAAGAAACGTGCCATTAACTTAATTACTCTAAAACCTTCACAGCCAATTTACACATCAGTTTGAACACCAGTCACATCAGCATTATATTTAATTTCATTCCTCGTGCACTGTTGTCTTGTCGTCCATTGTCGTGCTGTCGGCTGTTACGCACCAACCGCCAAGTCACCTTGTGTGTCTGACACGTTATGGCAATAAATGTTTCCTGATTGCTTCCCAGAAACACGTATTTAATTGTTGTAGTTACTTATTTCAACGAGGGGAATTTATTTGACTTCGTGCAAGTCGGTTTCTATTTAATAATTAATGCTGATATTTTAATTTGGCGGGTTAAAAGGAAAGCGTGGACCGATGTAGATCCTCATCACGTGTTAATAAAAAGCCATTTGGGGGATTGAGCATCACTACGTGCCGCCGATCACAGCCTTCAGGAGGGTTTTATTAACCAATCAACATTTAAATGCTTCTTCACCCTACAGCTCCTGAAAATAACCATTTTATCACTGAGAATAGGACGCTATTGTTTAAGCAAATTAATAAATATATAGAATTATAGAATGTATAAATTATATGTAATAGACTCGAACACTACTATGTGTTTTGTTTATAACAGTATTTCCCCCATTTAATATAACGAGCTTTAATCAATAACTAAATCTGTTTCAATAAGTAAAACAAAGAAATTATATGAATCAGTGCAGCAGCATTAATACCGTTTTATGAAATAAGTCCTTACATAATGCAGTCAAAATATAATTTAGATATAATAATAATTGTGAGGCGTAATGATAATTAAATTGATAAAAAATAATTAGTTCTGTTAACCTGTTTTTTAAGTTAAACGTTACAGTTGATAAGAAAACAATATTAGAATCGAAAATCAAAATTTTTTGATTTGGGTGTTTTGCAGTTTAATTTGTGTTGGTTGAGACTTTATTTCTGCCTGTGAACCAAATTGAATATATATTAAAATAAGAATAAACCAACAAACAAGCGCGTAACAGTGTTCTCTCTCTCTATACAGATCTATATTTATATATATCTATATATAAATATAGATCTGTCCACGAAGGCCTTTGTGTTCATTAAGTAAAACGTATGAGCCAATGAACAAAATAAATGACGCTTGTTAAGTCTTCAAATTCATAAGAATAATAAAGAAAAGATATTAAGAAATATTGATTCAGCTTTAGTGCCGCTGTGTCTTTGTGTGCACATATTATACCATCTAGTGGCCACTAGAAACCCTCTCAGCTCTTGACTTCTTCCTTTGGGGTCACACGTCTCATTGACACGTGGTGACGTTTGTCTGCTCACTGGAAGCATTGAGGCCTCCTCCAATGAAGACAGACCTCCTCCGATGAAGACAGACCTCCTCCGATGAAGACAGACCTCCTCCGATGAAGACAGACCTCCTCCGATGAAGACAGACCTCCTCCGATGAAGACAGACCTCCTCCGATGAAGACAGGCCTCCTCCGATGAAGACAGACCTCCTCCAATGAAGACCGACCTCCTCCAATGAAGACAGGCCTCCTCCAATGAAGACAGGCCTCCTCCAATGAAGACAGGCCTCCTCCGATGAAGACAGACCTCCTCCGATGAAGACAGGCCTCCTCCGATGAAGACAGACCTCCTCCAATGAAGACCGACCTCCTCCGATGAAGACAGGCCTCCTCCGATGAAGACAGGCCTCCTCTGATGAAGACGGACTTCGATGGACGTGCACGTGTCCTCGGGCGGAGGAGAAGCACAAACCACTGAGGCGCTTTCACACGTCCTCCCTGTAGAGACACACAGGACATCGCGTGGGATTCTCTGTGTCCTTCGTCTTAGAAGCTGCCTCCACGGAGCTCCTGGTTCTCTGCAGGTCACCGAGCCGGAGGAATAAACAGCAGCTTGTTTTCATTCAGGCCTCCAAACACATGAGTGTCTGAGTGTCAGCTTCACTGTGTCTTTGCCGGTTAGAGGGGATGACAGTAAAAGCCCCTTCGTGTACATAATGGTGATTATACAGTTCAAATGTGAACCGTGGGTTCAACGATTAGTGGTTTTAATTGTAACATCCCTCTGTGAAGCTTTGAATGGAGGTGAGCTGAAGATACACAGCAACATCTGAACGTCTCTTCTGTAAACAACAAATCTGAATCTTCTGAGAAGTTGAAGCTCATTAATCAACAAAAAAAACTCCACTGTTCTCGGCACAATTCCTTTGTTTTTGGTCAATCAAATAAATATAAATCAACAATTGATTAAAATGAAACAATAGAGTTGAGGCGAATGAAAATGTTATTTATTAATTCTCATTATGTGTGAAAAGGGTGATTCCATGGTCCTGGAGCCTGAAGGGGGGAGGGGGGGGGGGGGTCCTCAAATGTCTTCTATTGCTTAAAACCCCAACATGTAACACACAATAAATAAGGAAATGTTCAAATTTGAGGAAGTGGAATCAGTCAATTTGTCTTATTTTTGCTTGATACAATATAAATCATTTCATGTGCAGACATGGTTGTGAACCATATCTTATATTATTAAATTATTTTAAATGAATATTTTCTGTTTTCCTCACAGAGGAAACACGCACACGAAACACACGCGTTGGTGGTTTGTGTGTCTGAACACTGGAGCTTGTCGCCCTCTGCTGGCGAGCAACACGTGACATGATCACTGCATCAGGAGGTAAAAGGTGTCGACTGTTCTCCACATGACCGGGTCCTTCACCCCCCCCCCCCCACCCCCCACCCCCGCCCTCCGTTCAATACACGGTGCCCCCCCCCCACGAGAAATCCCGTCTGATGCAGCAACACACCCGTCGCCGTGGTAACGGCTGCGTTCATGACAGGTCTTGAATTGTTTTCTTCTCATGTGCTGGTATGAGGGAGGAGACTCACAGCCCCCCGTCCCCCCGCCGTCCCCCCGTCCCCCCCCCCCCCCAATGTGAAAATAGCTTCCAAATGGTGTTCAGATGGAGCAGCACAGGAGTCATTTGCAGTAAACGCTGCCTCTGGATTTCTCTCCTCATATCAGGTCCACCGCCGTAGGGCCTTAATCAACCCCAACGCTGCAAAGTGGGACAGACCGGGGTTGGGGAGGGAGGTTGGGGGGGGGGTCACTGGCAGCTTCAAGTGGGCTTTTAGTCACCCAAGTTCCAATTGATCTCTCTCCCCTGAAGAATAATGATCTCTGCGCGCGATGGAGCGTAGATGGAGGGGGGACAGAAACTTTAAACGTGGTACAGCACCAGGGGGGTGCTGTTTCGTGTCCTCACAAACATCTCCCAGCAATTTCTTCTCATCCGAAAAGCTGGGGAGGGGGGGAGGTCTCGGGTTCCAGCACAGCTGATGTGTGTAGATAGCGCAGGCGTCATTTATAGGTGACTTTCCGGCATAAAGCTCTCAGGGCCTGAAGGGGCCTCGGCTCCCTTCGTCCTCCTCGCGCCCAGATGTACTCGTCTGACCCGGTTCGCCGCTGACAGGGGTTAGTTACCTTAGTTAGTTAGTAAGTTACCTAAAACTATGTTGCATATCTACATAAAATCTCAGAGAAATAGTTTCAGAAATGAAATGTTTGAATATCTTGTGCTGTGTGAAAGAAAACAGACACTATAATAGAAATATCGGTAATAGAATCCTCACATTTGGCTCAAATCGATTCATTGAAGAAGGTTTTCAACACCGTGAAGAAAGAAAATTATTTTTATTTTCCAACTTTTTCAACACTGTTGAAAACATATAACACATTCTTTAAAAAATATATTTAAGAAAATTATTTCCTGAAACAGCTCAAACAGTAAATGAACATCCGTTTGTTTGTGAATAACTTCTCCCACCTAGAATGGACCCCATGAGGTCAGGTGATCACATCACAACAGGAACATCTCAGACATAATCTCACCTCAACTGCACAACTCTTTCAATACTGCAAAGACCCCCGGCCCCCCTCGGCCCCCCCTCGGCCCCCCCGCTGCTGCCTGTCGCCGGCTATTTCTGTGCCTGTGGTATGAAACCGTTGTGACGTTAAACACCTGCTAACTTTTACGTGTTGAGTAGGAGCGGCTGAATGGGGGAGCATTATGTTCCCTAATCCCCCGTAGAGGAAAGACCCCCCCCCATCCCCTCCGCAGAGACCTCCCTTCCCTCTGACAGGGAGCCCCCACCTGAAAGGAGGCCCGCACTGAGCTGTAATTGTGAGGTTTGCATCAATAACATAATTGACACTCCTCTGGGTGCCAGTTGGATATTTAATGTAAATCTGCAGGAAATGCTTCATTTCAAATGGAACTTCGAAGGTTGACATTGTAGTATTATATATTATATGAAAAACACATTTGAATATTCTTCTGGCTGAAGTTGGCTGTAATGTAGAAAAACTATTGTTGGAACTTTCAATGTGTCTGTTTGTGTTTTCTTTTCTCCGGAATGCAAGAAAAGGGTCAAATGTGGTTTTCAGAGAGAGAATTAGCAACTAGAAAAAGTAAATATTTGGCATTTTTAAAATATAAATCAAATATTTCCGTAAAATAGTTGCCGATACATTTTCCTGATCTCTACTATTCATATTTGTTTAATATTTCCCTTCATCCACTTTGAGTAAATGTGTCAGTTGTAGAAACACTGTGATTCTTTGTAGTTTGATCGAGAGCTGAAACTTCTTTCCTTTCAGGAGCAAATAGATTTGTTTCACTTGAAGCGTGTTTCCCAGCAGCAGTTAGATTATATGATCTAATATATATATATATATATGTATATAGATCATTATAGCGCTCTCTTGCTGCTTGAGGTCCCTGCTGTGCTTTTCTCCGTCTCGAGCATAAAACATGGCGCCTATAAATTATTCTAATGCGCCTGCAGAAACCTTCTGAGCTACGAGGCAAACGACGTGTAATAAAACGTGAGTGAAAGGAGCGCTGTTGGTCTGCCAGGCCGCTGCTCAGAGGAGCTCAACCAACCCGTTAAAGGAGCAGGAAATACCTGGAGGAGGAGGAGCACCTTCAAGTCCTGGAGGAGGAGGAGGAGGAGTACCTTCAAGTCCTGGAGGAGGAGGAGCACCTTCAAGTCCTGGAGGAGGAGGAGGAGGAACACCTTCAAGTCCTGGGGGAGGAGGAACACCTTCAAGTCCTTGAGGAAGAGGAGGAGGAACACCTTCAAGTCCTGGGGGAGGAGGAACACCTTCAAGTCCTGGAGGAGGAGGAGGAACACCTTCAAGTCCTGGAGGAGGAGGAGGAGGAGGAACACCTTCAAGTCCTGGGGGAGGAGGAACACCTTCAAGTCCTTGAGGAAGAGGAGGAGCACCTTCAAGTCCTGGAGGAGGAGTACCTTCAAGTCTTGGAGGAGGAGGAGGAGCACCTACAAGTTGAGGAGGAGGAACACCTTCAAGTCCTGGAGGAGGAGGAGGAGCACCTTCAAGTCCTGGAGGAGGAGGAACACCTTCAAGTCCTGGAGGAGGAGGAGCACCTACAAGTTGAGGAGGAGGAACACCTTCAAGTCCTTGAGGAAAAGGAGGAGGAACACCTTCAAGTACTTGAGGAGGAGGAGCACCTTCAAGTCCTGGAGGAGGAGGAGGAGGAGGAACACCTTCAAGTCCTGGAGGAGGAGGAGGAACACCTTCAAGTCCTGGAGGAGGAGGAGCACCTTCAAGGTTCACAGGAACAGTCCCAAACCTCATTAGAACCTACTGAGCGCTTTGAGGCCTCCTGATGTTTAAACGATAGACGAATGTTTCACTCAGTTTGTCAGGTTTGTCCCCCGTTAGCGAGAAGGAACACCTCCTCCTCCTCCTCCACCTCCTCCTCCTCCGATGGGTTGGTGTCTTTTTCTACTTATATGTTCACAACGACACATGAGGGGAAACGAATACAAATGTCCTCATCCGTTCCGTTCAGTTCTCCTGAGATGTAAAAAGCCGATAACAGCTCATTATTCTCCCATAATTCACATTTTTTAAAGTATGTTTAATTAAAAAGCAACCAAAGTGGCTCAAACAAGGAAAGGAGGAAACAATATTCAGTATTTTTATATTTATGTAAAAAAGGCCTTTACATGAACAGCGAGACAATGAACACAATTGTATTGATCAACAGAAACAGTACAAATCAATTGATTACAAACAGTTCTGTACTACTGTTATTAAAAAAAGAAGCTTTTATTCCCTTTTGGTTATTAAGAATAAAAACAAACTTCCATTCACAGAATGAACGTTGGACTCACAGTGACGTTTACGATGTTTCACAGTGAAATATCAACTTTGACCTCGGATCACGCTGGACTTTGATTGGCTGATTGATCGGTGCTGAACCAACAGGAAGGAGGAACGTGAAGCCACGCAGAGCGTCTCGCTGTCCGCGGCGAATGAAGCAGAAACGTCTTCCTGCGGCTCCCGGGGGCTCTGACCCCCCCGACAGCTTCAGCCCGCTGCTGGACGTCCTAGCGCTTGGCCCTCTTGGAAGGAGGCTCCTCTGGCTTCTGTCCACCCCGTGTTCGCACCGCAGGGGGGCTGGCCTCCCGCTTACGGGCCCCCCTGGTCGCCTGGCCCCTCGTCCCGCTGCGGGGGGGGAAACACGGAACAAGTGTCAGCGCGTCACAAGTGTCACATTCAGGCGCCGTAAAGAGAAGAGGACTTCAGGAGCAGTCGGGTGCATCTTGTCAGGAGACCTTTTTCCTTCTAAAAGCCTTTGCGTGAAGTTCTGATTCATTGGACGAGTCGAGGGACATTTACGGCTTCATCGGAGCGTCCCTCTCATTGGCTCAAAACGTCCCTGATATCCTTAACGAGAGGCTGTGATTGGCTGCGGGGAGCCGGTTGGTTGTGAACTCACCGCGTGGCGGCGGACTCGTCTCTGCCGCCCTGCCGGCTGGCTCGCGTGGACGGTTTGCTGGGCTTGTTTCTGGAGGACAAACGAGGGACAACAGGAGGTGATGGACAGAACTTCATCACTGCAGGAGCCCCAACGTCTGCAAGATGAACAAACATCTCCAACATCCACGTTTCACATCAGAAGAACCAGAAAAGATTTAGTACCACGGAGTCGTGTTACACGTCCGTGTATTAGTACCACTGTACATCCGTGTATTAGTACCACCGAGTCGTGTTAAACATACGTGTATTAGTACCACTGTACATCCGTGTATTAGTACCACCGAGTCGTGGTACACATACGTGTATTAGTACCACTGTACATCCGTGTATTAGTACCACTGCTAAGTCCGTGTATTAGTACCACGGAGTCGTGTTACACGTCCGTGTATTAGTACCACTGTACATCCGTGTATTAGTACCACCGAGTCGTGTTACACATACGTGTATTAGTACCACTGTACGTCCGTGTATTAGTACCACCGAGTCGTGTTACACATCCATGTATTAGTACCACTGAGTCGTGTTACACGTACGTGTATTAGTACCACTGTACGTCCGTGTATTAGTACCACCGAGTCGTGTTACACATCCATGTATTAGTACCACTGTACATCCGTGTATTAGTACCACTGCTAAGTCCGTGTATTAGTACCACTATACATCCGTGTATTAGTACCACTGAGTCGTGTTACACATCCATGTATTAGTACCACTGTACATCCGTGTATTAGTACCACTGCTAAGTCCGTGTATTAGTACCACTGTAGGTCCGTGTATTAGTACCACTGTACGTCCGTGTATTAGTACCACTGAGTCGTGTTACACATCCATGTATTAGTACCACTGTACATCCGTGTATTAGTACCACTGCTAAGTCCGTGTATTAGTACCACTATACATCCGTGTATTAGTACCACTGGTAGGTCCGTGTATTAGTACCACTGTACGTCCATGTATTAGTACCACTGTACGTCCATGTATTAGTACCACTGTACGTCCGTGTATTAGTACCACTGCTAAGTCCGTGTATTAGTACCACTGTACGTCCGTGTATTAGTACCACTTGTACCTCTCGGCCTCCAGGCGAGACGCCGCCCGTGTCGTCGCTCTGGTCGCGGCTCCCTTTTCTTCCTCCTCGTCACCACCACTGGCAGGTTCCTCCACACGAGGTTCTTCTGGACTGCTGTCCTTCTTCACGTCCTCTTCAGCCTGTTGGATTATGGGTTACATCTGAATGCACATCGGGACACACATGGAGGGAAGTGAATACACATTTAGAAGGCGGTCTCCTCACCTCCACAGATTCCTGCATCTCCTCAGATCTCCTCCTCTTCATCGCTGGTTTACCTGGAATAGAAATATCCAACAGATTTTAGAACATAACTGAAGTTACGTCCTAACGTAACTGAACGTTACTGAAGGAGGACACCAAAAACAGGAGGGAGTTGAGCTACGTGTGTCGGCGGGGTCTCCTGCAGCTTCAGACCGAAGGTCGGCTGGACTTCCTCCTCCTGCAGATTCCTCCTCAGTGGTCTAACATTTAGTAAAGAAACACACAGCTAAGATCAGTCATTGTGTCTGCAGGCAGAACTCTGCTGTCGTGTGTGTGATCACTTCTCAGGAGTATCTGTGTGTTAACGCACCTCCTCTCTGCCGGTGCTCTCCTTCTCCACCATCTCCTGCTTCTCCACCATCTCCTGCTTCTCCTCCATCTCCTGCTTCTCCTCCATCTCCTGCTTCTCCTCCATCTCCTGCTTCTCCTCCATCTCCTGCTTCTCCTCCATCTCCTGCTTCTCCTCCTTCTCATCGTCTGAGGGTTAGAAAAAGCAACATTGTGGAAAATGCAAACAATTTATTATAACCAAATAATCACTTAAGTTAAGAGCCGGGAACAATTATTTTCCTCATCGTCATCCAGAAGAGAAATGCTGACATCTCCAGCTGCATCTTATGATCAACAACTGGGATGAGGAGTAAAATACGAAGACGTTTGAGGCATAAATATTCATCAGTGCCTGAAACACCAGGAGGCCCAAACCCGCCCGCCTCCTTTTACCTCCAGAGGCCCCTCGGCCTGCACGCCTCCCCGAGCCGCTCGGAGGTTCCTCTGGTTCATTCGGTTCCTCAGATTCCTTCGGTCCCTCCGGTTCCGGCGTTTTTTCTGGTTCCGGCAGTTCCTCAGATTCATTCGGTTCCTCCGACTCCGTCTGTCCCTCCGGTTCCTCTGGTTCCTTTGGTTCCTCAGATTCCTTAGGTTCCTCCGACTCCGTCGGTCCACCTGGTTCCTTCAGTTCCTCAGATTCCAGCGGTTCCTCAGATTCCTTCGGTCCCTCTGGTTCCTTCGGTTCCTCAGATTCCAGCGGTTCCTCAGATTCCTCCGGTCCCTCTGGTTCCTTCGGTTCCTCAGATTCCTCATGTTCCTCCGACTCAGTCGGTCCCTCTGGTTCCTTCGGTTCCTCAGATTCCTTCAGTCCCTCTGGTTCCAGCGGTTCCTCAGATTCCTTCGGTCCCTCTGGTTCCTTCGGTTCCTCCGACTCCGTCGGTCCCTCTGGTTCCTTCGGTTCCTCCGATTCCAGCGGTTCCTCAGATTCCTTCGGTCCCTCTGGTTCCTTCGGTTCCTCCGACTCCGTCGGTCCCTCTGGTTCCTTCGGTTCCTCAGATTCCTTCGGTCCCTCCGACTCAGTCGGTCCCTCAGGTTCCTCCGATTCCTCCGATTCCGGCGGTTCCTCAGATTCCTTCGGTGCCTCCGACTCAGTCGGTCCCTCAGGTTCCTCCGATTCCATCGGTCCCTCCGACTCAGTCGGTCCCTCAGGTTCCTCCGATTCCGTCGGTCCCTCTGGTTCCTTCGGTTTCTCAGATTCTTCCAGTTCCATCGATTTATTTGGTTCCTCAGATTCCTTTGATTCCTCTGGTTCCGGCAGTTCTTCTGGTTCCTTCGGTTCCTCAGATTCTTTTAATTTCTCCAGTTCCTCAGATTCCTTTGATTCCTCCGGTTCCATCAGTTCCTCAGATTCCTTTGATTCCTCCGGTTCCATCAGTTCCTCCGGTTCCATCAGTTCCTCTGGTTTCGTTGGTTCCTCAGATTCCTTTGATTCCTCCGGTTCCATCAGTTCCACTGGTCCCTCTGGTTCCATCGGTTTATTTGGTTCCTCTGGTTTCTTCAGTTCCGTCGGTTCCTCCGGTCGGTCTGTCTCCGCCTCCTCTCCGGTTCTGACCTCCACAAACTTCTCCTCATCTTTCTGCTGAAGAGCAGACGGGTCAAAAGGACACACAGACATTTCAAGTAGAGTAGAAGATCTCTACATGATGATCATTTATGTTCTTCAGAAGGTTCCATTTACCTCAGCAGGCTCTTTCATTTCCTTCTCATCACCTGATCAGTTACAGAAACATAAAACACACAATAATGAGAACTTGTTCCTGTGTTATTTACTAACTAGATGATAAAAGCATTTAGTTAAAAAACATCTGAATCTTGAAACAATGAAATGAGTAATAAGTCACCAGGTTCTCCTCCTGCTGAGGAGAGCCTTCGTCTACGTCCCCCTCGTCCCTCCGGCTCGTCCTCCTACGTCACAAAGAAGCGTGATTAGAAAAAGGCGTCAAAGATCTGCCAGATGTGGAACAGATGTTTGCCCCCAAACAAACTGTTCAGCGTCACCTTGTTGGACAAGTCGGTCGTCTTGTCATCGTGCTGGCCGTCTGCGCTGGAGACGCTACCTGAGAACACAAGCAAATACATATAAATACATATATATATATGCGTGTATTTCTCGCCATCAGGAGGATTTCACAGAAAGTCCCAACTCACTGATTTGTTGGACGGGTTCGGACCGACTGTCGGGTTCCGTGAGCTCCTCGGTCTTCTGCAGGACGTTGTGTTCCATCTGCACATCAATCCAGAGACACAAGGACAGATGAGACATGAGCAGGAGAGACCAGAGAGGAACGCTGCCGCTGGGAGGAGCACACTTACAGTTCGTGGATTCCTCTCCTCCGTTTCTTCCTGCGCTGTTTCCCTCTCAGCTCCACCTACAGCTGAAGGGTGGAGGGAGGGTAAAGACTTCGGCCTGTGCACTGTGCCAGAAATACGCTTTGATCAACACTGGACTTACTGTCGTCCACCTCGGCCTGCTCGTCCTCAGCTTCTTCCTCTGCCTGTAAAGAGAGATGAAGTGATGAGATATGAAGGAAAGGCGCGAGTAGAGTAGCGAGTGACGGGAGCTCACCTGCTCGTGGGTCTCCGCGTCTCTGCTTTCGTCCCTCGTTCCTGCTTCGGACACAACACAGAAGGTCAAGAAGGTCGATGCAGGACGACGCCTCGCCACGTCTTCCTCACACCTCCAGAGACGCGACTCTACGTTACCTCGTTGGCCGCTTCCCTCGGGACGGGCTTCTGCACCTTTCAGCTTTCATTCTCAGCGGAGGTGATGTCCTCCTGCTGCTGAAGAAATGACGGGTTTCCACAGCAACGCTTCAGGGTTACGCGCGCAATCACATCGTGAATGAAAGAAGCTCAAAGGGAATAAAAGACACATTTCAAGTGCTCTTTATTCACCTGCTCGGATGTTTCCTCCGTCCCGACTTCCTCCTCAGAATTAGACGGATCTGTGGGGGAAACGTTATTCTGAGGACGCGTTCAGATCAAAGGCTCACGTCACCACGGCGGTTTGCCGTTTACCTGCAGCGCTCGGCTCGTCCCCGGAGGCCGTGACCTCATCAGCCGGAGGCTCTCCTGGCTCGGCGCCATCGGTTTGCATCCGCCCTGGGGGGCCGTGGTTCCCCCGCCGGCCCGTCGTGGAGGACACGGTGCTCTCGGGATCCATGGAGAGGAGAGTCAGAGCCGCCTCTTTCATCTTCAGGTCGGCCTCCTGCAGGGTCGACCCGGGGGGGAGTCTGGCCCCCGCTGAGGTGCAGACGTCCATCAGAGCCAGCAGGGCGTCGGCCGGCGGCTCGGGGGGGGCGTCGCTCAGGGCGTCGCTCAGGGCGTCACGGGGGTCGTCGGAGGCGGCGACGGGGTCGGAGTCCGTGCCGGCGTCCCGGAGGAAGGAGCCTTTCTGCGGCTGCTCCTCTTCATCGGGGGAGGAAAGCAAAGACTTTTCCGGTGTGTCCTCTGGGGGAGTCTTCGTCTCTTCTGTCCTCACGTCTTTCTTTTCTGGGACTTTGTCCTTCTTCTCCGCTTTTTTCTTTCCACTCTTCAGCTCCTGCAGAGGCTCCTCGCAGCCCCTCTGCTCCTTCGCATTGACCTTCTTCTCGGGTTTGCAGGCGCTCGGAGCTTTACTGTCAGTCCTCGATAACAGAGTCTTGGTCTCCTCTTTGGACTTGGATCTGGCTCTTTCCACGGTTCTCGCTCTATCGGACGTCTTGGCCCTTTTCGTCTCCGTTTCAGAGCTGCTCTTGACGGGTTTCTGGCCGTCTTGATCTGCTTTTGTCTTTTCCTTCTCGCCGTCTTTATTGTCGCTTTTGGATTTGGGCCGGTCCTCGCCGTGGCTCTTGGACCTCTTCAGCGGTTCCTTGGAGAGTTTCTCTTTCTTCTTGGAGCTGTCGGGCTCCATGTCCTCAGACGAGCAGGCGGAATCAACACGCAGGAGCTGCTTCTGGTCACTCCTCGCCGAGGTTCTCTCTCCTTTGGCCTTCTCCTTTTCTTTGCTCTTATCTTTCTCCTTCTCCCTACTCCTGTCCTTGTCGGCTTTGACAGCCTCCACAGACGCAGCTCTGGACTTCTTGCCGGAAGCGTCTTTAGGACCTTCATCTGCGACACCTTCTGACAAAGGCGGCTTTCCTTCTCTGGTGGTTGGAGCCATTTTCTTCTCACTTTTGATCTTAAGTTTCTTCTCACCTTTCTCTTCAGGGGTCCCTTTGACAGCAGCACCTTCCTTCTGCTGGGCTTCATCTGCCTGATGTTCACACTTCTTCTCCTGCTTCTGTTTGGCTTTGGCGCGTTCGTCTGACGCGCTGCGTTCTTTCTCCTTGCGTTCTTTCAGGTGAAGTTCTTTACGGGAGAACCGGTCGAACTTCCCGACGGAGCGCTGCTTGAGCGCCTCCTGGGAGCCTTGCTCCAGCTCCAGGATGAAGGAGTGAGTCCGGCTTTTGTCGCACAGCCTCTTGGGCTCGCTGGAGTCCTCTGAGGCGCTGCCGCTCGTCCTTCTGGGCCGCTCGTCGGAAGAGGCACATTCCGACAGAATTCGGAGGCATTTCGGTTGCGGGGGCTTCAGGGCCGCGGATTTCACTTCCTGAGTTGAAACGACAAAACGTTGGTTACATCGAACCTGTGGAGTCACTTTGATTCACGGCGGCTCTCACGTACGGCTTTCTTGGGTCCTTCTGCATCTCCTCTCCTCCTGCTTGGAGCATCTCCGTCCTTCCTGCAGGGTGAGAGCGATGAGTAGACATTTGGCTGTTTTGGGAAGCGGCGCGTGGATCCGCCGGCCGACGGTCACCTACCTCGAGTCCAGCTTCCTCTTCCTGTTGAGGGCCATCTTCTTCTCCAGGACCTTTCTTTCTTTGCGAGCCTCCTTGGCTCTCGGGCCCTCCAGAGAGGCTCCGCCCTTCTGTTTCCTCTGGTCTGCGCGGGAAACAAAGTGGCTCTTTAAGACCTCCGAGGTGAGGGGACAATGAGGACAACGGGACTGAAGGTGCAGATCTCTGGATGTTCTCTTCAGCAGGAGGCGAGTACCTTGTTCTTCCGCCTGCGCGGCTTTCTGCTTGCGCTTCTCCTCCATCCGCTCTCGGTTCTGCTGCCTCTTCAGCAGCCGTTCCTCTTTGTCCTTCGCCTGCGGGAACACAGCCGGACGGAAATCAGTGGGTTTTTTCAAAGCGATGGACTAGTTTTCCCAGGAACGCCTTGGATTGACCTTTAACTCACCGCACTTCTCCGACGCTCTTCCACGGTGATCTCATCATCCGAGTCGCTATAGTAACGGGAGTAGAGGAAGGGCTTGTGCACGTACGCCTTGCGCCGAGGTTTCCGCTCTTCTTCCTCTGCGTCGCCGCCGGCTTCTCTCTTTTCTGCTCCCTCGTCTTGATCTGCCGGAGGAAAAGAAGATGTTTACCTGGGCTGGAATATTCCTCGTTCGATGATTCTGTTTGAGAACAAATGGTTGAGACCGTCCGATTGAAGTTCTCCCTCTTCAGAAGAATCCGACAGCAGCTCGTCGTCTTCACTTTGTTCCTCCAACGACGACAAGTCGCTGGTGTGGACGGAGCTCACCGTGATGTCGCTCAGCCCGTCCAGGTCCGAGTCCTCCAGCAGGTATTCTGCAAAGACACGGCTAGAAGACCTCAAAGTGGCCTCGAGGTCTTCATACAACTCGTGTTCTCGATTTGTTGTAACAACTCGGATCAATTGATCGGCCAGATAAAAAACTATTGATCAAATATCCACAAATAAGAAATATCATGTTTGGATACGAGTGTGTATGTAGACTGTTAGTTTACCAAAATTTACTAATTACAAAACCCGCCTGCAGTCAGAATCCACTTCATGGAAACGTCTTCACATCAATTTAATCCTCCAGTTATTTTTTAGGTTCAAGATTGTTTCTCTGACAAATCTGAATATTTTGAAAAGACGACGTCTTCCAAATTGCTTCAAGCTGTCCAACGACAGATGAAGGACCCAAAGACATTTCTGTGTGCTCTTCATCTCCACAGCTACGAAAGACAAAGCACAGCTTCATCAGAGACGTTCTCAGAGGATGAGGAGACATGAGCTCACCTTCTTTTATCCTCTCTCGGTCTTTCTGCTTGGCCTGACTCGTAGATGTCAGCACATCATCACCATCACCACCATCATCATCATCACGCTTCTCTTCTGCGGGTCTTCCTGTTGTTTTGCTGGCCGCGCTCTCTCTCTCCTCCTCGGTCTGCTCCTGAGCTCCAGACTCCTCCTCCTCCTCCATCTTCACCTCCTCCATCAACGCTTCTTTTCCCAGATCCATGTGTTCCTGAGTGTCCTCCGTCTTCACTTCTAACGCCTGGACCTCCGCCGCCGGCTCCCGGGCCTCTTCCAGCGTCCTCCCGTCATGGTGGCCGTCTCCTTCCTCGTCCACACTCATGTCCATCTCGCCGTCCTCCGCCGGCAGCGCGAGCTCGTCTGGGCCTCTGCGTCCTTTGTCCGAGCCGGCCCTGACGCTGGCCTCCTGGTTGAGGGAGGTGATGGTGTCCAGGATGGACATGGCGTCGCCGGCAGAGGTGGTGGCCGGCGCAGAGGTGGAGGCTGCGGAAAGGACACGTTAACCCGGTTCAGCCAGACACAGTTCAGCAGCGCGGATCTCGAGCGCGGTACCTTGCTCCGGGTCGCTGACGTCAGGTTTGGTCTCCGTCGAAGGAAGCGGCAGCGGCGGCTCCTCCGAGTAGCTGCCGGGCGACAGGAACTCCCGGACCACCCGCTCCACCTGCGGCCTGAAGAGATGGTTGACTTTGGGATCCACCACCTGGGCCACGATCCTGTCCACTCCCTGCTCCAGCATGCCGGACCTGAGAGGGACAGTCGGATCAACGGTGGCTCCCTCGCACGTGAACCTTCGTTCTGCAGCATCGTGACAAAGAGTCGGGCGGCGTCGCTCCGGTTCCACTTACTGCAGCACAAGTTGGCGGATGTTGTTTCTCAGCTGGTTCTTGTTCAGATGAGGACTCCACGTGTGGTTGGACAGGTGGTTGGAGACAAAGTTGTCCACTCTTTGTTTCAGGTTCAAGTAAGCTGGCTGAAGGAAAAGAAGAAATGAATGTTGTTGGTGTGTGAATTACAAGCTAACGGAATCTGTTCAATACGGAGCGTTAACATTTACTCAGTTGGTGTAATAACAACATAATTCAGTTTATAATAATGTAAACAAAAAGTAAATGACAGAAATCAGCCTATGATTCCTAATCAATAATTAACTCAGACACCACCTGTTAAATCTGATGGATTTACATCACCTGTGAACCACAACACATCTCTGTGTTATTATCTACAGCTACACAGAAATGAATGGAAGCATAAAGCAACAATATGTTTTATAGATGGATGAATAGATAGATGAATATATGCATGGATGAATAGATAGATAGATAGATAGATGAATATATGCATGGATGAATAGATAGATGGATGAATAGATACATTACATTATGTAATGTAATGTAATGAATGGATGAATATATGCACGGATGAATAGATAGATAGATGGATGAATTGATAGATAGATGAATATATGCACGGATGAATAGATAGATAGATGGATGAATTGATAGATAGATGAATATATGCACGGATGAATAGATAGATAGATAGATAGATGGATGAATATATGCACGGATGAATAGATAGATGGATGAATAGATAGACAGATGGATGAATTGATTGATAGATAGATGAATATATGCACGGATGAATAGATGGAGAGAGGATGGAGCTCACAGGCACTGAACGAGTTGCACGTTTAAGGTTCACTGGAAGTAAAACGGTCCATGTTTTCTACCTTTGTGTCAACGTCTGCGAGGCAGTCCCTCCGGAACTGGTCGAAGAGCCCCTGAGTCTTCAGGTGGCCGACGATCATGGAGACGAGCTGCGGGTCTCCGGGGGGGAGGCCGGCCATGTCCGAGCGGAGTCCGTTAAACCGCTTAATCGGTTAATTCGAATGTGTCGGCGGGGACGTCTGGGACTTGAACGCACCGGAATGCTGTTATGGTTTCTGAAGTTCGAAGCGGGTTTGACCCGGAAGTAAAGTTTATTGTTCCGCTGAACCGGAAGTTCTTTGAAAGCGAGGGCTTTTGTTACCTACCAAAATAAAGGTTTAGAAACATTATTTTACATCTGCTTAACAACCACCCATCACACACAACATGCTCTGCTGAGTACGCTATTTGGTAAGGTGTGACGCTGTAACCGAAAAAAGCCGGATGTTAGAAACGCGTTAAATGATTATAAAGTAAAGACTTTGAAAGACGCCTTTTAGTCAAAGCCACACAAAAAACTTTTACACGTGATGTGACGCCTGATTATATTATATTTGGAGCCCTCTAGCAAGAAACACTCTCATAACATTAATATGAAATCCATCGCTCTAATTCGTGTTTTCAAACATTAAACCGACTTGGTACAATTTACCAGATGGTTGTTCGTGACGCAGACAGAGCGGTTACGTCATTAATCGTGTATTTATACACTGCGGTTCTGTGTGTAGATTACTTACTGTTCGCTTTGTACTATAGCGGGTAAAATGTATGGCAGCGGTGGGATTCGAACCCACGCCTCCGAGGAGACTGGAGCCTTAATCCAGCGCCTTAGACCGCTCGGCCACGCTACCGGGTGCCTGTTGACGCTGATGGATACGTTCAAAAACCTATTATTTCATACTGTAAGATCAATTCTAAGCTGTCAAGAACCAAATAAAGGTATTTTAACTTTTTAAAGTTATCGCGATCCTGTCTTATTTTATGACACCAATAGTTACATAATCACTCATTAAATGCCCACAAATCATTTTATAATATTTATTAGAAATTAAAGGAACAGCTTGAGGGAATTTAAAACCACTCCGGCTCTCTCATCTTAAACTGTTTGAGAACACGGTCACCTTACTCAGTTTAACAGTAGTACTTTGGCTTCAAGACCATCCGCTGCAGAAATCCCAAATTACAACAGTGTCCGTAAAACAAGAAAAAGGAGCCAGAGAAGAAATAGCAATAAAAACACAGACACACACACACAAAAAAAATAAAATCAACCAAAACATACCAGAGACGATGACATCACACTGTACGATAATAAAAAAAGTAGGTACACAGTCATACCCATCATAAAAGGTGCCAGAATAATGGCAGTTTGAAGCCCACGGCAGTGAACCCAAACATGCTGGCCAAGTCTCTTGTGGAGGACAGATAAAAACAGCCCTCCGGGGGAAGGCGGCAGGCAGGAGCTCAGGACTTGCCAGGGCAGATGGGGGGCAGGACTCGGCGGGAGTTGGTGCGCACCCATGAGTGATCAATGACACTCTGCAGTGAGAGGCGGTCCGTGGGGCAGTGGCGTAGCAGCTTGGTGATCAGGTCCTTGGCACCGTCGGAGACGGTTTTAGGGAACTTCAAATCCACCTGCAAACAGAAAGATAGTTTATTAAAGAAGGTGAACATGGTGGTGCAGGAGAAACTGACAGGAATTGATCGGTTAGCTGTTGCAGAGACATAGTTTTGGTTATTGATAGCATTGATACCACCAGGCTTGTGGGAGAGTCTGGACATTCAGACAAATGTTTGTCATTAACTTTCCTTAAAAAAAGAAAAGCTTATAAAAACGATTGATATGTATACAATCGGGTAAATGATGCCATATGTCCACTGCACAGTTCGGCTGTGCTCAACCCTGGTACCAGGTACTTTTTTTGCACCACCCCGGTCAGGGTTCCGAGCGAGCCACGGGGATGGAGAACTCTGCAGACCCCTGACCGGTCAGAGAACAGCCATTTGGACATCAATGCACATCCTGCACCAACCCGCCCAGCTTCCACGAACCTTCATAATTCTTTTGTAGGTTTCCGAGTGGCTCGCCGTTTCAAAAGGTGGGTTGCCGACCAAGCACTCGTAGCAGAGAACCCCGATGCACCACAGGTCCACCTTCTCACTGTGGGCGTGGCCTTCAATCATCTCTGGAGGCAGGTAGTCCAGGGTCCCGCACATTGTACGACGCCTGGATGGGTTTAAAACAAAGAAATGAGGCGGGCCAGCAAAGAGTGACGTGACACAGCAGCATCAGGCCGTGTTACACAGAGCAGAGTGGCTCCTGACATTATGCTGCTTCAGTTCTTCACCTTAGAGATGGTGCATGGACGGACCAACCAAAATCTGCAATCTTTAGCTCCCCGCGATAGCCCAACAGCAGATTCTCTGGCTTGATGTCTCGATGAATCACTTTCTTCTCATGGCAATACATTAGTGCATCAGATATCTCCTCCATGTACTGGAAATATAAAAGGAGGTGGCCATTGGACCACACAAATATTATCAAAACAAAATTGAAGATAAAATACCACATCAATACCAGCTGTCAATCTGCTGTTTGAACCCAGGTGACGATTTGCTGATTACAATGAACAAACTATGTTAATTTTAGGGCTGCGAACAACGAATCGATGAAATTGATAAAAAACGATTATTAAATTTACTTTACTTAACTTAACTTGCACTACAATGATGGTAATAATTTATCGGATAATAAGTGAACATGGGAGTGTGTAGAACAAGTTCTGAAGTTAAAACAAATACTTTCTGATTTGTATTTTTCTTTATTTTTTATAAATATGTTCAAGGAGCAACCTGCACTTTCTGAAGTATTTTTGCAATGCGAATTTGCAGTTCCGTTTTAGAATAAAGGGTTGAAAATGAAAGCTTTTTAATGCAGTTTTTGTATCGGATTCATCGATCATCAAAATAATGGTTAGTTGCAGCCCCAGTTAATTTACTAAAACAAAAGCGCACGATTAGAAGGTTATCTTTTAAAAGCATAAGGAGCTCTTACTGTGGCAGTACGCTGGTCGTCAAATTTTCCACATCTCTGCAGCTCCTTGTACAATTCACCGCGCGGGGCGTACTCAAGCACCAAGTAGACCCTCTTCCGGTCATGGAAATAGTTGTAGAAGCGCAGAATGTTTGGGTGTCTGAGGAGAAAACAGATTTTGGTTTAGGCAGCATCAAGACTGCTTCCAAAACTGAGTGAAGGACATTTTAAGTCGGCATCTTCTGCAAGTTGGGTACATTGAAGTGGAATAGATGCCTTATTCTGGTACCATAGTAATATTCTGCCCCACAAAATACACAAACGCTATGGGTGAGCAGTCTGCTACATGAGGGCGCGTCTCCCCTGATAACTTGCATGTGTGAGAGCTGCGCAGTCACAAACGCAGAGAACGTTTTCAGTAAATGCAGCATCTAGTTATCTCGATACAGAGAAATATTGTGCCGATTTCATGTCGCTCAAAGCAGCGCTAAGAATGCCACGAAGAATCCTTGGAAGAGGATTAATGTTCACGTTAGTTATATTTCAGGATACTCACTTGAGATGTGCCTGAATCTCAATCTCCCTCCTGAGTTGATGCTCCACACCCTCCTTCTCCATCTGTGACTTGAACAACACCTTCAGCGCCACAATGGACTGCAGCTTCTTCACCCTGGCAAGGTAGACATTACCGAACTTGCCCTTCCCGAGCGGTCGGCCGATGTCAAAGTCATCGATGGAGACTTTTCTGATGGAGTACAAAGATTGATATTCTCATATTAATCTTTCAAATGTATGAAAGTACAAATAGTTTGAAGCGTTTACACTTTGAAACCTAAACACTAAAATTTGAAATCTGGAAAGGTATTTTAGTGAAGTCTAAAAAAAAAAAAAAAAAAAGAAAAAAGATGGATCTAATCATTTAAAAAGTCCCCAAATGTGCTCGTCTTAGAATATACATTCATGGCCAGCAGCATCAAAATCAAATTAATATAAATAGTTTCTAGATCTGTTTTATTTTTCTTGAGGCAAAGACATCATGAAATATGAAGACATTTATTTGAAGCTTAGTTCAATAGTCAATAAAAAGCCTTGAATGTTGAAAAATGACGTCAGTTCATTGCTGTATGGAAGCCGGACAGACAATACAATATACTCACTTTGATGCTGCACTGGAGGATGCGCCAACACACTCCCTCCCAGGGCCTGAAAACATATTTTTTTAAATCAACCCAAACAGGTAATCGTCCCGTGGTGTGTGAGTGTGATTTTACCTGTGATGGCGTTTTTGTCCACCTCTGTCCGTGGCTTCACCTGAACCCGCTGGGGGCCTGACAACATGCTTGGCGTTGCAAACTGGTATTCAGAAGCAAACATTTAGAGAAGCATTCATATTGTTGTTGTTTTAAACCGATAGTGAACACTTTTATTTATACATATAGGTCTGCCAATGCTGGCGTCAGTGGAGGTAAAAATACTGACAATAGAATGCTGCTGTAAGACAGCTGTCAAATTATTACAATTACCGGCTTACCGGTCGCTGGAAACTCCTGGGCTCATAATTTTCCTTATTCTGTAAACAAATACATACAACTTATAATGTACATGTGATCTTGTGTCTTTTCTTAAAGTTCAGACTTCAGCAGAATGGCACTGAACATTTGCATATATATATATATATATATATATATATGGACAGAGATTCGTCCTTTATTAAAGCAGAATGAAGGGTCAGGGCTCAACCGCTTTCTTTGTGACTTGTAAGAGATCGTGTTGACTTTAGAGGGGCTTTGGTTTGCAGCTCACTCAACGGTATTAATGCAGGTGGATGGTTTGTAAAGTGAGCCTTACAAATATCCTCGTTAGTTCTTCAACAAACGTTACCTGACGTCCTAATACGACCACATAATACTACATATCATTAAAAAAAGGGCCATACGTTAACGCAGAAGGGCTGTCATGTTGATCAGTTCCAGTATTATTCTATGTGGCGTCATTAAGCTAACGCTACGTTCGGCTAACGCCGCCTCAGAAGGCCTGTTTGGGTCGGTTCGCGTCGGCACATCGCCTCGCAGCGGGTGTAATAAACGACATGGTAGTCTGCGAGTTACTCCCGTAGAAATGCCGTGTTTCTACAGCTCTTTATAACACGGCGTCATGCCGCGTTAGCTTAGAAAGGTAGCGCCGCTATGGTTAGCTTAATTAGTTAGCTCAAATGTGTGTTCTATTGAAACAATACGATTTGCGCTAAAAACGAATCCTGCGTTAAACTCATCAGTTACTCAATGTTATTTATCCATCAAACAGTAAGACAAGAGAACGTTACCTGCATTGTAGTGGAGATTTGTAGTATAACGTTTAAGTGGAGAAAGCTGTTACTATTTTGAACTTCTTCGGCCGCCAACGTTTTCAAAAAGCTACCCACGCTGATCCTGATTGGTCCGTGTGTTGCGCACAAGAAGGCTCCCATTGGCCACGATTGTTGAAAGAGGAAGCGTGTGATTGGTTCACACCACGTTAGTATGACGTAGACCCGCCCTCATTTCCTAGACTTCTGCAATGGCTGCTGTGGTCTCTGTTGTGTTGCTGTCTTCATCATCCTCGGACAGATAACTTTACGTCTCCTTAGATAGTGGAACAAATACGTTTATGCTTCTGATTCCATCAAATATCGTCTTTGATCCAAAATAACCTCCCGATTATGAGTTACTTTTGAAAAAAGGTAATTAGTGGCAATGTAACGCAAATATCGGCCAGTTTGGTTGACAGTTTAAATTAACTGTGAAACATTGTGTACACATTTCTCACTTGTCAAATATATTGATATTTGATAGATGAAAAAATACTTTTAGCTGAAGATCAGAGAAGTGCGATAAACACAAATGAAAAGTTCCGTAATAGCCCAAAACTGTCACATATGTTTTCTCATTCAGAAAGGGCACACAAGTTGACATCCGCAGGCAGAGAAATGGGTCCATCAGTCTAAAAGAGATCTTAAGTTTATTATAGAATTATGCAACAGTTTAATTCAATAAAACAAAAAAGGCAATATTACCTTAGGATGGTTTGTTTAAAATAGCTTTATTGAAAACTCATTTATTTCTAGAAATGAAGAGGTTTTAACTGCAAATGTTTGGCTTGCTTAAGTTCAATTCACATCAGTGACACAGATTTTCCATGTATACAACAAACATACATTTTACAACTTACAATAAAGGAAAAACTAAAACGTAATAAGTTACTGAAGACTCATTTGAATGTATTGTGCCGTTTTTCTGTAACAAAGTCAAACTCCTGCGCGGAACACAACATATTTTTTTGTCTACATTGTGGCGAAGGAACAGGAAGCAGGTGGCTCATTGCGAGCAGCGCGCTTCAGTAACGTCTCTAGTCTAGCTTTGACTGCTCCATATTTTGTTTATTGTTGAGAAACGTATTTCTTTGCGTGTCTGCGACGCATTTTGAAGCGAGCCTGCCCGCTCAACAACCGTGAGACTTGAACACAATACTTACACCGAGAGACAATATACATTTTTCCAAAGCAAATGCTGTAAATCCAACAGCAGGGTCGCTTTGTGGAAAGAGGATTTATCCTCAGTGTGACAAAGTAATTTGGTGTTTTTCTATTTGCTGAAATAGCCAATATACATCACGCCTGGTCATTTCATACATGGGAGTAAAAATGTGCTACATCACAATATTCAGCACTACTAACAGTAAGATTTCATCAAAGTCTGAAGAAATAGGATTTGAAAGTATATTTTCACTACCAAAATTACAGACATATAAAAAAATGTATGGTGCTGAATATTATGTCATTATTGTAATTATTAACAAGCCAAGGATCTCAGATGACAGTTGAAATAAATTCTGCTTTGAATGTTAAGTTCAGAAAATTTACAAGAAAGCGGTCTTAAAAGAGGAAAAGATGAACTACTTCATTTCAAATGTTTCTCCCAGTATAGGTCCTTTTAAAAAATGTTGCTGACATAAAAGGTCTAAATATCCGATTCACATCCACAGAAGACTCGGATGAATTAGTGACATCTGGTAGCCATGAAGGATGCGCATTCTGCATTTACCAGAAGCAGAGAGCACATTTAGTCTGCACTCGTCTGAACGGAGCAATTGGTGAAAACTAAAGTGCAGGACGGCAGCAGGACGGCCAGCGAGCGACGCAAACTCGGAATGGGATCGTTCAGGTCTACTGTGTTGTTCTCATCGTTGCTGTTTGCGGCAACTACAGCTTCTTCATTATTCGGCTCTTCTCCACCTCCCCCACCACCTCCCCCCTCCCCCTCCAGGACTGGTGGGCCCTGCTTAGGCTGGAAGGTCACATCTAAAAACTCCATCCGGCTGAGCCCGCGGAGCATCCTGCAGCTCCGCACTACCTGCATCTCGCTGAGCGTGCAGGCCCACAGGCACAAACACTTCAGGTCCTTCAGGCGGCTGGCACAGAGCAGGCCCGGCCCCACCTCTTTACCCCCCAGGCTCAGTTCCTCCAGTCCCAGCCATCCGGCGCCCAGCCCGAGGGAGGCCATCTGTAGCTGGTAACCTTGCCGCCCAGTGATGCCGATCTCCAGAAACTTGAGCCTGGAAAGGCCTTCCACCTCACAGACGCCGCTCTTGGCAGCACAGCTCCTGAGCCCGTTAGCAGTCACGCGAAAGGTGTCGCGCAGCTCCAAGCGGCTGAGCCGCTCCCACGACGTCAGACTCTGCAGATGCTGGTCCGTGAAGGACGGCACGTTATTAAGGACTAACCTCCCAATACCGACGCCGGACGGAGAGCCGAGCGCCTTCCCTTTCCGGTGCCTCCCTTGCTGTTGAGCGCCGCCACTGGATGTGGCTTCTGCTCTTTCGCGGGAGCGGGCCGGTGGAGGCAGAGTCTGGTTGAAAAATTCACGGGGCAGCTCGCAGCCACGCAGCTCCAGCACCTGCAGAGACGCCGGCAGCAGCTGGCAACTGGGAAGGCTCCGTAAGTCCGCGTGCAGGAGGTACAGCTTGCTGAGGCGAGGGCACTTTGTGGACAAGGCTTTGAGCCACGACTCGGAGAGAAAGGTGCCGCCTCTGGCCGACAGCAGCAAACCACGCAACCGCAGACACCTCAGTCCACAGCCCAGGTACTGACGCAGCAGGAGCCAAAGTATGCGGGATGTCACCTGACAAACAATGGGACAGCCCATGCATGTGTTAAGGGACATACAGAACCATCATGCAATACAATCTAAACCCTAGAAATGCATAACGGGTGCATATTTACACGTGCAATAGGTTGCGAAATAGACGTTTTTCTCCATTGGACAAGTGGACACATGTCCCCACGCCGTGGATGCTGCTCTTTTCAGGTGAGAGCATCCAGACCGGTCAGTGATGTGATTCCAGAGATACGCCCGCTCGCTCCAAGTCACAACAGCTGGTTGAGGTGTGATTAGTGGGCTTCGTACGATTGTCACGTGTCTGACGCGCACGAGGAGCGGGGGGGGGGGGTCCCAAATAACACAAGAACCAAACAAGGCGCAACGGTACATTCAGAGGCACGTTCTTACCCCTTTCCATGCGGTCAGATCGACAAACCTCCAGAGCCGTTGGTCCTTGACGAGCCGCTTCCATCGCTTACACACTCTGAATGACACCGCAAAACACAGCGAGCAACTTCATTGTGCGACGGGAGAATAAAGCGGGTTTTATTTCACGAGACGAGTCGCGGTCAGATAATGCGATAAGTTAAACTCCGCTTACCTTCCGGCTCGGACGAGTTCTCGGACGCTCAGATACGCCAACACGTCAATTAAAATGTTTTCTGGAAAGTAGTCCAGGTCACAGGCTTTAAATTCATCCATTTTGTAAACAAAACTATTTCAACCATGGACCCGGACTCATATCGCGACGCACCCGGGTTGCGCCTTCATTAGCAGTCCCCAGGAAACCGCCGCGCACTTTTGTTCCTAGCGACAGTTTGCCGCTAAAAACAGATCCGATCATTTATCCTCCACTCAGCGTGGCTCGGTTACCTTCAGGTTTAGTTCTCCGTAAACACCTGTCAGATTTCGGACAGTATTTGTGTGGTGAAGCTTATTTTAAAACACACGCTACGAAGCTACACTACCACCTAACGTCCGTAAGGGGAGCACCTGACTGCGCGTGCGCGCTTCACCGGACAAGATGGCGACCAGCAATGGCGGCGGAATGGAAGTGGACGGGGCCGGTTAGTGTTTCTCCCTTTTCTCCTCATTTCTGTCTGATATCAACATGCACGTGTGCGCAGACGGTCGCGCGGGCTGTCGGCGGGGATTCGCAGGTGTCAAAGGTGGCAGGTGGACGAGTTAACGGGTTAACGAGTTAACGGGTTAACGTTCGCTCATGAAGCTGTCAACCAATTCATCGCTTATCTTATGTTCAGTATTGCTTTGCGTCCAGTGTTTGTTGTTTAAGAAAAGCATTGATCAGATCTTCATTAGGCTGTGATGAACCGATATATCGATCCCGCGATAATTTGATTTGACGTATTTTTGTTGCGTCAATGCTGCTTGTATGAAAGAATCACAACGTGTATTCAATGCACATCCACAAATAAACAATGCAAATGAAGGTGTTGCTAAATGAAAGAGCGATGTATTGAGTAGGAACACGACTGATGATAAATCATCTCTTCATGTTGTCTCGCTTGTCTTTGTAAACGTGTTGTTATATTCATCATCTCGTCCATTAACTCAATGAGAATGTCCTCGTTCGCGAAATGTGACCAAATCATATATTATCACATCGGCAAACGTCTGTTATTTTCATTCATTTCCGTTGCATGTGTTATGATATAAATATTGTTTTCCTAATTAACGTACTAATTAACCCGCTGGTTCGACCGCTGACCGATGGCGCCCGTCTCCTTGTCTCTGTGTCCCTGCAGCCAGCCCCAGCGTCATGGCCGCGGGCCTCACCGGCAGCGTCTCCGTGGCCTTACACCCCCTGGTCATCCTCAACATATCCGACCACTGGATACGCATCCGCTCACAGGAGGGCCGGCCCATGCAGGGTGCGTGCTGGGAGGGGGGGGGGCGACGGCGCAGTAACAGCGCGTTTATGCCGCAGGTCGTGATTCAGCGGCGTGTGTCTTTGTCCCGCGCAGTGATCGGCGCCATGATCGGGAAGCAGGAGGGAAGAAACATCGAGGTGATGAACTCCTTCGAGCTGCTGTCTCACACCGTAGACGACCGGGTGCACATTGACAAGGAGTACTACTACACCAAGGAGGAACAATGTCAGTGGTTTGACTTTGATGGGGGCGACGATAAAGCTCTATTCTGTCTGCCGTCCGTGAAACGCAGGAAACAATCAATTTGAGTTACTGATAACGGGTTGTTCATCATCCACAACAATCCAAAGGTGGTCAACACAAGCTAACGCTCCAGCTGTCCTTTTGTGCCTCAGTTAAACAGGTCTTCAAAGAGATGGAGTTCTTGGGCTGGTACACCACCGGCGGTCCCCCGGATGCATCGGACATCCACATTCACAAGCAGGTAGGCACAAGTTAAAGGGGTCACGCGTCGGTAAACAGTCGAGCAACAGCTGCTCCGTCGCTGAGTCGACCGCTTCGAACCGGCTCACAACAACAAACGCTCCGCCTGTTAATCTGAGAAATCTCATTACAATCAATGCCATTCATATGGAATTAGTTAATTAACCTACTGTTTGGTCGCTGTTGATCAAATGAAAATAGTGATTTTGGAGGTCTTACTTTCCTCTTCCTCTGCCAGGTGTGTGAAATAATCGAGAGCCCCCTCTTCCTCAAGCTCAACCCACTGACCAAGCACACAGACGTGAGTCCTCTGCGTCCCTGAGAAAACGCCACCACTGTGTATTCAGACGCCGCTTTAAATAATGTGTCCCTTTGTCCTCCAGCTTCCTGTCAGTGTTTATGAATCTGTGATTGACATCATCAACGGCGAGGTAATCCCTCTGTTTGGCGCCATCGTCCGCGCTTCCCTTCGCGTCGAGTTGTCGGTGTTTTCTTAGAGTGTTTTCTCCGTTTAGGCCACCATGTTGTTCGCCGAGCTCACGTACACGCTGGCCACGGAGGAAGCGGAGAGAATCGGCGTCGACCACGTGGCTCGAATGACCGCCACTGGCACCGGAGAAAACTCAACAGGTGAGACTCAAACTCCGAACAGAATGTGAAAATCCAGAGTGTCACACGGAACGCTCGGGTCAACGTGAACAGCAGCTGTACGTCATCGTCCAGTAATCTGCCCCTCATGACTCACTCTCGACCAATCAGAACGCTGGATCTCATCCGCCCGTATGATAATATTAAATGAAGACAACACGCAGTCAGACCAGATGTCCTTTTCTCTGTGTGTCTTACCTGCGTCTCCTTGGTCAGTGGCTGAACACCTGATCGCTCAGCACAGCGCCATCAAGATGCTCCACAGCCGCGTGAGGATCATCCTGGAGTACGTCAAAGCCGTGGAGTCGGGTAAGAGGCCGGCGGCGTGTTTTAATTGAGGCTTTGAGGGCAGAAACGTGAAACACAAGTTGTGGAAACAGATGTTCTGGTCTGCACCGTTAAAGGAGGCCCCTCAACACGCCTCCACGATTACAACGTTCTTCTGGTGTCGTCGCTTCATAAGCCGGTTTCTCTCCGTCCCGCAGGCGAGGTGGCGTTTAACCACGAGATCCTGCGAGAAGCCAACGCCCTCTGCCACAGGCTGCCGGTCCTCAGTACCATCAAATTCAAAACGGACTTCTACGATGTAAGGAAGCCTTGTGCACCTTCGCTCCTCGATGCGTGTGCATGTTGGCCGACACGTGTCTGCGCCTGCTAACCCGAAGCACGTAGTTTGTTTTCTTACCACCAGGGTGATTATTTAGTAAACGGTTGTTCGCGATCCCAGGGAGACATCCGTGGCGCCGCAGCGTCTGTTTTAGTGGACAGTTTGTGTCCTCGTGTTTGAAATGATGATCATCGAGTTACAGAACTAAGCACCGGCGGTGTTTTTAATATCTACTCTCTGCATGTCTGTTCGTTCTTATTGGGAGGTGATTTGTTGAAAGCTCCTTCTGTTCCTCTGCAGCAATGCAACGACGTGGGCCTCATGACCTACTTAGGCACCATCACCAAGACCTGCAACAGCATGAACCAGTTCATCAACAAGTTCAACGTCCTGTACGACCGGCAGGGGATCGGCCGCAGGATGAGAGGACTCTTCTTCTGAGGAACTCTTGGTGCTTTTGGTTCGTTAAAACAAATTCTGCAGTAACTTCTCAAACCAGTTTCCTGTTTTCAAGTGACGAAAAGCACCTAATGACACAAATGTGTACAAACATGCGAAACTGAAAATGATCCACTATACATGAACGTTATATTTTACCCCGTTTGTCTCATCGCTTCATGTTGCTGTCTGTAATAAATGATGCGCCGATTGTTTTTCATTGGACTTGTACTCTTCTTTTTCGTCTCACAGCATGAAAAGATAATTATACGTGGAATTGTACAGTATTTCTTTGTAAAAAAGAAAAAACATGCTATACTATGATATTGTTATGCCGTCCTTTGACATACAATACTGCACTTTAGAAGTGAATGTGTAGCATGTTGAAAAAATATGTATTTCTGTCATGGAAGCATGTTGGATAAAGAATCTAGTCAGAAAGCATCTTCAGTCTTCATATTATATATGTACATAAATGTAATACTATGTAGCACCAACGTCTGACGGACTGACGTTAATATTTTGGCATCGATGAACAACACACATTATTTTTCACTTTAATGCCAAAAACAGACACATCTGCTTGGAAGTTTAAAATCAAGTACGAGACCTGTTACAAAGTAATACTACGTGTTGTACACGACGTTGTACTTGAGTGACTGTTTGTCAGACGTTCCAGTGTTCAGACGTGTGCGTGTTTGCAGGTTTATTGTCGTCTTTTGAACTCGTGTTCCTGCTGGTTGATTACAGACCGGATCGGTGGGGCCCAACAGCAGTCAGCTTTTTAATGGGCATTAAATGCAGACCCCCCCCCCCCCCCCTTTACTTTACTAGTGTGGCTCGAGGTGCAGAATGTTTTAAGAGGTGCAGGACGACAGAAAGGAACAAGTCAAAACATGATGCTCATTGGACAGATGTTTATTGTCTCGTCTTGACTGAAAGTATAAACTTGGACAGTTACGATGCAAATACATCAAATCATTGACAGTCATCAACTGAGTCCGCGTTACAACCCCTTAATTAGTCTGTTTGATTCAAGGTAAAACCCGCTGGGGGGCTTCACTGGCTGTGGGCGGACTCGGCCGGCTCGTCTGCAGCAGGGGGTTGTGCCGTTTTGGAAGCGGGAGGGGTCGTACAGGTCGTCCATGGGGTTGTAGGGCATCGGGTAGTAGTACGGGTACACGCTGACCTTCGTCTTGATGGGAGCTGGCTGCTCCTTCTTCTCCTCCTCCACCACCACAGGTGGGGGCGGGGGGGGCGCGATCGCCCCCTTCACGGGTCTGGGCGGGTGATCGACCAGACAATCGGGGTCCCAGTAAGGGTCACAGTCGTACTCCATGCCCTTAAAGAAGCGGAGGGGGGCCGGGAGAGACTTCTTGATGAGGACCGGTGGAGCCGGGGGGGGAGGGGGAGGCGGTGCGGACTTCATCGGCGGCTGGGGAGGTTGGGCCGCTACCGCGGGATCCGAGGCTTTGCTTTGCGTACATGTGGGGTAGAGGCGAGGGTCACATAGCTCCAACACGGATCCGCTCGTCATGTACACGATGTGGGGCTTACACAGGGGGTCCTTCCTGTTGCACAGGTACAGGACGTCGGCCTGGGAGATGGCTGGGGGGGGAGGGGGGGTCGCTGGGGGCTCTGTGGGCTTTGGGACCCCTTTCATTGGAGGCGGGGGAGCGATCTTGCACCTCTTGTCGGTGGCCGGGTCGCACGCGGCCCCCGGCAGCCCCAGCTTGCTCTGGTAGTAGGCGGCGTCGGGGCCGTACGTGTTCTCCAGGTACCTCATCTGCTGGTAGAGCATCCGCAGCTTGTCGATCTCGTAGATCTGGAAGGACGAAGCAAACGGCTCGAGCACTTCAATGACGACACGCATGTAATGTTCACTACTACAGGTCAGGAGTGTGTGCGCGCGCCCACCCCCTCGGTGTGCCCGATGCTGCTGTAGTAGCGGTAGTACGACTGGAAGTCCGGGTTCCCTCGGTACCAGCGGGGCTCCGCGTTGCGTTTGGGCCTGGAGTGACTCAGGAAGCCGTTGGCTTTTTCTGGGCCGATTCCAACGTCGCCGACGGGCTGCACCTCTGCTCACAGGGGGGGGGGGGATGCAGCTCAGACTCGTCTCGAGGGGGTTTAATTAGCTTCATTCACATGTGCACCCACCTTCCTGCTGGACGCCGGTTGGAACCGATTTGGTCTCCAGCAGACCTGCAGGAGGAGCAGCAGAGTGGAGGCTGATCATCTCGCTTTGGGCAGATTACTGTGCGATGAAGAATCACAACGTACCTGGCAGCAACACGAGGCAGCAGAGGGCCCCCGGCGACCACAGTGACGCAAACATGGCCACGTCCTGAGTCTCACGCAAAAACACACTGAGAAGGTCAGTGAGACAAAATGTAAAAGAAAACTAATCTAAATGAATGCTGACAACTTTAAAAGTACAGGTACTAATGTACAAATACTACTGAGACGTATATTAGACAGGTACCAAGTTAGTTTGACTCACCGTCCTCAGGAAGCGTCTTCACTGCACCAACACAGCGGAGCGTGTTAAATACAGACCTCTGAGCACGAGACCCCCCCCTCAAACATCACCTCCCAGCCAATGGGCCTCCACCCGACACAGGCCTCCACCTCTTTGTTTAATACGTGGCCTTTGGCGCCAATTAGGAATAAAAAAAAAAAACTGGATGTTTGAGCTGCAAAGTCATAAAAGAACAGACTTCAAATGGAAACGAGTCTGGAGGGAAAGCCTCGCCTGCTGGGAGGGGGGGGGGGGGGGGGGGGGGGCAGAATGCTGCCTACTCACAAAATAACTGCCCAGAAAACAGTAAAACGCCAAGACGAGGAGCCGAGAGGCTGTAAACTTCCACCCAGAGAACAGCTGCTTCTGTTTAACAGCTGCTTTGAAGTGTGGAAACGGATTTGAGTTTCGCTCGGCTGTCGGTAGGAAATGAATCAGAATAAAGTGCCGGATTAAATAGTTCAGATTAAGAGTCTTTGCGCTGCACTTGGACGTTTCACAGTAGTTCTGTGTAAACTGTTCGTTCAGTCAGTGCAGCGCTGAACGACGTTCAGATTTGCTGACTTCACATGAACAAACTAATGAGAACACGGGTTGGTTTCATCACCGCAGTAACGGGTCTTACGAGCACAGCAGGTTACGGAAGGAATGAGACGCGAGACACAAAGTTTAACCAGGACTTTATTTTATTAACAATCACAACACGGCGTAAATGTACAGAAATGTCAAAGAAGCTCTAAACAAACGCGACGCACATATTTACACAACAGGAAGCAAAAAATGTCAGGTTCCGCTTGACGTGCGTTACACGGAGGAGGATGAAACACGCCCCGCCCCCCCCCGTGAAGAAGCCCCGCCCCCCCGGTGACTTCAGACGAAGGTGACGCGCGTGCGGGCCTGGTTCACCTGCCACACGTTGAGCTCCTCGTACTCCTCCAGCGCCTCCTGGAACTGGGCGGGCGTGAAGCCCCGAGAGACGCAGCGCTGCTCCGCTTCGGCCATGCGGACCACGCCGCCGCCGGCCCCCCCGCGGCCCGCCCCGCCCTCCGTGGAGAGCTCGCGCACCAGGGAGAAGATGACGTCGGCCGGGCGCTGAGTCCTGGGGAGGGAATTCAGAGGGCGTGCGTTAGTCCAGAGTCAGTGAACGTTGAAAATGGAGCCTGAAAAAAGTCAGAATTGATGGTTTGACGCGTCTGACAGCCGCCAATCACATTCCTGTCCTGTTCGTTCTTCGCGGTTTGAAAACTGAGCCTCCAAAAGGCTGCAGGATCAGTAAAAGGGTGAAAGTATTTGTCAAACTAGTCCGTTCTCGTGTGAATTTACTGCCCCTCAAACAGCCACAGTCCTGACTGGTTAAAAGCCCCATGAAGAGACATTTTACGGCTTCTTCCGGGACAAGAGACACACGAGCGTCTCAGAACGGGGCTTCAGCGCTAAACGGACGCCGTCACCGACCTCGTGGCGCTGGACTTGTCGGCTTGTAGCGAATCCTTGGACATCTCCATCATCCTCATGGCCTCGTTGACGTCTTCCTTCTCCACCGTCTCCATCATGCGCAGGCGAGCCTGTGGGGGGGGGGGGGGGAGGGGGGGGGGGGGGAGGGACGCTAGCTGATGAAAACAGGTGGAGGAACCGCGGCTCACGGTGGAACCTCAGGTGGACCTCGGGCTCGTTGGGGTCACAAAGGCTGCGCTGTGCCGGCACTGTCAGACCGAGACAAGTGCAATGCCCTCTGGGAAGGCCGGCAGTTGCCCAAGTCTCCGCCTCTCAACACCGGCTAGTCGAAAGGAAGCGGACGAAGCGGCGTGGCGTTCTGCGCGGGTGGACGGTTCTGGCCATGGTCAGTTTTGCATGGGTTTGCACAGCTGCTCGTTACACGCAGGCTGACTGCCCACCCCGCAAAGCTGGTCAGGGTCAGACGCACTCGCACGCGGCGGCGGTGACGTCTCGTGAGCGGCGCGGCGCCCGCCCGTCTGCCTGAAGTGCTGCTCCTGCAGTAGGTGGATGAATGCTACCTGCACAAACAGCACTTTTGGCAGCCGGAGGCAGAGGAGCACAAAACCACCCCGGGACCAGGAACCGTTTAAATGTGCACGATGCATCTGATGAGCCCCCCCGCGGTGTTTGACTGGAGATCTTCGGCCCAGCGTATGAAGGAAGTGCTCACACTGCAGTAGTCCAGGTTAGCATCACTACCTGCACTGTAAGCACTTTATCACACAATGAGGATCATCTGACTTGATGAACCTGACGAGTCACTCGGGTGTAAGTGGGACCAATACGGCGTTTCAGGGCTCAGAAAGACGACGCTTCATTTTGATTGACAAGCGGGGACCAGATGCGTTGCTCACCAGGGCCGTGGACAGGCGGAGGATGGACAGGAGGGTGCGGGCGGAGGTGAAGGTGGTGTCTTTGCTGACTCGGGCCTCCTTCCTCATCTCCACGTAAGCGGCGGTGATGTAGTCGGCCAGCGACTCGGGGACCACCGGCTGCCGCTTCTTACACACGGCGATGTAACGCCTGCGGGGTTCACATCCCACATCTGGCTTTCAAACGAGTCGCTACTTTTGGACCCACATCTGTCAACCGGAGGCAGATCCTCACCTCATCAGCTTCATGTCGATGGGGGTGAAGTGGGTGGGGGGCTGGCGGCAGTGCTGGTGGACGTAGGTGATGTGCTGCGCCAGACGCAGGTCGGCGTCGGCGTCCGGCTTGTCCTGGATCAGCCACAGCAGGTCGAAGCGGGACAGCAGGGCGGCGGGCAGCTGGATGTTCTGCTCGATGGTCTTGCGGGGGTTGTAGCGGCCGTAGGCGGGGTTGGCCGCTGCTAGGATGGAGCAGCGGGCGTTGAGGGAGGTCATGATGCCCGCCTGGGGGGGGAAAGAGCGCGAGAAACGTGAGACGCAGGTTCGACGCGAACGCCTCTCTCCGGAGGAATCCAAACCCCGAGCCGCCGCCGCACCTTAGCGATGGAGATGGTCTGCTGCTCCATCACCTCGTGGATGGCTGTGCGGTCGGCGTCGGCCATCTTGTCGAACTCATCGATGCAGCAGACGCCCTGGTCGGCGAGCACCAAGGCGCCGCCTTCCAGAGTCATTTCCCCGGTCACCGAGTCTCGCATCACCGCGGCGGTCAGGCCGACGCCAGATGAGCCGCGGCCCGTTGTGTACTGACCGGACGGCGTGGGGGGGGGGGTGATTAATTATCACACTTCGTTAACGTCCCAGCACTTAACGAATAGAGCAGCACTCACTGCGAGGAGCCAGGCGGTCGATGTAGGACAGCAGCTGGGACTTGGCCACTCCGGGGTCCCCCATCAGGCAGATGTTTATGTTGCCTTCAGACACAAAATGAAACGAAACGCTTCGTCCGTGAGGGGGTTGCTCAGCATTACACGCAGCTCATAAAACACACGTTAGCGTGTTCAACAGGAGGCAGCGGCCCCGATCGGACCGCTTAGGGAAAGAGCTGCTGGAGCCGGTCGTCACCTCGGATTTTCATGCCTTTGGGGGCTTGTTGGACCCCCCCGACCAGCAGCAGCAGCAGAGCCTTCTTGACGTCTTCATGGCCATAGATCTCTGGTGCTATGGAGCCAGCCAGCTTCTCGTAGAAGCCTTCCTCTGCAACACACAACAACCGGCGGATGAGAGGCACCGTCAGGTTGATGCAGCGACGGTATTAAAGTCCAGCCGTCGCACAAACACACACACACACACACACACCTGTGATGCCGCGAAGCTCCTCTTCAGTTAGATCGTCATTGCCGAGCTCATCATCCTCCGACTTGTTCATGAGTGTGATGTTATGAGCCTCCAGGTACGTTTCTGACAGAAGACCCTGAAATTACCAAAATCAAAATCAGTTTAAACATTTCCACATTAACTTGAAAAAAGCTCTCGTCCTTGATTAGAATCTGACTGTTTAACACACACACACACACACACACCTGGGTGGCCTGCTTGAAGCCTGTGCGCAGGAGAGGGAGGAAGACCCCAGTGACGGCCACGTGGTCCCCCGGCTGGGCGAGGCGCGTGTTTTCTCCGCGGGCATAGATGGACATGCTGCGTGGAATGTTCCCGACGGGCACCTGGTCGCTCTGCAGGGCAGCGGAGAGAAACTCGTCAGAAAGGCGCGTCGTGCCGCCGCGAGGGAGCGCTTCATCGCACACAGCTTGCTCACGTGCTCCTGGATACGCAGCTCCTGGAACTTGACGAACTTGGAGCCTCTGGTCTGCAGGTAGAGTCGACCGCCGGATTTGTTGGTGACACACTCCTGGCTGGGACACATGACGAGGGGCATGAAGGTGGGAGACTGGATCTGAAGGACAGAAGTAAACGCGCAGTGAGGGACACCTGCTAAAGTCTCACACACACACACACACACACACTCCGGCCAATCTTACCGGCTGATAGGTTTCTGCACCACACTGGTCACACGTGTACGTGGCGACCGCCATCATCGGCTTGACCTCGGTGGCGCGGGTCACGATTCCTCGAACGTTCACCAGATTCCCGATGCTCTCCGCCCGCACGTCTCGCACCACTTTGGGTTTAGCCGTCGTGGGAGGCTTGAAGTACAGCTCACTGAGAGAAGGAACGACAATAAGTACGCAGCGTAAACTCCAATAATACGGATACGTTCATTAGATCAAACTCACAATCTCCTCATGAGCTCAGGCGGGTACTGGTTACGAGCGTCTCTGGTGTCTGCGGGGTCACGACCTCTCTGCTCCATCATCAGCCTGTGCTCAATGTACACGTCCAAAGAATCCTTGGCAACAATCTGGATAGAAGAAAAACAGTTGGGTACTTCCCGTTTAAATAAACCGACATTCGATTAAAAGCCATGCGGAATCAGCGCGCATGCACACGCACGTCTCTTTCTTTGTACTCTGGCAGCAGCTCGTGGATGGCGTCGGCGAACAGGCCCGTGTAGCGCTTGGCGTTCTCACAGATGCTCTCGACCAGCTCCGGGTCTTCTTCAGCCACATCGTCGAGATCCACAAAGATGGACACCTGCTCCCGGTGGGCCAAGGCCACCTGCAGGCACAGGGTGGATCAGCGAGGAGCCCCTTCGTTACCCCGCCAACAACAATGGACCCCTAAGACGCGCGTTTCTAAATGTAGTTTAGCAGAGGCCAAAGCGGACTGTTCAACGGGACAGAGAGTGTTAATTTACTGACTGGTTCTTCTCCCCTTAAGTGTGATGATGTCCGTCTCACCCTTGAGTGGAGAACATTGAGACACAGTTTAAAGATACACATCCAGGGTTCAGCACACTTACAAGTTGAGCTCCATATTTGAACACTTTCTTCCCGTTGTCGTCCTCAGAGTAAAACTCCTGCAGGAACCGTTTGCATTTCTCTGCAAAACAAAAACGTGTGCATCACTTCACAGCAGAAACAGGCCGACCACATGGTGGACCTCACCGGAACTTTGCGTTCACCGACAGAACCGACTGCCCGCTGGCGTTTTCTTTTGCCTGGACGTTGAAGGTGCTGCAGGAGCAGCATCAGCACGTCGGCGTGGGGCCTAGAAGCGGGAGCTAACGCGACGACCCCCTTTGTTGAGCAACATGGCCTCCTGTAATCTCGATGAGTCACTACGGCCACCAGAGAGGAGCCCCGACCACCGGGACCACCGGACCCGGAGCCGTCAGCAGCACGACGTTAAACAACAGGCGCGCGCGCACTTCAGGGTCCATTTTCCCCCCTTTGAGAAAATACCGCCTCACTTCCCGAAAGAGACGCGACTACCGACGGATCCGAACCCCGCAACGAGCGCGCAAAGCCGGCCGCCCGGCGGACGAACGCCGCGCTTACTTTGAGCTTCCGCGGAGAATCTGCAGCTCGGGTTTAATCTTCCCGAGTCGGACGGTGTTATTGTAAACAAAGCAGCACATGGCTTTGGCGCCTCGTCACTCCGGTATCCCTCCGCGCCGCGTCCGCCTGCGCTCGTTAAATAGTCCTGGCTGTTGTTTTCAGACCAGCCATCTTCTACCGCGGCCCGGTGTTCAAGTTACATCAATAACACACGTTTCAGACGGGTTGCGCAACACAAAGTACCACCTCGACTGCACATTTAGCGCAATTACCGGATTGGGAAATCGCTTACTTGTTGGAGGGGTTTAAATAAAATGAACTAAAATAAGATATAAAATATAAATAACCGGAGTTGAAGGCTCGCGCTCGGTTACAAATGTCCAACAAAGACAATAACAACCAATACAACAAACAAACAATGTAGCGTTTACATGTGAGCGTTGATGTTGAACTTTTATAATAAACAAAGTGGGAATTTATTGAACAGGTAAAAACTCCTCGAGGCGCCTTTCGACGCGACCTTTAATCAAACATTCACCAGCTAACTTGACGTTAACTCAATTTAATATTGACGTTTGGCCCACTGGAGGACCGCTAAAGAGCTAGCTAAGCGGCTAGCATGCTAACGTGACGTCAGCTAGTGACGCTGCAGAAGGTGGAGGAGCATCTGGATTTACGGTGATGAGCCGCAGAGCCTTTGTTTTGTTTGCCTGTAAAAGGGGAAACATGGTTGATCGGTGATGTTCAGCTTGACCGAACAACTTGTATTGTTGAGTTTACGAGAATTTACACAACACCACAACTTAAAGTGTCCAATTTTACGAGCTTCTCCGTGTTTGTTGTTGTGTTGTGTGTCGATATTTTAAGCGCATGCGGAGTTTGTAAAATAAACATAACGTTACGAGGACACCGCGTCGGCCTCCACCAACTCGTCTCTGTGTGCAAGTTATTGAGAGTCACGCGCCTGCAGCGTCCCGCCTGCTCCTTTGTTTAAACGTCTGCATCCGGGTCACCGCGTGACGTCACCAACCGGTAAACGCTCACAAAGGAGTTAAAAAAAAAGCGTTACCGTCGGCGCAGGCCGATTGAACGGCAGCGCGCACAACTGCCGGGCTGTGGTCTAAAAAAAAAAAGGTACCGCTAAGTGAGCCCGCATCTGTAACGCGCAGTGACGGAAAACTTCGTAGCGGCACTAAATCAACACATCGAGCGCGTTTAGATCAGCACACCACGTGATAAACATCTGGCCCGCGTTTCCAACCAGAGACGCGGAGCTCGCGCTTCGCTCAAATTGAAGTAAGTTGGGCCGACCTGTTGCTGCCATGCCGTCACGCGAGAGTTACGTTCACCCATTACCTTTCTCCGCCGCATAATCCTTACGAGCCATGGCTGCAGACGTGGACCCTCGGGTGAAATAACGACCACCGAGTACCGAAAAGGACCGAGGGAGACCCAGAAACACCGTTTAACCGCTTCGCTGTACCGGAGACCAGTGTTCATGCAGCTCGCGGTTCTTCGCGGTGCAAAAAGTGGCGCCAGGCTGACGTCTACAGCGTCCAACAGGATTGCTTCTTTCAACGGGGAGAGGCGGGCTCCCGCGGTGGCGCGAAAATTACAGGCGTCTGGATGGTCACGTGACTCCACACACTTCCGCCCGGCTAGTCGGGATTGGCGCGAAAGTCGATGATTGGATTTCATGCGACGGCGCGACCGCGAGGTGAACTCGAACACTGTGAATCCAAAGGATGAGGAGCAGCGTGAATCACAGATCGTGGAGTACATCATATGCTACTTGTTGTCTCATATACAGTGTATATAGTGTATATTCCTCATACCTCCTCTAATACCTCTCCAAACTATAAAAGGGTCTCCTTTAGGTGTTCCGTAAAATATTCACTTGGACTGCATGATATTTTCAGGAAATTGTTACCGTCCTAACCTAGAGAAAAAAAGACTGAAACGCTGATTTGGCTTCTTCATATGTGACACAAAGAACCTGACATGATCTTCATACGTCTCCAACCTGAGAAGGAAAACTCCAATTCTACAACTGAAGGAGGCAAATTGTCCTTTGGTGTGGTGTGAACCATTCATAGTTCATCAAGTTATCAGAAGTCCTAAACTCATCCTCCACATATCGGACAGCTCGGCTTTTTGATTTTCTTCTCCGGCAAAATGGGACCATCATGAATCCTTCAATTAACAATACATTTAACTGTTAAGCTGTCTGGCTTCATGGATTCCAACAATTATCAATCTTGAATTAATTTATGTAGTAAACTGTAAAAATAAACTGATATAAAAAAAACTCATTCACAGTATATGTGCATCACACTTTAATTCAGACAATTCTTCTTATGATACTAAAGATACTTTCAGTGCCTTTTAGTTCAATCAACCATGTTTTAATCAACAAGTGTCACACACAAAAAGATGTAGTCTTCACAAGTGAAAAATATGACTAAATTCACAACAGAGGGAAGAATCAGTCAACAGGGATCTAAATGAACTTCAATACTTAACGTGAACAACCTTTTCCCCAAAATGTCATAACCAATTATGCCTTTCTCTTTTCCTCCAACAAAACGAGGACTAAACTAGAGCCGACCGGAGGACTCAGTAAAGATGTACTGAGCTCAAACGATGAAAAGAAGAGCGGCTCCTCAGGACGTCGAGGCCTCAGTCAAACAGCTCATTGAGGACGCTAGCAGACGTGTGCCGGGTGGAAGGCTGCGGAGCACAAACCAGGCAGGAAGAACATTGAGGGGCCAGTTAGTTAGTACTTGGTTAGTCTTCCAATAAGAAAACCCACAAAACTGAGTTCACGCAGTCGTAGAGGTCAACGTCACGTCTCACTGCCACCACAAAGGCAAATGTAGTCCAACTATTGCACTCTGTTATACTTGAGCTGGTTCACATCACAAGTGAAGCTCAACTGATGCGTCGACATACGGACATTTATAAGCGGCTCATCATAAGAACGTTACACACTCGGTGTTCACTCTGTTGTACAATTGGACATTGTCAAAGATTATTTTTATTTTTTACCAGTGTATATGCAGAATCATTGTCGAAGTCACTTTCGTAATCCTCAATATCAGGATCCTCTTCGTTTTCTTCGTCGTCATCAATCAGAGAGAGTCTGGAGAGAATCAGTTTGTTTTGATTATTCTTACCAAAATGAGCAATATTCACACGTCATTCACTATTAGGAAAAGGGAAGTCTTACAAGTTGAGGGGGGAGTTGATGTCCTCCATATCCACAGTGGGGACGGTCTGACTGGAGGACGGCGTCTGGTGTCTGGTCTTCACCTTTCGCATGCTGGACCTGGTGATCAGCGGGCACACGACGTGCACAATGGGAGTGAGGCCTTGCAGAGGTGCAGAGTTCATAAAGGCAGCTGCAGTGATACTGGCTGGATATTTGTAATAAAGTCACCCCAGAGAGAACTCGTCCTCGGACCCCGGCTCGGACGCGGCGGCCCTGGAGGCCGGCTGTCTCTGTGCCGTGGAGGTGAAGGCTGGAGGGGGAAGGCTGCTGTGGACGCTAGAGCCGTCCAACCAGGATCCTCGGACTGGGGACAAGAGGAGGTTGTTACCTGGGACGAATGCCTTTGTTTTATCAGCCACGAGCCCCAAATGAAAATAACCGCTGGTTGCAGCTCCGGTTTTATTTCATGTGAGTGTTGGGGAAACCTTTCGTTCACCAAATTACTTTGTGCTCCAACAAATGTTTAAGATTTTTAGGTCACCACTGAGAACACAAAGAGCGGTGAATGGATGCACACTTTTGTGCGTGTCCGTCTCACCCGGAGGAGTCGACCTCTTGCGCTTCGCCGCGGGGGCTTCGTGGGAGAAGTCGGCATTGCCTCCCTCCCCCGTCACTCTGGCTTTAGCAGAGGAGCGGCCCCCCAAGGAGCGCTCATACAGTCTGACTGACGGCCAGGAGAGGGCAGCATCGGGACACTCGGCCTTCAGGACCGCGGCCCTGAGAGGGGACGAGAGACGAGGACAAAGACCGAGAGACCGTTGGTAACGTTTAGCCGGTCAGCCCTCTCCGCTTTGAGTCTGATTCAATCCAACGGAATAAATCCCAGAATTAGAACGTCTCCTTTGTAGAGAAAACAAACATCAACTACTCAACTTTCTACTTTGAGGAGAAAAATAGTTTTGCTTTGCTCCTGAAATGATGCCGACAAATGTAAAAACACCAGTTAAATGGGAAATGTTTAATAGGGCTGATGTTCTTATGGCAGCTTTTATTTGAATGATCACGTTTGTGAGGATGAGTTTCGGTGGGTTTCTTACAAGTGAACACGGTCCTGTTGAAGCAGCTTGAAACTGAACTCGCTGAGGATCTCCAGGAAGGCCACATTCGCCTGCTGCTCCTCGCCCTCTGCTGGCTCCCGGAATGCAAAACGCACACCATCCCTGAGAAGCGAAGCAACGCCACTCAAGAGCTCGACAACAAAACTCTCCAAGTCAGAGTGAACCGCGGTTTCATTTACACACAAGCGTGACCCCACGTTTGATCGTGAACGGGGAAACGGTGTCTGATAAGGTGAGCGGGCCGAGACGTGTGCGTCGGCGCTTACACGTGCAGGGCCACCAGCGGTTTGCGGGCACGCCTGAGATCGACGCCGAAGCTCATGGCGAGCCGCTTGGCCAAGTTCCGGATCGCGCCGACATCCTGCTGGCTGGGTTCCTCCGCCAGCATCTCTGAGAACATCTGAACGCACGCACGCACACCTTTAATAGACTCACTTTACAAACCGTTGCGTACATGTGGACTGACTGTTCACCCGGAACAATTGCTAAAAAAATACTATACTTCAACGCAAAATTATGGAAAATCACAAAACGATAGTAGATGCAAATTGAAGTTGTGCCTCGCAGAGACAGTCAACATATTTCATCCTGAATATCCCGATTCTAACAGACACAGCAACATGTTGAAGCAGAACAATGAAAACATTTAAACAAAATGAAACATTAGACCATCAAACCAAGAGATGTGATTGCGGCGGGGAGCGAACTCGCCTGCTGCAGACACAGGCAGACGGTCCTGGCGCTCCGTACGGGATCGATGACCTTGCTCTTGCTCACTGTCTCTTTGATGATGTCGCCAAAGTCTTTAAAGTACTGCAGAAAACCAGCAGAGGAAACAATGTTCATCATCGTCAGTGTATTTGATTAACGGCGTCTTCTAAATGGCTCCAACGTGGGAATAATCTCCCGCCTTCTTCTCGTTCCCTCTGACTCATTTTCAGCACCTCGTACCATCCTGCACAGCCTCTCCATTATCAAGGCTTTAATAACTCCTGGATTTATTAATCCAATCGGTTCACTTCTAATGCAACAATTTACAACCAACAGGGACACACAAAGGTGTTGGAAGGAAACCATCGCTGACATCGGCACCTTGTCGTAGTGCTTGAAGACGTTGGTGGCAGCGGTGAGGTCCAGCACCCCGTAGAGGACCATCTTGCAGTAGCCGGCCAGCTGGTTGCGCCGCCTCTGGAGAAGAGTAATCTTCATCGCCTCCTCACGCCCAACTGGAGGGAAGGGAGGAGAGATTTGTAACAGCAACAAACCGATAATAAACTAAGGTGAGGCAGGGAGAACATTGGAAGGTTTGATCAGATGAAAGCGAACCAGAAGACGTGATGGCGGGCTGACACGCGGCTTGCAGTTCATCGGGAAAGAAGAAGAAGAGCAGCAGACTCTCAAAACAAAAACATCAAGAACTGTGTCTGAATGCATAAATGATGAGAAAGACCTCTGGGAGAACTATGTGTGTGTGTGGAGCCACGAGGAGAACATCAAACATTTAGTGCTTCTTCTGGAATCCTCACATCGTTATGGCAACCCTCTGCACACCGGGGAAGTCGTACTTTACATCCAAATGACTATGAAGCAACGATCTGTCTGTACGTTCACGTCCTTCACGCAATGAGACAACCTTTCATCCGTTGGGTGGATTGAATTTGGCGACCTCCACAGAGTCGGCAGCTTGTATTCAACTGGAAGCACAAAGGAACCAGACTGACCAGTTTCTTCCCTTTTTTCCCTCTTGAAATTGTTTTTTTCATTTTTTGGGTAGTTTTAACTGTGCCGATGGAGGGTTTCTGGACAAAGGATGTCGTATGTGTACAGACTGTAAAGCCCTCTGAGGCAAATTTGTAATTTGCGATTTTGGGCTATACAAAATAAAATAAATTGAATTGAACCAGTCGGGCCGTAAGCAAAGCCTCGACATCGGGGAGTTTGGCCCCATTCGATTCCAACACGATGCTGCTTCAACTCATAACAATCACTCGTATCATAGCGGTTATATTGTGAGAGTCAAAACCAAAAGGGCAGCGGACCCAGTAACAGTTGTTCCAAAGAGACCAAAGTACCGTCGAGCTCAGCAGCTTCAGAGTCGGAGAAGATGTAGTCCAGCAGGAAAGAGGCCATCTCTGAGCGCAGGGAATCCGACGGCAGGCAGACCAGCGCTTGGAGGTCGGGTTCAACGTGGGCGGAACTCGCGCTGTACAAGAGCAGCAGGTCACACAACAGCTCAAACGTCTGGAGATGGAAAGAGGCACGTAGCTAGTTCAGCTCCGCTTGGAACTATTCTGCGTCTGCGTCTCTGAAAAGTCAAAGACATCAACTCCTACCCGCTAACCTGTAAGGAGACTCCTTCTATCGGCACATACAGTGCTAGTGTTCAAAATGAAACGTCTAAGGGACTCACCTGATCTCGGATCCCTTTCTGGTTCAGAGACAGACACGTTTCACAAACTCTGCAGAAGGAACGCATCTCCTTCTTCAGACGGTTCATTTCCTCCTGCAGCCGATGGTGAAGAGACAAAAGGGAAGAGCCGTCACACATTCATGTTTCATGTGAAGCAAGGCACCTCATCTTCACTATCTGGACATAAATGCCTCAGTCATTTATCATCCAATGGGGATTAAGACTTGAAATGACCAAATAGTTACATATATACATTTATATAGTTACATATACATGTAAGTCATACTTTAAAAACATCAATTATTGATGAAGTATTAAAAGGAACAATGTGGGAATATTTGGGCAAAAATGGAATTTGAGTTTAGATGAGTACACAAAAGGATGAATGTGTTATAACGACGTCCTGAGTGGAAATCACAGACGGAGACGAGACGAGCTAGTAGACGCGTGATAAATAACCGGGCCGGGGTGGAACAGATCGTCATGTTAATTGGCTGCTACCGGCGCAGCTGGTGAGCCGATGAACAGCACGGAGGAGAAGAGCTTCACAGGTACACAGGGAGGCCCCCGACACGGCCCCCCCTGGTTGGCTGGGAGCAGGTAGGCTGCTCTTCCAAGAGCCAAGTAAGCGTGTGAAAGACGGAGTCAAGGTCAAACTATTTCTAAGCATCCAAAGAAGGATGAATGCAGAGCGTAGACGAGAACCTCAGCTGGTGTGGAGTTAACCGCATTCACTTTAGCCCACATCAGGTAAAAGGCAGCACATCTTAAGGCCGACACCATGAGCTGAAATGACACAAAGAGAAAGTCAAACCAGGACTCCCAGAGATGAAGGAGCAACAGTCAGATGTTGATGCATAAAATGGGCTTAACACTCCATTAAGCTCAAAGTAAAAGGTTCTTTAGCTGTACAAAGGAAGCTTTAATGCAAAAAAGGAAGCTACTCATGTTTTCCAAGACTTAAGTCACAGCCGCTGTTATCACAACACGGACCTCCTCGTCCAACTCTCCAACCGGAGCGGATGGAGTCCAACTGGACTCGATCCTGCTCTTCAGAAGCTCCAGACACGAGTCGAACAGCTTGCAGCCAGTCAGGTCCATGGCACTGCACAACAAATCAGACACAAACACACGTCTGTGCCACAAATAGTGTATGACTACTGCCATGTGCAGTGTATCAACGCACTCACCTGCTCAGGGCGGCAATCCTTTTCAAAGCACTGGCTGCAGTGTAAACATCGTCGTCATCCGCAGTACCCTGAGTACATAAACATACTCTATTTCATGAGGTAATGTAATACCGATACATGAACTGGGACGCCTGCAGCCGCTTAAACACACAGATGTGTTTCTGTTTTCTATCTGTCCCTCATTGACACGCGGGACAGAATAGTGTGAGCATGCTTTTCATAAAACATTTGACTGCTCTTCACCTGCAGCAGGTCACTCAGGTAGGCGTTGAAGTGCTCCGTCAGGCCGTCCATCAGCTGGCTGAAGGCCCGGTTGGTGCGGGGGGAGAAGGTGTAGCGGTCGTCGCAGAGGGTGCTGACCAGGGTGCCACAAGCCTCCAGCACGGTGGCATCCGTGTGCTTCTCAATAATGCCCGATACCTGCGACAGCAGCAGGTCCAAATGCTGACGACAGAGCAGAGTGTGAGTGTGAAGGGGGGGGGGACGGGTAAATGATTCAAGTCATTTACAGAGTTGTTTCCTCAACCATCTATTCAGGCCAATGGGTTTTCCTCCACTACCTTCTCCAGCCCTGCAGTGCTGCTGTACATCTCCAGCGAAAAGTACAGGGGAGCTTTGAGGAGGAGGCTCACCTTCTCTGCGTCTGGTGAGTACTGAGGGAGGCAGAAAACACAAGATAGATCACGTGTACTTGGCCTTCACTCGATAAGTGACGTGAGGTAGCGGCATATCAAACATACTAAAGCAGGTAAGAACTGCGGTACTGAGTATGTTAAGTTAACCGTGGGCGAGTACCTTGGCCAGCAGCCGGGGCAGTAACGGGATGAAGTGTGAGGTGATGCGACTCCTGACTTGTTCCTGGACCTTCTTATTCTTCATGGTCGGGTTCTAATCCCACGTGTTCAGTGAGCCGTGCAGGGCATGTGGAGACAAAACGCTCATAATGTTTGTGAATATAAAATATGAAACGTTGTGTCTTATGAAGGCTCATGCCCAGCGCTCATTGTGATAAACTGTCCATGTTGAAATAAGATGGAACCTGAAAGTGAGCAAACTTGTACCCATGATTCAGACTGATGATGTATTCTAGTTTAGTGTCACATGGTTGCATGTTGTAGTTTGGAATCCGGGACTCTTTGGATCATGTGTTGGAAGTAAAGACAAAGAATGACATTTGGTCCAGTATCCTAAAACCCAAAGAAAGAAAGAAGCTCATGCTGTGTGCCACCACCTTCTTGCCCTGAGTTCTCCCGACAGGGGGGGTTCCCTGTGCTTCCTGTCTGACGGCACACATCATCAGCTCTATGAGAACCCCCTCCTCCTCGTAAATCAGACCTGGAACACACACACACACACCGCTGCGGGACTCAGTGGGGGAGGGTTGAGACAACAGGAGGAGGGAAAGCGAGCAGCAGCACACGCAGGAACAACCAGGTGATGAAACATGACTTGCATCCATTATTAGGCGTGTTGAGGCTGAGCTCAATGCACCGATGCAGAGAACACGACAGTCATATCTGGTTCCTCACCAGACTCCTGTAGCAGCAACGCCGTCATAGTTCCCCAGTCTCTGAGCTCAGACCTCGCCACGGCCCACAGACTGTCCACCAGGTAAGCGCCGTGCTTGTGGAACTGTCCAGAGAATCCACAGTCCATTCATTGGGTTGATTTTACCCATGACACAAGGTTGGTTTGGTGTTAAATGTGATCCAAATCATGTTCAGAGACCTCCAGTACATATAACTGAAGATGCAATATGTAGGGAGATTCAGCTATTTGGGGAAATTGGGCCTTTGGGTGGATGGAATTGGGTTGTTTCTGTCGTGAGAATAACATTTCCTGCACAGCGTGAAGAAGTGTTTTACAGGGAGCTCCAAATGAAAGCTGATTTGAGCAATAAACCCTTTGTCCTGGTCGGTCTACCTTTATTCACGAAAACAGGACGGCAATGATTGGAATAGTGCGGAGACAGAGAGACACTACCTCACTCTGGAGGAAGAAGGAGATGAGGATTTGAAAGAAGCCTGCATTTTCGCTTGTATCGCTCTCCTGGTGGTCGCTGGCGAGCACAGTCTTCAGCCTGACGGTCAACACAAATAAACATTACATGAACAAAACACAGAAACACAGAGTTTGATTTTCTGAATCCTTGTTTAGACCGACACACAAATGGGTTCTTGTGAATAATCACTAGGCCGTGTTCTTTTTGTTTGGGACATGCCGCTCTGCCTCCAGCTGTCACTCCTCTACCTCCTCTCCCCTGGGGGGCCCTGTAATCGCAGTCATCTGATCAGAAGGTTGGGAAGCTGCACTAAATTATCCTGTCTTGGTTGAGCCTGCTGAATAGTGACGTTGAGGCAGGAGACCAGCGTTGTGTTTAAAAACCACATTAGACGAATCCTACTCGAGATGCCTTCAACTACATGAAGAAAAGGCGAGGAGAGATTGTCTGTCACATTAGTGCAGCAATAACATCCCCAATCTACAGAAAGGCATTTGTGTGATCTACACGACATCATAAAAAATAATGGATTCATCCGGGCTTGAGAGTGAATTTAGTTTTTGAGGCTTTCTTTTTGGTGGAGTCACTTTGATACGGAAATGAATCAAACAAACTTTGGCCGTCTGAACCCAACGAGCAGAGAGGAAGGATGAGAACGTACTTCTTGAAGAGGAAGACGCCGGCCGCAGAAGCGAGGGCTGGATTTAAAGCGTAAACCAGAGGATAGATGTGACCGCACTCCTCCTCTGTTAGACCTTCCTCCGTGTTCCTGCACACACACAGTTATCAGCACGACCACAAGAGGAAACACACGGTCCTCCAGCATCGCAACTCTCTTGTGCCTTTAGTGGTAAAACATCGGATTTAGAAACCATGAGAGACAGAGAGGCCTCACTGTTGGAGCAACAGCAAGAGATTGACCACTTCCACTGCCACCTCCGGGTCCTTGTCCAGCACCATGGAGAGCATCCTCTCCTGAAACACACACACACACACACACGCAGTGAGACCAGGCAAAATCATGGCAGCAGACTTCAATGCATAAAGAGACACACATAAATGCACTCACACCCACATATATGCATGAACGCACACAAACACACTGATTAGGCGCTAAGCCACGCCATGAAAACCATTTATCTCCCTCAGCACATGTGGCTTTTTTTATGCGTTTCAGGAAAGGTTATTAACAGTAATTGGCAGCAATTAACGCATCCAGACACACGAGCAGACAAAGGATGAGACAGTCACAAAAAAGAGGAATGGGGAAGGGGGTTTTTTGTTGGAAAGGCAGAGAAATAAGGGGAGGGGCCACAAAATACTGTGAAGTGAGACATGTGCAGACAACAAGATAGAAACAACCTGAACAACAAGAAGCTGAAACAACAGATTAAACAGATGCTGTGCAGACCGAGGGAATAAAGGAAGGAGAAAAGACACATTAATTGAGGTTCCAATCCAGAGGGATGCCTCACTTTAAATCTGCTGGTGAAAAGCTCCAGGCGGCCAATGAATTCCTTCTCCTGGTACAGAGCCTGCAGGGCGCGCACACATCGCAGACGCACTGGACTTTGCTAAGGGAAAGAAGAGAGAAGAGAAACACACACTAAAACCTACATGCAGACAGAAACCCCCGAGCCTGATCCCACTGGACCTTTTCTCTTTGTGCAAGTGATGTTTTTGCGGGCTTTCTTGCGTCTGTGTGCAGACATTCTACCAAAGATTCTGGTTTAAGAGGCGGTCAGAGACTATGACTTTATATGAAACAAAAAGCTTCCCTGTACACTGCACTCATTTCTGTCTCCACTGCTGCCCTGCAGAGAGACGCTCACACGCAACTCTGTCATGTGCGGTCCGCTGTCTAATCCTGTGTATGTGCGGTTACCTTGTCATACAGGGTCCACCCCAGATATTTAATGCATCCATCATTCAGGAAGTCTTCAGGGTCCTTTTGCAGCCACATGCCCAACTCCTCAATGCACGTAGCCCGGATGTCAGACAGCTGGTCACGATAACGGTGCACAAACACACCGCGGAACGTGGCGTTCATCATGCAGGAGAGCTCCTCTCTGTTCTCCCGCAGCTGTAACACGTACGTGAACAACAGAGGCCCGTAAGACAATACCGGTACAATCGACTGGGACTGTGTGAAAGCAACCGCAGAGTCGAGTGCCTCATGAACGGCTGGACTGCTTGTATGTGCCGACCTGCCTGTGTATTACGTGGAGGTGGCCGTGTGTCTACACTGATGCCAGTGTGTTTGTGTATGCGTCACCTCACAGACGGTGGCCTGCAGCTCCTCCAGTCTGCCAGGGGCTTGGTCATGTGGCCCCTTGCTGTTCTCCAGGTCGTGTTGTCGCTGGGTGGTCTGCAGCTGAACAGACACTACCACGGCTACTTCCACCAGCCCGGTCATCACCTTCATGGCTAATAGAGAGACGCATGCAGGTTAGCACAGATAACCAGGGGTGGACTGTCTCACCGGCGTAACCGAAGCCTTTAGCTACGTGTTCACACAATACTAATTGGAACATATCACAGGACGTCAGTGAACTCTACGGAAACTAATGTGGGTAGTTTGGCATCTCCTTTGAAAGTCGCAGGCAAGACACAACTGAAAAAGACACTATAGCGTTAATGTGATTTATGCTCTGATCAGATTCTACAACTTTAATGGAGGAGAATGCAGCACCACAGCAGGTAGTCACTGAATTCACAGCATGGAGCTCTGACCCCCGCCGCGTCAGCTGTCAGTGTGTATGTTTGTATTATTATAGTATTTTATGCAGCAGTGCTTACCGATCAGGGTACTGGTGTGTCGGAAGGCTCTGACCTGGGAGTCAGAGAGCCCAGTGAGCAGAGCCAGCAGCAATGGGAAGAGGTACTCATCATAAATTAGGCTATGTTGACACAACCTCACGAGAACCCGAACAAACTCGCACAGGCCGGCTTTGAAATGCTTCAGCTGGGGGCCTGGAGTACACAGAGGGTAGTTCACTGAATCCTGCGAGAAACAAATGAAATGCAGGACAGACACAACACACTGGGCTTTATATAGTTCCTTGTGGCAGAATATCATCAACGGTTTACCAAAGTGATTAACGTGTCCATTTACCACCTTAGATTATAATCAGTCCGTTCTCTTGTACCGATTAGAATCCCCCTGATACGGAGGCCGTTAAGACTTTCTCAGCATATCCCAGAAGGATTATTGGACGACAAAGACTACAAAACTAGATTCCAACCACTTTAAGACCCATCTTTATTGTCCAAAGATTTAAACAAACCTCATTGAACTCTTTGGTTAGTTTTCCGATGATCTCAGCATTCTGCATGCTATCCAACATCTCTCTGCTAACCACTCCTGGACAAGAGGATCAAAGGCCAGTGACCCACATCAGAAATCAAAGTGAAATCAACTCCTGCAGATTCCAAGTGTGATAAAACATCAGTTGTGGCTCTTGAATTTATTTAAGGCATCATGATTCATGCTTCATTCCTTGCTGTTGTCAGTAGACAGAATGAACGCAGCTCCCACACGTTGCATTGTTACCATACTGGGAGATCAATAGTTGACTGCTGATCATTCCCGGGCTGAAATTGGGAGGATAATCTTTTGAACCCTGACCCCCGCCCCAATCTCTTGACCTCTGACCTTTGCATCCACAGGACCGAACAAGGAAGTTGATGAGCACCAGCAGCCCCGCCTCTCGGCTTTGCTTGTAGCTGTCCAGCCACTCGTCCACCACCGTCTTAAATGGACAGGGAGATGGAAGCCAATGAGGACGCCGGGCTCGGATCAAAGGGTGAAGGGACACAATAACTAGATATTATTTAAGTAACATGATGGATTCCATCCTTCACATTTCTTTATACTTTTGGCTGGGTTTGTCTCAGTAACGTATACGGGTCTGAATGTCCCACATTTATATTTTCTGCTCATTTTAAATGTGAGTATTATTCATACGATCTCATTCGCATAATCCTTTTTTGGAACCATGACACTATTGAACATAAACGCAGCTGTGGAACATCTGCTGTGTGTAGCGTACATTACAAATATAGTAGAGAACTACAAGTAACAGATCTTTGCGTAACAGATTAGTTAACTGCACTTTTTCTGAAGTGTTGAATGAAAGTGAGAAAACACCCAGAATTCCCTTCTGCATTGTGCTGCTGCTCTTCACTGTAGCGGGAGGCTTTTTTATTACTGCTCACCAGACTTTCCTGTCTTTCTATTGTTATGTGATGCTTTTTTTGTAGTCTTTAACCAGAAGACACTGGGCACAGCACCACAAAGGTTTGTATGGTCACATGCTGTCAATCATTGACTGCACAACCCAGAGAGAAAACTTTGCGTATCAAAGCCAATTCTGTTGGGTGAAATCAGTCAGCGCCTGACAGCAGAGGATAATCCCTCATTGTTGCTCACAGAGCCTTGTTTCTCTTCTCATTACACATGCCGCCTCTTTCCCTTCATGTGTTTCTCTCTACAGCCCCTTCCCCCTTTGCTCACCACCATGGCAGTCTTTCCAGAGCAGACAGCGTCATAGATATCCGCTGCAGTGATGCCCCGGCTCCCCTTGCTCAGCGCGGTCACAGGTCTGGCAGAAGCCTGCCCGGATGTCCTCCCGGGGGGGCGCTGCTGCAGGGAGGAGTCTGGAGAAGTGGGGATGGAGCTGCTGCGGCTGGACACACTCAATGCAGCTTTACGCCTGGGTCTCTTGGGTGACTTGAGATGAAAAAGAGATGAGGAGGAGTGTGGGGAGGGGGGCAGCCCAGCAGTGGATAAGGGGAATTGATGTTGTCAACTGAATTACTGGTAACCATGGTAAGATGAGGTGCAGACTCACCACGGTGTTGCAGTTATGACTTTCATTTTCATAACAATGAGGAGATGAACAATGATGCAACTGGATCTCTTACCATCAGAAAATACCCAACTCCATCATCAACACCATCTGATGTTGTTCATTGTGTCACATTGAAAAATATTCAAATGAGTGAATGAAGACAGAATAAGATTATTTACCTTAGGTGCGGCTACCGCCATCTTCCCCCGCTTTTTGGCTTTCAACTCGACCTCAAAGTCACTGCCAGAATCTGGGCTGTCATCCATCTCTTCAACACTAACGGACAAGTAAAAAAAACAAATGAAGATAAATCTGAGCATTGAAACGTTTTTTGGGGATTACAGCACTACGGAGCTGCCATCACACAAACAATGATTCACAACAGCAAGTTGTTGACTTGTCCCCTTTAAGTTATTGCATAACGATGAGGTGGAGGACAACAGTCGGGTCGGTTTAGGAGAAGCTCTAAATGTCTCTTAATGTTGTGTCCATATTGTATTCATCCACCATCACACTGTAGTACGTACTCGTATTATGTGGGTTGAGAAATGGAGCGTTGTGTTATCGTTGACATCTCTTTGGTTTTTGTTCTGCCGATTTGCACACATGTTCAATTAGCTAAGTGTGTGTTTTAGATAAATGCTCCATAAGCAAACGGTTACAACTTGGTGACTAATCGTATTTAACCGTAGCTAAAACAGATTCATCTCAGCAGTACAGGAAGGCTTGGCTCACTTCACCTTTCCAAAATGGAGTCTTTGCTCGCCATTTCCCCCGAGAGGACGCGGGCTGCTGCTGGTTAGCGGCTGCTGGTTAGCGGCTGCTGGTTAGCGACTGCTGGTTAGCGGCTGCTGGTTAGCTGCTGCTGGTTAGCTGCTCCTCGCTAGCTCCTCGTCGGCTAACGCTGCTGCGGAGAGGAGACCAAATGTAGCTAACCCCTTAGCATTAGCTAACGTTAGCTAACTAGCGTTACTTGCATAATATTAGCCTGCTGTACGTTATTTTAAATGTGCGTTGGCGGAAATTAAACGGGGAAAAACAGTTTAACGAATTATTTTTGTCCATTCGTCAACCAACAGACAAAGCAGAAGAAATATTCGTTTGTTAGCGTGAGTGAAAGAAAATGTCCGCTCATGAAGGTTAAATTACACTGATTAGCAAATGATCCGTTTCATGGCTTTGAAATAGAAGCCCGCTATCTACTACAGCAAGAAGGACCAGAAAACCATAAGCTGATATTTACATTATTTTACCACCCGATGTTGTAACAACCGATCGGTTCGTTCCTTTCTTTAGAGGCTTGTGTAATTTATTGATCCGTCTTCACCGCCTGGTGCGATTCAAGCGCGGAAAAGTACGCGATATGAGAGAGGACGCTCATTGGCCAGCAGCCTCTCACGTCGAGCGGTGATTGGCTCTTCGAGAAGGTCACTTGACGACCATCGGCCATTGTGGCAACAAGTGCTTCTGCTTTACAGACGGAAACAGACCATGTATTTAAGTGTGGATTAAAATGTCAACCATTGCTGGTAGATAAATGCTCTGAATGAGTGTTACCCTCTTTTTGGGTACGATTCTACATTTCCTGAGGTATTCTATCCGTGCGTGGTCTGTCTGCTCCGTCCAGTTGGTAGCAACCCGGAGGTGTTGGGCTCAGCTGCTCCACGGCCCCGCACCCCGCACCCTCAGGCCCCGCACCCCGCTCTCCCACGTGGACGCGGCTGTGCTCGGCCCATTGTTCAGGGTTTCATGGGTTGTGGTCAAACCCGCTAAAGTAAAAGACGACTTCTGGTCAAAACCTTTAAAAATAAAATACCTACTGCAATCAGCACTTGATTTACAGTGATTTGTTTGTCAAAACGGCGCAGAAGCACAACACATTAGGCATTTTATGTGATGTTTGTCCAGAATACAATTATCAACACAATTATTTAAATTGAATGAATTTTATTCATGCATCTGTCATTACTAGACATTGTCATTACATGGATCAAGTTCACCTGTCATATTGCCCCTGATGCAATAACTGTTCCAGGTGAGAGACAGTTTAAGAGTGACACATTTTCTGAAAGTCTTAAGGTTAAAATATGCTGCGAGACGTCCGACTGAGGCGATGAAAGCAAAACGTAAACTGGCAGTTGGTGTTAATAAGACAGCACAGGTTACCCATGGTGGTGTCAGTGGTCATTTTTCACTTATTTTGAGAGGCTTTAAACTGCAGTTTTTCACTGCCTTTTAAAAAAAATCCTTTTGGGCTGCCCATTGGAACATTACGCGGTTTAACTTGCATATGACGTTTCCAATCAATTTCACCGAATTCATAGCTGTCATTTTATTTTACTGTTTGAAGGCGAGTTGAAACGCCCCAGAGGAGAACAAACTCGTGTGTTCTTTTATTCTGAAAACCGTCGGGTTTCCGGCAGTGAGCTGGTCTCGGGGCTGATGGACGGGAGTGTCCCGACCACATCCCCTTTACGCGCAGGCAGGACCAACCGGCTGCCCGCGGTGGATGGAGACGCGTCTGTGACGAACCGATCCGCTCGTCGCACTCGGGGGGGGGAAACCATGACTCCTTTTTGACGTGTGACCTTCCCCGGATATTCCTTTCACTTTTGCTCGCATCCCAAAACCGGCCCGTCCGTTCACTTAGAAGAAGCCGCCCGGTTCCACCGGCCGCCCCCGTCTTTGTGAGCATGGAGACCCGGTTCCCGCTGCTGGTGCTGCTCTGCGCGCTGTCCGGGACCCGGAGCCCCGGCGCGTCCGCGGGGCGCAGCTGCGCCGACACCCGGCAGGTGTACGCAGAGAAGGGGTACGGCACCGGCACGGCTCCGCTGACTCAGATCTCCGGTAAGACTGCGTCTGTCCTTCGGGTATAACGACGTAATAACGAGACACACAGAAGGGAGTCCCGTCGTCATCTGTCAGGACGCTTTTAATTCAAGGTCCATGGACGTTAAGCTCTCTGCGTTTAGTTAGTAACAGACTGTTATACGTCCTTTAAATAACAAAAACGTTTGGGTAGAGAAGTATCAAAGCCCAGTAAGACCCCCAGAGACACAAAGCAGGAATATGCTGGTGTTCCTCAGGGGCAATTATGCAGGGTGCTTTAAAACAGATCACCCCGGCCCTCCTCCCCCCGGTGCAGTTTAAATAGGATGATTAAGGGGATGAGGTGCAACAAAGAACCTCGCCCCTAATTAGTCTCTGCCTGCTGGCCACTTAAATCCCCGCATGTGCCCACAGGCTGTTCACCGGTGATACTCTTATCTGTTCGACCAAACCCTCACAGGATTACAAACTGCTGGGGTTTGGATATTCAAAGTTTTTGATGAGAGAAGGGGAGAGGGTTCATAGGTCACCATTCGTCTAAATGTGGACGTCTGAGGAAATGTTGGAGCTATAGCGTGAAGATGTGGTCTACTTCTCGGAGAGTCAGCTTTGCATTTAAATCAGCAAGGCTGACTCTGTGTGTGTGTGTGACCCAACATGTATGTTTGTGGAATTGCAGATCTCCTGCGTGAGGATTTACTTTGTGGTAATTTAGCAGTGTGTGAGTCACTGAGACAGTATTGATTGAGTGTGTGTGTGTGTGTGTGTGTGTGTGTGTGTGTGTCCCGTGGGCCGGGGGAGCAGATGGCAGAGAGAGCGAAGGATGAAGAGAGGCAGTTTAGAAATGGAAATAGAGGGATGCGAGTGGGCTAACAGTGAGGCAGCGAGAACAAAAGAGGCGGAGGGGAACCTCCGTCAGGGAGGAGTTGGGAGATTTCTGACTGTATTAATAACAGCAGCAATATTCATGCTTGATGTAAAATCCTAGAAACAAAGAACTCCAAGCTTTCCCGCGTCCACGGGGCTGTGTTTCCTCTCTTCCTCCCCTGGTTTGCATATCATTACCTCTGACATATCAAAGACCCAAACTGAGAGACTGATTGAAGAGGAATAATTCATGTGCACAAATTACAATTTTCCTTCAAACCCTCATCTTCCAAACGATTTCCCCACATTAACTAAACAGACTGAGTGGAGAAATGACCTTTCTCACTGAAACATCTGCTTTGGCCTGATAAAGAAGCTTACTGGTGGTTGAGTTAGTACCATTAGCTGCACCTTTTTAAAGCCATAACACTATGGTGCTTCATTGTGACGGTTTAACTGTGTCCTCCAGGTGAGCACCTGCGGCTCTGTCCTCTAGACTACACCTGCTGCTCCAGTCAGATGGAGGAGACGCTGGCCCTCCAGAGCGAGAGGGACTTCCTCAAGGCCGTGGAGGAGAACAGCCAGTTCCTTTTGACCACCTTCACGCTGAGGCACCGGCGGTTTGATGGTGAGAGACGGTTCGTTGCGGTGTGCGTTGGATTTCCCGAAGCCTCAGAGTGCATTCGAGGGGGGGGGGGAGGCCCAGTTAGAGGCAAAGAGTCACAGCTCATTGAAGCGCATTTAGGATCTCCGGCTGCCTCTCAGATGGTCGGATGTCTGAGCCTCAAAAACGGACGTAAGCGGCAACACATGCTCCGTGTTTAAGTTTAACCAACACACAACAAAACTGCTGAATTTCAAGAGGTTCTATTTTGCATCGCACTCTCATTAAGTTTGAGGCCTCACAGGAGACGCATTAGATAATAATAACTGTGGCGGCAGAGGTTGAGGCGTGCCGACATGCAGGCCCTAGTTTGGGTGGAAGTACAGACACACACCGAGCTTCCCTTTCCCATGAAACACCTTTAGCCTCACAAAGTGCAGCCTTACTGCCGGCACACTTCCAGTTTACAGCTTTCAGCTATGAATCTGTGATCATCAAAGCCGAGGTCACCGTGTGACATCACTATGACATCACTGCCGTCAGACGCCAACAACATTACAAAATCACAGAATAAAGGCCAAGCAAACTGCATGTATAACATCGCTTTATACATTCAAATAAATGGTCAGTGTACGGAAATGTACCCAGACAGCTCGAATCCTTTCAGAGAATTCAGCCCACGTTGTCGACAATTCTGTGTGTGAGGCTGCAGGTCTGAATTAACACGTCCTCCTCCTACCTGCTGTGGACTGCTACCACCTTTCCCCCCTCCTCATGCTTTTACATAATGCATGTGATGAATCATTTAAAGACGCTGAAGGAGGAGTGGGAGACCGCGTGTGAGTCCTAAAGACCTAAATACAGTGCACGCTGTTGCACTCATTTAGCAGCACGCAGGTTCTGATGTAACTGTCCCTGTGAGCGCTGAACTGGAAGCTGGGGGGGCGTCTGAGCGCCTACCTACGTAGACACCTGGTGAGATACTGCAAGGGGATAAAATGATGGATTCATCTGTGCTTTTCCTCTTTGTGTTTCTGCAGAGTTCTTCAGAGAGCTTATAGACTTGTCAGAGAAGTCCATGAACCAGATGTTCACCAAGACCTACGGCCGGCTCTTCACCCAGAACGCACACGTCTTCCAGGAGCTGTTTGTGGAGCTGCGCAGTTATTACTCTGGTTAATCACGTTCATCTTGTGTATTTTGATGGTCTGATGGTCCCTGCAAAGCGCTTCAATTATAAAAACACGGTTTGGTTGTAACACAAATTACTAGACACCCGGTTACCGTTATTACCTTTCTTTTATAATCCCAATGCAAACGTTATCTAAAGACTCCAGGATGATTCATTTAGTCTGAGACACCTTCTGATTTGAAAACAACATTTCCTGAGCTTCCATCACCACCACGGGGAATGAATCATTGCGGGTGTTTAAAGCCGCGGCGTGTGGAGGTGATGGTGCTTGTTGCAGTGTCGTCTCATCGGTGCACATCCCGTCGTGGCGAATCCACAGCCAAGTGGGTCTTATTCTCTTCTTAAGACAATTAAAAAGCTGAGGAGATTTGATAATAAATAGATGGAGAATTGGAATCCCTGGATGACTGTTTCTATTTCCGGATGGCTCCTGGTGGTGCGGCGGCCTCTCGGTGGAGTCCCGTCTGCAGGCTGCTGCTGCTTATTCATCCCGTCTTTGTTTGACAAACAACATGTGCGGCTTGTTGTGAGGCCGCGTTGTAGACTAAACATCGGAGATCCCACAGTCGCTCTGCAGATTCATTAATGCACAAAGACTGTCGAGGATTTCATTGGGGAAACTCTGCCCACCAGAGTTCTCCAAAAATACACTCTCTCTATTCTCTTTCTTGTGAAAGAAGGATTTGCATGTGCACCTCACAGGCGTTCCTTTAACATAGCAGTATTAGTACCATGGCTCATTGAGCATCACATGACGGTTTGACTCTACTGGCGCGCTCGTCCCATCCGAGTCCAGAGGCTCTGTGCTGAGTTATTCGTCCCTCCGCAGGGGGCAGTGTCAGTCTGTCGGAGGTTCTCTCAGACTTCTGGTCCAGGCTGGTGGAGCGAGTCTTCTCTCTGGTTAACCCCCAGTATCAGTTCAGTGAGGAGTACCTGGAGTGTGTCAGCAAACACGCCGAGCAGCTGCAGCCCTTCGGGGAGGTTCCCCGCAGACTGCGTGTTCAAGTAAGTGTCCGGTGATGAAAGAGGCCTTCGGTGCGGCTCAGTAGTGAGCGACTGAGTGACAGCGCTGTGCTCTCTCCCCGTTCAAATCCAGGTGTCGAGGGCTTTCATTGCAGCTAGAGCTTTGTCTCAGGGCTTGGCCACTGGTCGGGATATTGTTAACAAAGCTACAAAGGTGAGTTGTCTCTTAAAATGACATTGGCAAGATTTGAATATAAAGCTGAATCTGAAACTGAGGCGAATTTATCATGTATCATTATTTCTATAATTTATTACAAGCTGATAAATTCAAACTGCTTGTTGAGTCGACAATCCAAACATAAGAAAGAAAACAAATCCTCATATTTGTTGCAATATTTACATTTCTTTTATTATATAAATATAATAATAATGTATTATTTAATCATCAAAATGGTTGTTAATAAATCCGCCTATTGATAAATCAAATTGCAGAATTTGTTTTTTCACAATTTTAACAGCACACAAAACAGAAGCGTTTTAAAAATATATTATATTATGAGCAGCGGGATAACAGTGCTAACACAGCTAACACAGCTGACAGTGCTAACACAGCTGACAGTGCTAACACAGCTAACACAGCTAACACAGCTAACAGTGCTTACACAGCTAACACAGCTGACAGTGCTAACACAGCTAACAGTGCTAACACAGCTGACAGTGCTTACACAGCTAACAGTGCTAACACAGCTGACAGTGCTAACACAGCTAACAGTGCTAACACAGCTAACAGTGCTACACAGCTAACAGTGCTAACACAGCTAACAGTGCTAACACAGCTGACAGTGCTAACACAGCTGACAGTGCTAACACAGCTAACAGTGCTAACACAGCTAACAGTGCTAACACAGATTACCTCAGGTTTGTCATTCACAGCAGGAAGGTATGTGGGACACATTTGGTGTGTTTATGTTTTTGACTGAAATGCTCCACACACGCTGGAACGCTGACAATACGAAGAACCTCTACTCGTGTGGAGTTATTCTTCCGGTGCTTTGTTTCAGCTGACTGCGGACTCGGAGTGTGTGCGCGGGCTGATGCGTCAGTGGTACTGCCCGCTGTGTCGGGGGCTGCCGGCCCTGCGGCCCTGCCACCCCCTGTGCCTGAACGTGATGAAGGGCTGCTTAGCCAATCAGGGCGACCTGGACACAGAATGGAACAATTTCATTGGTGGGTGAGGGTGAACAATACGTCCTAATATGGTGCTGTGTTTCCAGAGCCGAACGTCATGGACCAAATTACATTTTCAAGTTTTTTTTATTATTTTAATTATTATTATTAAATTGAGCATCACTAAAAGCAGAGTAGGTTTACCTTCACTTCCCTTTCCCCTTACTGAATTCCCCCTCCATTAATCATTCATGCTTCTCTGCTCCTTCACAATGGATCCGTCTTACTATGTTTCCTCTCATTGAACCCTTATGCTCCTTCCTTTCTTTCCTCTAAATCCAAACCCATTTTACCCTCGTGTACCCTTTTTAACCATCCGTTATTCTTCACACCGTCCTCATCTTTGACCTCATATGTTATTTGCTGACGAGCCAGTGAGAGCTTTCAGCCTGTCCTGGTGTTCATTCGGCTGTAGAATGGGTCACCAGACTGGAAGGTCTGTACGTCTTCACCCTGTCATCTCTATTTCTGCATCTCTCGTCCTCTACCAGATGCTCTCTACCAGGTTTCGGAGAAGTTGGAGGGGCCGTTCAACATGGAGCTTGCAGCCGACTCCATCTCTGTGAAAGTGTCGGAGGCCATCATGCACATGCAGGAGAACAGCGTCAGCATCTCCACCAAGGCAAGCAAGAGAGCACAGAAGACACTGATGCATTTATATTGCTTTTTCCAAAGATTTTGCAGACCAGCTATTCTTTTATTCCCCCTTAAATCTCATTTCTAAGTAAAAGCCATAATCCTGGTGTTTCAATTGTAATGTTAATGAGCCGGCACACAAAGCGAGAGAGAGCATGACTTCCTCGCAGTAAGATGAGAACATGGCAGAAGTCCCAGCAGCTGATCCACCAGAGAGAATTCCATGGCAGCGCTTTACGGAGAGGAACCGCAGCTTTGTGCGTTTGTGGGGTTTGTGGTATCAGAGGACACACTTTCATTTCTCTGACCCACAGAAAGAGCGACTTTTACATTCTTAAATTGACGCGACAGCTGTTTGGCCTTGTTGTTGTTTACCTCAGGTGTTCCAAGGTTGTGGAAGTCCCCGGCCGGCACCGGGACGGCCCAAGCGTTCACCCAAAGAGTCAGGGGGCAACAGGAGGCCTTTCCGCACCTACAGCCCCGAGGAGAAACCCACCACTGCTGCAGGCACCAACCTGGATCGGCTGGTAAGGAGAAGCATGTGTCGACGCCACTGATGACAGAATTAGAGTGATGAGACGATGCTCTGCATTATAGTAAAACTATCCGTGGGTTCATCTCTATTATACAGTCATCTGTCCCATTATTTAGATAAAGAAAAGGGAGAAGTTAAGCGTTAAGGACTGTAAGTAAAGGTGTTGTGCAGGTCATGTTCTCGTGGTTGTGCTGTATGATCTTAAGAACCAATAAAGAAGGTTTGCACTGCGCTCGAGTCACGATCCAGACACAGACAAGCAGGAGCCACAGCGATAAGTCTAAGCTCGGTACGGGATGTAATAATGCCGCGAGCAGCCGACGGGACTCCTGTGACCACAGAGTGGGAGTGAAAGATAGAGCAGGAAAATAAATGAAATGACCCCGAGCAGAGGAAAGAGAAACGTGGTTTAAGAACTGACCCAGAAGAAGAAGGATGGTGCCACTTGCACTCTCAGCCCTGCAGCTTCAATATGCTTCCTGCAGCCAGCCACACAAACAGGGATACTCTGAAAGCAGGTCTGACTCATTCCACGTCTTTGCGCCTCCGCGCAGGTCACCGAGCTGAAGGAGCGACTGCGGCCCATGCGTGGCTTCTGGGTGTCCCTCCCACACACCATCTGCAACGACGAAAAGATGGCCTCCGACGTCACTAATGAGGACCGCTGCTGGAACGGGCAGACCCGGGGGAGGTGAGCGGGCGGGCGGAGGTGGAGACGGGGAAGGATGTAACAGACGGAATTGAGTTTATTTAGTCCACTACAGTCACCCATATGCTGTCTGCTTGCTTTCTGTGTCTGAGAGGAATCTGCATTATGATGATTTGGTGTGATCGATGTTCCACCTGCATTAGGCTGCAGTTTTATATGAAGGTGAACAGTAAAAATAACAGCTTTGATCACAAAATTATTTATGATAGAAAGGGGAAAAAGATTATTTAAGTCAACATGAAAATAACCTCGGGCACGGTGGTGTGGTGGTTAGCACTGTTGCCTCACAGCAAGAAGGTCCTGGGTTCGATTCCGCCCAGTGGCCTTTCTGTGTGGAGTCTGCATGTTCTCCCCGTGTCTGCGTGGGTTCTCTCCGGGTTCTCTGGCTTCCTCCCACAGTCCAAAGACATGACGTGTGGTTGTGTGTCTCTGTGTAGTCCTGCGATTGGCTGGTGACCAGTCCAGGATGTACCCTGTCTATCGCCCGAAGTTGGCTGGGATGGACTCCAGCCCCCCGCGACCCTGTGTGCAGGATAAGCGGTTTGACGATGGATGGATGGATGGAAAATAACCTCAACTTTGGTCTTAAATCACCAGCTTCAGTCTTATTTAATACAGCATGTAGAGGCAAGATTTCAGAATCAGTTAGACAGACACGTTAGTCGATAACAAAATTGATCCTTTTAATTGATGACGTAAGGGGCTATGGGGTCAAAAAACAACAAAAGATTCCTGCCGGTTGGGGTCTCAGGTCCTCAACGACTCGTCCTGGAGAAAACCAGACGAAGGGCGTGAAGGGGCAGTAATACTTCCCGGTTGTCGGACTTCTCCCACGCCGACCCTCTAAATCCATGTCACTCTTGATTGGGTTGATGGGATGCAGGTGTGCCCAATGCCTGTTGCCAACTGGTTGCAGCCCACGCACCATCACCTCCTCCAACCCGATCCACCGTCTTGGCTTGGCCCCTCCCCCTGGTTTGCCACACATGATGTTCGTTTTAGTAAATCCTGGTCACCTTTAGAGTAGAAGAGAGAAAGAGAGTTGCTGCAGTTGACCCCTCCCTGCGGCGGTTCCTCTGGTCACCTGTGTGCGTTGCGTGAACGCCTCTTTGTGTGTACAGGTACCTTCCGGATGTCACGGGCGACGGGCTGGTCAGCCAGATCAACAACCCCGAGGTGGAGGTGGACATCGCCCGGCCGGATGTGAGGACCAGACAGCTGATCATGGAGCTGAGGGTGGCGACCAACAAGCTGAGACACGCTCAGAGTGGACAGGACATGGACTTCATGGACAGTCAGTATAAATGCCACAAAAGAGCGTCAAGTGATGCATTTGAAGAAAAGTCTCATTTCCGCTGCGTGCACCAGTCACAACCCTCGTTTCTTCCGTTTCCAGGCGAGGAGGGCAGTGGCTCCGGAGGAGGAGATCAGGGTGAACGGTACAATGACGATTGGCCCGGCTACGGGCCTTATTCCCCCCCCTACAACAAACCCCCCCGCAACCCCGCCTCTGACCCCGCGAAGCCGCCACGAGTCCGAGAGAGAAACGGGTCCAAGTTGAACAGAAACCACGGACGCGAGCGGTCCGCAGCCAGCCAGCCGTCCTGCTGCCTGCTTCCTCTGCTGTCGTTGCCTTTCATGGCCACCGTGGCCCCCATGTGGAGATAGCTGGTCATTACAGCCTGCGCAGTCATTCCATTCGGTTACACCAGCAGACAAAACCAAGCCAAATCAGCAATAATTAAAAACCACAGCACAAAATAAATTGATATTTATCTTACTGCCCAGGCCACAAAATACAAGCACAACAATGAAACTTAACACTGCCGTTCTTCGTTTGAGCATTGGTGCTGAATGGTGTGCAGGGCGGAGGAGAAACAAGAAGCGTTAAAAGGCAAATGAACGGGGAGGATGTTTGGCTGATGAAGCTCTTGTTCCGGTGGTTTAATCCTCCGTGAGATGGAGGTTATTTGTGCCGGTTCATAGCAGTTTTGTTTAAGTGAGCAGCTGATTTGATCCGTGATTAATATTCTTAACGGCTCTTGATTTCACTCGAGTTATGTTTCATCTTTTATCATGTGGAAGTAAAGCAATTTAATTCACTATCTTAATTTAACCTCCATATTTTTGCTTGGAGATGAAAATAAGTCAACAGTGTGATTCTTGAAACCAAACAAGTGGCTTACTTTGAATGTACCTAGTTTGCTTTTACTTGTGTCAACAAGTGGTTAATTCATGTAATATATTGATGTTCTTAATTTATTTGTAATATAATCCTCGTTCTTATGCTCATTCATTTAAAAGCACCATCTGTTTTTAACTTTCTCTGAAAAAAAAAGGGAAAAATCAAGTTGTGTTGATTTATCCGTTTTGTAAACCGATCATTTGAAAGTGTAATTGAACCAAACGTAACGCAACTCTTAATTATCAAACCTTATTGTGGCACGACAGCAGATCCTTACAGAGCAGTTTGTGTGAATGTGTGTTTGTTTGATGCTTTTATATATTTGTCGTTTTCATGGTTCTGATTTTTTATACGGGGCTTTTCTACTCGTTTTTCCTAAAAGCAAACCAAGATGGACAGTGTGGGGGCTCATGATGGGAATTGAAGGTGAATGTTGTCGGAAGCCGAGAGACGACGGCTCGGATTCTTACAGAACGAGTTGCAATGAAGATAAAAATCAAAGATTATTCAAGAAGAAGGCCGGCAGGAGAGGGAACTAAAAACACACTTTAGTGAGACATTTCGGGAGAGTTGAATTGGTGACTTAACGGTGAATCCAGCACACTGCTAACTTAGCTTAGCATAAAGACGGTTCGTTTCAGAAATATGCTACAAAGTAATTAAATAAGCCTGTTTCAAATAATGTTGAGCTATTGTGTGCGATGATGAAAGTCAGGCGACGGATCTCACAGACGGAAGCAGCAATAAGGACGCAGATTATAAAAAGAAGCTTGAATGAGAAACGGTGAAATTCACTTCTAGTTGCGCCTTTTGCAAAAATACCAGGAGAAAATATACGCTTTAGACTTTTAATCCCCAGCAATCCAAGTTAATTTTCATTTTGGAACGAAACCCTTGACCGTCAGTCGGGACTTTGTACAAACTGCACAACGACGAATGAAAGACAGTATTTTAAAAGCAGGAGAATCACGAGTTTTTAGCACAATCATCCGCACAGTCGTTCATGGTGAAAGTAAAGCACAACACTTTTCATGTTGTAACAGTTTTTTGCTTTCAAGCAAGTGATATTTGTTTTGCTTCATTAAAAAATAACTCAAACGTATACTGATGTGTCTCTTTTTGTGTTACAGCAAACAAAAATTTCAACGAAAATAGGAAAAAAGGCGGTTCACATTTGAGTGTGTCTCCCCGTTTGTCGTGTTAGTTACATCACTGCCATTCATCAACGCACAAGACGTAGTGCTGCAACACAAATGATTTAAAAGGGTTTGTCCCAGGCTGATATTCCCCGGAGAGTTTGTCAAACTGAGACAAGCGTCCACAACAAAGTCCACGTCGTCCAAAGAGCATTTTCATCACTGGTGTCCGTCAGAGCTGATTTATTCTTCTACACGTGACACATGCAGAAACATCACTGCAGTTCTGTCCAAACCCAGCAGAGAGCAGCAAGCCTCCACACACTACCACACTTTCTTTCTCCAGTAACACTTCTGGTAATCATTGTTTACCCACGTTTTGTATTTCCTCCTATTTCCAAGGAAAAACTCTGTTCTCAACTGGTTGGAGCCGGTTTGCTGGTCGTGGATCACAGCGAATACACAACGTGGTGACGGGTGAAGCTCTGAAGCCCACTGACCCATAACTGACCCATAACTGACCCATAACTGACCCATAACTGGTGAACCCACTGACTTGTGTTTAGGAACAACCAGCTGGGATTCACACCTGAGATTTACCTTGAAAAAGGAGATTATTCTTCCATCATGCAACACAACATGTTTAAAGACTTTAGGTGGAGATGAACACTTTTTCCATATTCCATATTTGTATTTTGGTCAGCTCAGATTAGAACCTGTTTACCTGAAAGCAGTGAGCCCAGATTGCAGTATTCTACCGTGAATTAAAAGGCGTGTGGTTTGAGTGATGGATGATCAAAGAATGATTCCACAGCAACCACATTATAGTGAATCAGCTGTAGTTTGGGGAAGAAACAGCAATTCATCCGTGTACTTTAGATCACTTTATTATTGACTTTACTTACTTTCCTTTTCCATGAAATGTGAGAATAAAGCGACTTTATTAACTAAATGCATTTTATCCTGCATATGAGTCAGACGCTTCACAGGGAATGTCTCTGCAGTGAAGAAAACCAAACATTCAAATCAATCAATTAATCAAGGAATGCATTAAAACAAACAAATACTTCAAAGTACTTCATGTACTGAAAGCAGATACCGATTATTGTGTTTGTTAATAGCAGATAAGGCCTATTAGTTGGTCGGGCCTTCAGATGTGCAGCTTCCAATTACAGCAGCCGTTATTACTACAATTCACCATAAAGCAGCGTTGCAAGAAGCAGTTGTTGTAGTTTGATGGAATTCCAAATGAAACTAAACAATGAACGTGTTTAGTTTGGAGAGAAACCTCTCAGGTGAGTCGCTGGGCTTAAATTCATGACACACATGCAAACAGCGGCTGCCAGGCAGGCAGGCCGCAGAGTTTCCACTGCAGTAGTCGGGGGATGTGGTTTTCTTCTTCTTCAGATGCAGAATTAGCTCTTTCGGTCGTGCAGGCGCACGCCGGGTGGTTCTGTGCTTCCTTTTGGGTCTCAACAAACGACTACGTAAAAAAAATAGCTGTGAATATAGCTTCGCCTTTTCCTCCACTCTGATAAATGTTACATTTAAACCTCGTATTCATTTCAGCAACTATTAAATGATTTTCTGAGCACGATGATGTATGTTTGTGTTGTTTTATATATTCAACGTTTGATGTTTGAGTCTGGTTGTGTCTACAGCACTTATATAAAATAAGTCCTTTTTTTATCCCTTTGAGGGTACACAGAGCATGTGACCTTTGACCTGAAAATAAAAGATGGAAGGAAGCAGCATATGAACATAACCAATTCCTGGTAGTTTAGTATTTTTACATAGTATCTCACAGACAATAAGTAATCTGTAGATGTGTAAACATGAACAGATCTAAAAGTATATGATACATAAAAGGACTGATGGAAAAATGTTCCCCAAATTTCCACATTTTATAACAACTCAATGAAACACAAGCTATTCATACGGGATCACTACAGCACATTTACATTGCACCTCTCCTCGCTAATGTGTGTCTTTCTCTGCACTCTCCCTCGTTGAGTTTGCCTCCAAGTCTCCCTCATCCACTGAACACCTCCGGAAACCTCTTTTTGAAGACCTCCCCTCCATCTTCTTCAACTGCCTCCCCTCGGTCACTGAGGTGCAGTGCTGTGCGTGCTGGTAAGCCCAGCAGCGGCCTGGCTTGTCAATGGCAAACACACACTCTTTATCTTTACTTTCTGGCTTTTTCTGTCCTACTACAGTCAGTATCTGGTTATTTGGGCCATACAGTCTTTTTGAGGTGTGAAGTAGAGGACTTATATAACTTAGTGGGTATTGCAGTCACTGCTGCTCCTGTGTCTAGTTTAAAAGAAACAACTTTAGTACTGTGATGGAAGCTTTGCACAGACAATCGTAAAATAGGAATAAAGGCTCTGAATCAAATATGTCTTTCTTCGTTTATTTTCTTGCAAAGAAAAGACGTCACAAGAGCTACGTGCTCCACAACAGGACAAGGCCGCTCTTATGCTTCGGTTCAGTCACAGATGGAACAGCACCGCCTGCCGTCGCCTCACTCGCCCACATTACATCCCTCATGTTCCAGCACCACTGTGTTATGCGCAGAGTCAATTTTGAATCCAACTGAAGCTTCTCGGTAAGTTTGATGTCTCTTATGGCCACTACACGATCACGAGTCAGTTCCTCTCTGAGGGCTCTAAAGTAACAAAGCACTGAGCCGCCCAGCAGCACTGACGCATGTAAAATACCCTCTGCCTCGTCTCCCATGGAATATATCAAATTGTTCACCTGGAATGCCTCATCCTTTTTTATCCAATCCAGACACCGTTCTGTACCTTTCGAGTCGCCGAATCCATTTGGGCCAATTTTGGACGTCTCTGAAGTCAAACTTCTGTGGGGGGCTAATCCGAAACGCTCCCCCGGTGTGAGCTGCAGGGGAAAGTCCAGCACGTTGTCCCTCTTCTTACATCTTACTCCATCCGATGCGTTGATTTACGTCCAAATCTGTGGTTTTCTTGAAGTCCCGAGTTCCTTATTCTGTCAACTATACGTTCCTGTCGAAGGCTGAGTTAGTTTTAACAATAAACCCTCCTGACATCATGTGGTGTTTGGCATTACAAATGATGACGGACAGCGGCATGTCTTTAGCCTGCTGGCATATTTACTGAACTTCCCCTTGATGACAACACACAGAAACATTTATACAGCTCCGGGTACGGGACGTCCCGAGGGTCAGACTACAGATCTGATGTTAGACTGTGGATCCGACCCCTGAGCCCTGACACCTGCGTAGATACTTTCACCCTCCTCTGTGGTGGAATGCTTCGACCCTCTAGGTCTCCTACCATAGAACGTTGGTGCAGAATAAACCAATAAATCCTCGTCGGTCTGAAGGAAAATACACATAGAAATGATATGAGATTTCAACATTAGTACACTTCCCTGACAGCGTTCCAGCGGTTCCTGTTCTTACCTGCTGACTGTGCCGATGACCAGGGGGTGTCTCAACTTTTGATTTCAGGAAAACAGCGGCTGTGTTGTCAATTAAACACCAGCGTTAACGAGAGTCCAGTTCTGCTAAAGACTGTTCGATAGCTCGACGTACAATGACTTTGCTCACCGTTGCAAACGCCACACAATTCTTTCTTGAGTTTCTTGATTGAATAACTAAGAATGGCAATAACAATCAGACTCGCAGCCAAGACAGCACATAACAGAAGGGGAATGATGTATTTTTGCAAATTGTCTCCTAAAAGGAGCAAATGATGAAAGTGAAGCGTTAGTAGAAGTGGATTTACTTTGACTAATCAATCACATGAATTAATTCCCCCATAAACATGATGTGGTCACCTTCAGTATCTAGCTGTGTTTCATTTGCAGTAAATCTCTCCTCACATGCTGCCACAGCGCAGTACTGGGATCCAGCATCCGGGGAGTCGACCTTCATGAAGAAGCTGTAGACGTGTTTATCTGCTGAGAGTTCCTCTGCGTTCCCCTCATGTTCTTCAACACGGTTTCCATTAAACGGTGGCTCATATCGATGAGGTGCGGCTCTCGCACAGCACACACTGTGTCCTCCTGGACACGTCTTCATCTCAGAGTCCCAGGGGACCGGACACGTCTCCTCAGTCACTGCGTCTCCTGGACGGACCGGATCAGATGGAGCGACTGCACTGGAATCAGGTTCTGCTAAAAGAAGTCGAGAACAGGATTCATTTCATGTTTAACATTTATTAAAACACGTTGTAGTTTATTAGTAGTATTATGGTATGTACTTACCTTCAACCCTCAGGTCTGTTACGCTCAAAAAAGTTAAGTCTTTTTGGGATGTTTTAAAACAGCAGTAAACTGCAGAATCACTCAGACGGGCTTTTTCAATATGCAGATCCAATGTTCCAGAGTGTTGTGTGGCTGTAATGTGACGATCACTCTTAAAGCTATTTGACTTCATCAAGTATTCAGGAACGTTTCCAGAAACAAGTCTGATCCAAAACACGCTCCCTGAGGACTCTCGGGCACAACTCAGTTTCACATCACTTCCAACAGCAACAGTCCTCGTCTCCATCATCGGATCCGAGCATCCTGAGGAGACATCATTCACATCAACGACAGAGAGTCCCGTGTATTCTCACATCAACACCGTGAGAACATGAGTACACTTCAGAATGTGGAGTAGATGTGACATTTCTACATGTACTTACGCGCCGCGCTGAGAATCAGCGTGAAATAAAACACCATCCTCATTTTCCTGATGTTCCACTTGAGACTGAACTCAGACTGATCACCACATGTTTTACCCCGATGTCCTCGTATCAAGTGGGAGGTGACGGATTCACACTGGTGGTGTTGATGTGCACCACCACAGAGGAAATCTAATCTTTCCATACACATGAAAAACCTCCAACAGCGGTCTTTTGTTTCATGGGGGGTTTCTGTGACTGATTAAGAAAGGAAACACAACAGATGATTCACAGTTCAGTTTAAAATCATTTCTCTTAATGTTTCTCACTGGGTGGTTAAGATTTCATTTTGGTTATTTGACCAGAACTACTTGGTTTAGGTTCAGAAGCGATCGTGCTGATGGAAAACAGATCTGATGTCTTTCCCACTGGAACCAGTTCCCATCGTTCACGTTCACTGAATCACAAGTAACACAACCACTCAGAAGGAAGAGCAGACACAATTTTCAATGTAAACCAGGGAGAAAACCACAGGTGGACAACCCCCCAAAAAGCAGACTGATGCATCCTGGTCTGCAGCCTTCATCAAGCTGAACATGATGACACGAGCCAAAACACCTCAGAATATGTGCTTTATGAAATTGTTAGTGCAGAACAATTATTTCAGTGATTTGGACACAATAATGGGTCCAGCCAATGCACACATACGACACATTACAATACACAAAACCATGCTCACAGTACAGTACTCATACAGTTCACATGCTCAGTTAAATGTACTGTAAATGTCTCTAAAGACAACTGTCAAAGAAAGGCCATCTGCTTCCTCTTTGTGCACTCAGTCACCACCGATGACGCATGGAAACGTATCCATCAGTGTGATCGGCCTTCAAACCAAGGTGTCAAAACAAAGGGGCTTTTTGGGTTTCTCTTTGTGTTCAACTCTCAGAAAGCTACGACTGCACTGCTGTGCAATGCAAGTGGTAAAATATATTCCTAATGATTTTAATTCTCTGGGTAAACAGGCCCGGGGTCAGCGGGTGGAGAACCAGCCCCCCACCGCCTGTCGCTGGACTCATGTGGTTTTGCTTTTTTCATCACACGACACATAGAGAACCTCGACAAGGTGCAGCGAGCTCACAGATGGGGGGGCGGCATTTCTTCTCAGTGTTGTCCTCCACTGTTTGCTCATCAGAGGGTGGAACTTTTATCAAACATTAGAACGTCAGGACCTTTTACCCTTTACTTCACTTTCATGACATCATTGGCCACGTGCTGAAATACTGTAAGACCCTGACGTACCCCTCATCAGTGGGCCCCAGTCTGCTTTGTGGCGGAGGACAGGGGGTCGCCTGGGAACGTCCGGGGTTCGGCCCGGTGGATGGCCCGGTGGATGGCCCGGTGGACGGCCCCGGGGGGTGGCCAGAAGCCGGGCTCGGAGGCGCCGGCTGCTGGTCACAGGGAGCCGGGCACGGCGGCTGCTGGTCACGGGGAGACTGGCTCTGGGACTGGAGGAGTCGGGGGAACGAGTCGGGGAGCCGGGACTGGAGGAGTCGGGGGAACGAGTCGGGGAGTGAGACGGGAAGCCCGGACTGCAAGAGTCGGGGGAACGAGTCCGGGAACCTATGGGACATTTTGCGTTGTTTCTTTTGTTTTTCCCTGCCAATTAAAGAGGCAGCTTTTCTTTGTTCCTCGGAACCTTCCCCTCTTAGTTGTTGTGAAATAAACTACGCTGTGTTTCTGGTGTCGTGCACTTGGTCGGAAACAAACCATAACAGTACGAACTCGTCATGATGACCCCAGCCGACACAGATCGTGGCTCTTTACAAGTGGCCGTGGAGTGACAGCTTCAGCTGACGGACAACCACACTCACCAGCTGGAGGCGGCCGCCATTGCCGTGCAGAACCTCCAGGCCCAGGTCCAGCGACTTCAAGCTTTAGTGGAGAGCCTGACTCAGCAGCAGGTGGCGTAAGCAGAGATTCTACTACAGCTACGGGCATTGACGGCGGCTCTCACCACCCAGCCCCTGAACCAGCCTGCACCTGTAAGGGCAGTGAATCCGGCCCCTGGGGATCCCCTCCCGATTAGCTCTGTGGTGTTCGCCCCATTACCCCAGAAACCCTGCCTTTCCAGTCCACAACCATTCGGGGGTGACTTTGAGACTTGTGCCACCTTGGTAATGCAGTGTGAGTTGGTGTTTACTCACCAACCCAGCCGGTACACCTCTGACACTGCCCGAGTCGCATATGTGACTAACCTGCTCACCGGCTGGGAAGCCCAGTGGGCCGCTGCCGCTTCCTGATCCATGGGTGCCAGCTTTCGTCACTCCTACAGGGAGTTCATGGAGATGTTCCACCATCCAGTAAGGGGTCAGGACCCTGGTGTCTGGTTGGCCAGCATCCAACAGGGCAGTGGCACGGTGGCGGACTACTCAGTGGAGTTTAGGTTGGCCGCTGCAGAGAGCGGGTGGAATGAGCCAGCCCTTCCGGTTACCTTCCGAAGAGGACTCAGCGAGGCAGTGAGGGACCAGCTAGCTACACGGGAGGAGCCCACCTCCCTCAATGACCTCGTCAGTTTCGCCATCCATCACAGACTACTCTCTACGGTGGCCAGAAGGGGCATCGCATCAGCGGCTGTCCCACCCGGCCAAAAGATTAGGCTCACCAGGACCCCGGGAGATCCTAGTGAGCCGCCTTTCTTGTTCCCGTAGTCGTGCACCACCTAACCGGGTTAGCGTCACCCTGGCCTGGGCGAGTCAGCGGATTACGTTGGGGGCCCTCCTCGATTTTGGGGCGGATGATTGTTCCCTGGATTTGGAGTTTGCTGTCCAGGCTAACATTCCGCTAAAGGCTCTGGAGAAGCCCGTGAAGGCCTTTGCACTGGACGACCGCCGACTAGCCCGCATTACCCAGTGCACCAATCCCGTCTCCCTCACTGTGGCGGGGAACCATGAGGAGACCCGCCAGTTCTACCTCATCCAGTCCCCGTTGGTTCCAGTGATTCTCGGGTACCCTTGGTTCGTGCAGCATGAGCTACACGTTGCCTGGTCCTCTGGCACAATCCTGGAGTGGAGTGCCTCCGGTCATACCAAGTGTCTCCAGGCAGCTCCTAGCCCGTCACCCCGGCCGACTCCCTCCGTCCCTCGGGAGTATCATGTTCTAGGAGAGGTTTTTAGCAAGTCCTGGGGCTCAGTCTCTCCCTTTGCATAGGCCATACGACTGTGCGATCGACCTCCGCCCTGGGGCCCCCCTTCCTAGCAGTCAGCTGTACATACTGTCCATTCCCGAGAAGGCTGCCATGGATGATTACATCTCGGAGTCAGTGGCAGCAGGGCTCATTCGGCCTTCGTCCTCCCGGTGGCAGTGGGTTTGTTTTTTGTGAAGAAGAAGGATGGGGTCTCCGACCCTGCATTGACTATTGCCAACTGAACGACATTACGGTCAAGAACAGGTACCCCCTCCCCCTCATGAGTTCCACCCTTGAGCCCCTGACCCAGGCTGCCATCTTTTCCAAGCTGGATCTTCGGAGCGGAACCTACCACCTGGTTTGGATCAGAGAGGGGGACGAGTGGAAGACCGCCTTCAAGACATCCCGGGGTCACTACGAGTACCGGGTAATGTTGTTCGGCCTTACCAACGCCCCAGGTTTTTTTCAGGCGCTCATGAACGACGTGCTCCGCGACATGCTGTATGAGTTTGTGGTTGTGTACCTCGACGACATCGTGGTCTTCTCCAGGACTCTCGAGGAGCATGTCCAGCACGTCCGCCGGGTGCTCAAGCGACTCCCCCTGAACCGACTCTCCGTCAAGGCTGAGTGCCATTTCCACTCAGCCTCTGTCGACTACCTGGGTTTCATAGTGGAGAGGGGGCAGACTCTGGCCGACCCCCGCAAGATCCAGGCTGTGGTAGACTGGCCGAGCCCCACATCGCGAAAGGAGTTCCAGAGCTTTCTTGGATTTGCAAACTTCTACAGAAGGTTCATACGGAACTACAGCGTCATGGCGGAACCCCTCACCAGGCTGACCTCTCCCTCCCAGCCGTTCATCTGGTCCCCGGTCGACGATGCCGCATTTCGGTCCCTCAAGAAGTGGTTCACCAGCGCCCCAGTTTTGTGTGTGCATGTTAACATTTTGTGTGTGCATGTGTGTGTGTGTGTGTGTGTAGATGGAGGCTTATCAACGCCACTCACAAACAAGTGACAGGTGGAAACTTGAGCGTTGTTGTGGTTTGCATATGAAAATGAGTTGTTGTTTACTTCCTGTGATTCTCAGCATTTAGTCTTAGTGATGGGGGGACGGGGGTTTATGAAGTGGACAAGTGCAGAGGACACAAAGTAGAGTTTTACTTGAGCTGTTGATGGTTTTATTTATTTGGGGGGACTGAGGAGAATTTATTAAGAGTAAAATGCCTCGAAACCAGTCAGATTAATCCTGTGTACATTACTGAATGAGTTACCAGATAAACAGTGTGTTGTGATTCATATTGAATATATTAATCCAAAAATGAATCATCTAATAACACACAAAATATGATTCTAACTGTGTTCGTGAGCGTTAGAATTGTTTTTTAACTTCTAAAACAAATCATTACAATTACAATTACGTTACAAATCGTGATGAGATACTTTAGTTATTGCATTAATGAACATTCTACTTTACTTTTACACTTTTTCTTCAAAGATTCATGATAATTCATGTACCGTTGCCACAAGTCAAAAAACAAGAATAAACAATACATGCGCAGTGAACTATTGTTTAATCATAGATTCTCTAAATACAAGAGGAAATGCATTTAGTCCTTTTCAGCCAATCAGGATGATTTCTATCTGATGACCGTGTGACCAAACCTTTAAGGAGGAAGAATTCAGTCTCAGTGCAAGAGAAGAGGGGGCTTCACCACCATGATGGGAGGACTCGCTCTTCTGGTTCTTTTAGGAACACTGTGTGAGTGACACTTTACACCTGGTTATTGTTTCTATTAAACTGTGTTGGACTATAAAGACAAATTAATAATTAATACCTTTTTCACCTCCTTTGTCTCATGTGATCAATTTCATTTTTCCGATTTTTCTTCAGACCCGATTGAAGCTGCAGAGGTTCAACAGGTCTCTTTGACGGAGGCTGAACTTGGTGGAAATGTTACGTTTCAGTGTCCAGTTTCTGAGACAGAAAATAGTTATTTAAACTGGTACAAGC